GTGTCTTCAATTTTGGAAGAGAAGATTTTGGGAGCTTCTTCCCAGTCAAACTTGGAGGAAACAGGACGTGTACTGTCTATTGGAGATGGTATTGCCCGTGTCTATGGACTGAAGAACATTCAAGCTGAGGAAATGGTGGAATTTTCCAGTGGGCTGAAGGCAAGTTTCTTGTACTTATTCAATAAAATACAGATTTTGAAGTGCATTACTTCTTTATTTGGCTAAAGTATTTACTTTCATGTACATTTACTGCCACTCTTGCAACCTACTGGGAATTACAAACAATGCTAATGATATTTAATGCTTGTATACACAACACTGCAATAATGTGCCTTTGTATTCAGGGTATGGCCTTGAACTTGGAAAGAGACAATGTCGGTGTTGTAGTCTTTGGTAATGACAAACTGATCAAGGAGGGAGATGTTGTCAAAAGAACTGGAGCTATTGTGGATGTACCTGTCGGTAGGGAAATGCTTGGTCGTGTTGTAGATGCTTTGGGAAACCCAATTGATGGAAAGGTAAGTAGTAGCAGCATTAACTTATCCATGTCATATTAAACATGATAAGAAAAATCTGGGATGTTTGAAGTTACTGGCAAGAAATGAAAATTATCTATGTAATTAAATTTCATGATTACTTTATGTAAAATGTAGAATAGGGCTGTGTATTTAGCAAAAAATTTCAATACGATTCAATACGGTATTTTATAATGCGATGATATTGAATTCTTTAACAAGTCTATCAAAAAAGTCTCATATTAAAATCATTTAATACATGAATTTTATAAAAACTACTTGTTTTGCAACTCATTTTAAAGTTCTTGACTCACTGTCATTACAAATTACACTTCAAATTCAAACTAATAACGACTGTAAAATCAACATGTAAAATAAAGTTGCCTATGTATTTTCTAATTAATTATCTAAGATGTGCTACCTCCTTAATGATTAGGCATAATAAAAAATATGTTTGTTTACGGTTACCCGACCGACCCTATATTTAATTGCCAACCCAAATTTTTTTTCATGGTAAAAATCCAGAAGTCACTCACCGGTCAGTTTAACTTTTACATGCATCTTAATCGGTCAAGTGTTTGAAATCGAAAGTACTACAAATAGTCAGTGCAACATGGAATTAAAGAAGAAATACAAAACAGTTTTACCATTGTGTGGTATCTGTAAGGCAGTTGGCAAGAAAAATATTGTCTATCACCCATATGGCAAGCCCAGACAAAGGTAAAGCACCACACAATGGTAAATCTGTTTTGCATTTCAACCAATTCATGTAAATTTGTGTATTAAAAAAATCAATAAAATATAAAAAATATCCTACCCACCGACCCTCTTTTATTTCAGCATGTAACAGTAAAATAACACATTTTTTTGTTTGGCCTTATATCATATTTGATCAATTTTAATTCAAAACAGTTGCAAATAATCTTTGTTGATTTTTCACGGGATTATATGTAAAACTGCTTGTCCGATACATATTAGAAGTTATTTTTTCGATACAATACATTCTTGAATATCGATACGTATTGATATATTAATACAGCCCTAATGTAGAACAGTGTGAATAGATGTGCATTATAAATTCTACAGAAGTATCTAAAGCTATGAGTATATTTCTAAGGGACCTGTTGGTACAGATGCTCGTGCTCGTGTAGGAGTAAAGGCCCCAGGTATCATTCCACGTATCTCCGTGAAGGAGCCCATGCAGACTGGAATCAAAGCCGTAGACAGTTTAGTGCCTATTGGTAGAGGGCAGCGAGAACTGATCATTGGTGACAGACAGACAGGGTTAGTTTATGATGATTATACATGTACTACTATTTTTGGATACTATTTGAAAATTAAATTTTTTTTATTTTTTTTTAATTTTTTTTTTTAATTTTTTTTTTTTTTGTGAATGATACTTTTATTTTTGGGGAGAGGATGAATCACCTTACACACTGTGGTGACCTATTGCTATATGTTCCCATCCTCATGTTACTTTTGTAAACATTTGAACATATTCAGCTTCTCTGAAATTTCATCCAGTTTTAGAACTTGCTTGGAAAGGGGTGGGGGAGGGGGGCTAAGTAGGTCTTTTGTTAAGGACATGGGACTAAAAAAGAAACTTTTGAAAAATTTCTGACAAAAAAAAGTGCGTCCAATACACGTGACTTTATGGTACTCAAAAAAAAAAAATTATAAAATCTTAAAAACAGTTTGTAAAGGCTTCATTAATATTGCTAAAATACATATTTATCATTTCCCTATCAAACCAGCCTTATTATGTATTCTCCCCATATCTATACTTTTATATCTTTATTGAAATTCAATCCAAAAACATGAAAAGATTAAATCCCCCAAAATATATATGAATTTGCTCTAATGTTACCATGTAACAAATTAATTTGAACTTAAAAAGGATGAAAAACAGGAAGCTGTGATCAAATCCTCTCTCTCTCTTGATTTTGGGTATCCTGTGACCTTAAAGAATTCATTGTGGATATGGTTACCTTTCTCTTTATCCCAGGACATTTAACATACATGTATTTTTCATAATTAGTAGGTTTTACCCCCACAAAATTTATATTCTATGGATGCAGGGATAATGCCCCAGCATGGGAATTGGTCATATTTTGAAATTCATTTGAACTATGCAAATTTTCTTCTTTACTCGTGGATATTTGGCATACAATGAGCATACAACTAAGGAAAAAAGGATCATGAACCATTTACCAAAAAAGTAAAATTCTTGCCACATGGGTCAAAAGTTCTAGTCGCACGGGTCAAAAGTTCTAGTCTCATTGATGAGAAACTCAGTCCAGGTGCATTTCGCTCCTTAAATCAACAATGATTTTTTTTATAACTGTAGAAAAACTGCCATTGCCATCGACACCATCATCAACCAGAAACGATTCAATGAATCTGACAATGAGAAAGCCAAACTATATTGTATCTATGTGGCTATTGGACAGAAGAGATCAACTGTGGCTCAGATTGTGAAGAGGCTTACAGATGCTGGTATGTTACATCTTATTGTTGTATGGATATTGGAAAGTCAATTAGTTTGATTAGTTTGATAATGACAGATTATTATTATTTCTTAGTTTCTAAAGATATGCATGTATCTGTACTTTGTAGATGCCATGAAATACACCATCATGGTCAGTGCCACAGCCTCTGATGCAGCTCCCCTACAGTATCTTGCTCCCTATTCAGGTTGTGCCATGGGAGAATATTTCAGAGACAATGGCATGCATGCTCTCATTATTTATGATGACTTGTCAAAACAGGTCAGTTCCGTTACTCCTACTTTACCTAAATTTCCAGTATTTCCTATATGGAATAAAGATTAATGAGTAGAATGTTGAAAATTTCTCAATGTCATCTTTTTATTGTAGGCCGTAGCCTATCGACAGATGTCTCTGTTGCTGCGTCGTCCCCCAGGACGTGAAGCCTACCCAGGAGATGTCTTCTACCTCCACTCTCGTCTATTAGAGCGTGCTGCCAAAATGAACGATGACAACAAGGGAGGTTCTCTCACCGCTCTCCCAGTCATTGAAACACAGGCTGGTGATGTATCTGCTTACATCCCAACCAATGTCATCTCCATCACAGATGGACAGATCTTCTTGGAGACTGAGTTGTTCTTCAAGGGTGTCCGACCCGCTATTAATGTCGGTTTATCTGTCAGTCGTGTAGGATCTGCTGCCCAGACCAAAGCAATGAAACAGGTATGAAGTTTGAATTTATAGGAAATATAAGAAATAGAGGTGAGGCAAATTTGGTATAAAAGCATTTAAATATTTGCTAGTTTTGAGATTCAAATTTTTGTGGTTGATTAGGTGGCAGGTTCCATGAAGCTGGAATTGGCCCAGTACAGAGAAGTGGCAGCTTTCGCTCAGTTTGGATCTGATTTAGATCAGGCTACACAAAACCTTTTGAACAGAGGTGTGCGTCTGACTGAGCTTCTAAAGCAAGGACAGTATGGTAAGTCATTCCTGTGTAAAGATTATACACATACGTGAAATCATGCTTCTTGGATTTCATTGACACAGCAGTAATTCAATGCATTGCTTTTTTTTTTTCAGTGCCAATGGCTATTGAAGAACAAGTAGCAGTTATATATGCAGGTGTTAAAGGTCATCTAGATAAAGTGGATCCCTCTAGGATTACACAATTTGAAGCTGAATTCTTAGATCACATCAGAGGACACCAGCAGGCATTACTTGCCCAGATTCGTACAGACGGACAGATCACAGAAGCCACAGATGCTAAATTAAAAGAAATTGTTACCACTTTCTTGGCAGGATTTGAGTGAGAACAGAGTGAACAGTTAGACCTTTAGTGCTAAACTCTGTGATACATGATTTTACAAGTGGTGAATGTGTGTCTAGACATGCCTCAGAGACCTTGAATACATGTAATAGTTGTTACAATTTGAATTTGATTGCATTAACACATCCAACAATTACATTAAAAGAGAATATTTATGAAGGCTGTATATGTTCTTTTTTATTAGGTTCACTGAGTAAACTTTTGAGCATTTTTAACACTGAAAGTCCCTAATACATGTACACAATTTCCCAGTTTGGTATAATGCATCTTCAAGTGGGAAGAGAGAAATTGTGAAGTTCAAGATCTCAAGCCCAAAGGAGCCTGAAATGTAGGGCGAAACTCAAAATAAATGGAATCTTTACCTTTCGAGGTATAGCTTGCAATCTTTTCATGGTTAACATAAACAATTAGCTATCTACCAAAAAATGTGAGTTGTTTCTTCTGGATTCAGAATATTGTGAAAGTGCAATTTATAAGGGTGAGGATCTCAAGACTATATTGGATTTGTAAGGTTTAAATCCTTGAAATTTAACCCGGGCAATCATAACGAGGCAATCTGCTTGCAATGAACAGTGCATGGTCTCTCTTCCAACATTTTGCCATCTCTTGGGTGATGATAGGTAGGGCTGTATCAGTAAATCCATACGTATCAATATTCAAGAATGTATAGTATCAAAACAAATAACTTCCAATACGTATCGGACAGGCAGTTTTTTCCAAATGATTTTGTAAAAAAAAAATTTGGGAATTTCAATCACCAAAGATTATATTTAGATGTTTTGAATTAAAATTGATCAATAATGATATTATCATTAAGGAGGTAGTGTATCTTAGATAAAAATTGAAGAAAATATTAACTTCAAATCTGTGTCCAGGCCCCCTTTATCTGTATGATGCATGGAGCGTCCATCTCTTAACATAATTTTGAAAGAAAATAAAAAGGGGGAGGTGCAGGGAATATCGAAAGCTTCGTTTTTTGTGAACTTGCTGTTTGGCATCAAAGGTATAAAAATTGTACCGATCAATAATTTTCTATAAAAAAAAAAAATAATGTTGAAAAAAATTGTACTAAGAAAATACACATAAGGCTAAGCATATATTAAGGATTGAACCCACGCAGTAAGAATCTTGACCATCAGTTATGACATTAGAGACTGATTTATAATCATTCAGCCGTACGACTCGTTACAAGTACAGGCCCGTAGGAAGCAAATTCATTTGGGGGGGGGGGGGGGCACAGCCATACATTTTCAGTTGACAGTTGAGGGGGCACTACCAAAAATTTCCTGACAAGCAAACGACCAACGGCCGACGCGGTTTTTTTTTAAGCAAAAAAAAGAATTCTTCTGGTGACAGTCGGCAGTTCATCGATCGTTGTCTTGCCCGATTTTGACTTTTCTTTTTTAGTCGGCCGACGAATTTTTTGTCCATCGGGCCCATTTATAATTTTTTTCTGCGTCGATGGCCGATTCCTTCAAATGAAGGTTAGTCGACCAACCTTCGATCATCGTCCGACCATCGGCAGACAGATTGTTTAGTCGGCCGTCGGACGGTCGACATTTAGGAAATGGGTTTTCGTAATTGTCGGTCGACGATGAAAATCAAACTGCGGCTTAACGAACGATGATCGGGAGACGGTTGACCGACTTACAAATATATATTTTAAACTTTTAAAGGCATTTGATTTTTATCAAAATTTGATCGCCCGACCATCGGCTTAAGTATCAGTCACATTATCCAGCGATGGGGTATACGATGGGCAATCGATGCGTTTTTTGATAAATATGGCGACCGCCGCGTGGTTACCGGCCGGACACTCATAGTAATCGGACGGTGACTGAGGCCGAATCGGTGGGGGTCATCGGGAGAAAATAAGTTGTAGTTTAAAAAAATCAGCGATGTCTCCACCGATGCCCCACATAGCTCCTCATCGGCAACCCATCATTAACACATTTTTCAAAGATCGGTCGTTGTATGGCCGAGCATCGTCCAGTGTCCGTTGAATGTGAGGTCATCGGGGGTGAGTGGTGGGCAATAGACATCGGTCGATGTTCGACCAAACATTGGCCCATAGTTGTCCGATTTACGAACGATGTTCACCAATGTATGAGCGTCACCGGCCGAGCATTGTAGGATGATCGGTGAAAACTATCCGATGTCTGGTCGGTAATCGGTGCCATGCCGGTCAAAAATGATTCTCTCTAGAGTCACTCGTCGCGCCGCACGATCATCGGCGGGGGCATGCCTGTTGCTGTGAAAGAAGTTAAGGACTACTTGGCCGATGAGGACCGATGTTGGGGCATCGCTCACACCACCGATTACTACCGATTACCACCGGTCTACGGCCACCGGTCTACGGCCACCGGCCGGGAAATCTGACTGAGGCTTTAAACGTGACCTAGGTATATGGCTTATGGTATTACTCTTGAATAATTGGACTTCCAACTGAACATCTTACTGAACTCGAGAGCTCAAGTAAATTGATGGAGCAATTGTAATGCATTTTATAAAATATCTATTAGATATATAGATCCACATCTGTAATCTGCACAGTCTCGGTAGTACATTACGTCGTATAAATGCAACTCCGTCACCTGCATGGGCGTTTTATATTACATGTAGTGTATGCCAAGGCACTGAAATATTTTATGCAGTTTTGTTTCATGTACCCTTTTTTGAAACGATTTTTTTTAATACTATTTAAGGTCAGACGACACGTTCCTCGAAAATATATATAATTTTTCCCAAGAATTTGTCATTGAAGTATAGGTAGCTAAACAAGTTTCCTCGCAAAAAATTGAGGTACCTTACCATGCAGGCATTTGGGCAAGATACCAGAGGGTGATATTTCTTATATAATCCTTATGGATAATCTTTTGAATTGCCATTATAACAATTTTTGTTGTACTTGTTTCTTGAAACATATTGAAACCCATTCAAAAATCACAAGAGAATGACAATGATAAGTAATTTTTGATATAATACCGATGTTTGAAATACATATATCTGAGGAACGTGTCGTCTGACCTTAAAATGGTATTTAATTGTATTTTTAAATAAAATAAACAGAAAAAAAAACAATAACTTGAACGTTTTTTTCTTTCATATGCAATAACGACGTACTAATTAACGTTATGTATAATGTGTAGTGCATTACAGCAAATGTAGAAGAAAAATAATATATTTTTAGCCTTATTCAACAGTGTATGCATGCACTGTGATACCTTCCATAGACACTTTCTGTGATATTTTTTAACCCATAGAATAATAAGAACACAAGCTATCAAACTCCGAATTTCGTGGAGTATCCACCTCTCCAGAATCGCAGTCATTTACACTTTCAGGGAAAATGTACTGGCAAACTGTTACCATTATCTTCTACGATAATTTATCTACACAACCATATATGGCATGCTTGTCTTTATTTTCTTTTATATATAGTAGAAAAATATATAAGTATACAAAATAAATTATGTGTAGCTATTGTTTATTTTTGACGCATTCTTAAACTGGACTGTTATAATATCTTGGCATTTTGAACGTGCAAAAACGATCTCAAAATCGCATTCGTTTACAAATAACACGGGTATAGCTAGGACGATGAATTAAAAAGTCATTACATAAGTTTCATTTTTTACCATTATACCGTGAATTCATACCAGTGGTTTGAATATACCCCAATACCTCTCTCTCTTTTCAGGTAAGTTGTCAATTATTTTTTCTGACACCCCCCCCCCATTTTCCGCTTTAAAAAACGATGCTATGTGCTTGCAATTTTTTTTCCATCTAACATCCATATGATTCCACTTTTTCTACATAAACTTTTATTAACTCTACTGACTTCTCCTTTACATCAATTTCCTTTTTATAAATAATTTTCTTTCAAAGAACATGCAAGGTTTAGTCTACCTAGCTAGTTCACGAATAACATTTATGCTGTATCAGATGGACGCTGGAACCTATGGTCCTCTTGTTCAATAAAATGATCTAATCACTATCAACAAAACACCGGGGGTCAAATTTGTATTGAAACGAATTCAGTGGAACCGGCTTAGTGAATTTATGGTAATGAAACTGCATTCTATTTTTAGCATCATATCAGTTGCAGATGTTGCTGTTTCCCGCTAGGTGTCGTATTACAGACGAAACATCCTGTTCAGCTTTGTGATGTGCAGTTGAATAGAGTTTTGAGGAATTTTGAGGAATTCACATCATTTCACTGCGCAAAGTCTGATGTTTTAGTAATAGTAACACTGCAGACGGCAACATGTCGGATAGTGCAGACGCAGGCGGCTCGGAGCAGGATGACTTCTCGTTTTTACGAACGGTAAACTCTTTTCTTTCAAGACATCAGTCAGGGTTCATCCTTGATTAAGCGTTGCTGTTTTGGCATGTGTGTGTGTGATATTTATGTGAGGATGCGATAAACCATACGTATCTCCTATTTGTAGCCCCGCTCAGACATATAAATCTTTGGGCCAGTGTTTACTGTTCTATTGATTAGCCACAGTACACTAATTCTGCAATTATCTGTAATATAAAGGCAATGAATAATTAAAATTTGTTTCATTTGTTTGAAAAATAGTTTCCACACTGTGGGTTGAAACACATGATATTTTAAGTGAATGATTTAAGATCAAGATTCAGAATGACATGCAAATGATTATGAGTCATTCATGTATTGTGTATGAATCAGTTATATAGATACACGTGTGTAAAATCATTTCAAAGTAGACACCGATGGAATCTTTACATGCAACGTTTATGGGAACCACCATATGTTGAGGGTATTTTTTAATGCATCCCAAGCAAAGTTTGGAGTTCTTTTATCAGTTATCAAAATACAGATTTAGCTATATACAATGCAGGAAACTCTCTCAGAAATCAAAACCACAATGATAAGTGGACAAAGGTACAGGTAAAATTTCATATTTTTGTAACAGGAAAGGAGATAATGTATGGCTGGATCGGGAATCAAACCTGGGACCCCTGCATCACTAGTCAGGTGCTCTGTCGACTGAGCTACCCAGGCCCATATCCATATCACAAACGATTACATTCCTTCCTCCTTAAATTGTTTTTGCCCTCGAAGACACAACCCAAGTTCTTATTTGCCCCTGGCAGGACTTTCACCTGCAAGTCCAAGGGTGGTCAACGGCACCAAATCTGTAACAGGAAAGGAGAAAATGTATGGCTGGATCGGGAATCGAACCCGGGACCCCTGTATCACTAGTCAGGTGCTCTACCGACTGAGCTACCAAGGCCGATATCCACATCCCAAACCATTGCATGCTGATATGGTGGCAAGCGTCAAAATAAGAATGTATGTTTGTTCGCTCTAAAAGCTGTTCGCCATTGATGTCATTTGCCATAACTCCTTCACCCAAAGTCTGTTCGCCCTTTATATGTTAGTCGTTTAATTTTTTTCATAATTTCCTTTGATTTTATTGAATTTTGTGAATTTTTCTGTTTGAATTATAATTTATTATAGTTGAACATTCAGTATTGATGAAGAATTTTTTTTTAAAAAACCTGTAAAGTAAGCAATGTGATAATCATTGATTTATTAGTAATGTTATACATGTATAACATTATGTTAAGTTGAGAATAAAAGATTCTTCAAAAAAAAAAAATTGCTCAGATTGAGGCTGCTCATCCCAAATTAAAATGGCTATTGATATGAGGCCAAATAAAAAAATATGTGTGGTTCCGGTTACCCGACCTTCCCTATTTTATACCCCCGACCCTAAACTTTTTTTTGGCAATTTTCATATTTTTTCCGGAATTTCCCCCGATTTCCATCGATGGCTCCAGTTTAGGTTTTAGTTTCAGCAATGACGGCCTCCTTGCAAAACATAGTGCAAGTGTTTAATAGTGTTAAATCCAAAGCAAGCTAGCATGTAGGTGTCCCCTACCAATACTGACTAGTATATTATTACACCACATCTAAATGCCATTTGCAAAGCAGTGATAGGTATTATTTAGAAAAAAATTAAGAAAATCATTTTGTTAAAAAAAAAAAAAAAATCCCTACCTACCTACCCTAATTTTTTTGGAAGTGTAACCGGAACCACACATATTTTTTTGTTTGGCCTGATTAACATCTCAATTTCCTTAGTTTTAAATTATTTTCAAAACATACATGTAAGATGATTACATCTTTGATAAACATTAATTCAATGATAATGATGACATATAATATTTACAATATGGCGAATGGAATATATAGGTGGAGAACGGGATACATGGCAAACGAGAATCAGAACGGACTCATGCAAACAGGTAGATAGGGCAAGCAGACCTGATACCTAAATATATATCAAAGAAGTGTCTCAGAAGGCATCTTTTGTATTTATGGCCTTGGATAAGTCAGTATATATGCAAAGATTTATATACCTGTTGTTGAGAAGAAATATGGCATGCAGTTTCAATTGATTCATATGAAATAAAACAAGAAAGACTATTCAGAGATAAGACTTTTTGTCAACAGTGTAAGTTTTTGGAGTTGACCCCCTCCCCCTTCCTTAAAATTAAAAAATAAATAAAGATCATAATATAAATATGGGAGATCTGTACTTAAAAACAACTGCTGCTGAGCATTAAAGTTTTACATTTGTGCTTCTAATTAATAACAGAGATATTTTATCTGGTATTTACAATGATAGATAGCATATTCTTAATATTAAAAAGTAAAACAATTGACCTCAATTTGATATTATGCAGTCAGTAAACATCATAAATTTCAAAGAATTTTTCCTCTCAGAAGCGATATTTATGTTAAATTAAAGACCTGTACATTCTTGTACTTCGCTCCATGTAGTAGTACAGGCTGAATAGTATAATAATAAAGTCATGCAGACATGATACGTGTGAGGTAAACTGTGTCCCTAATTAATAGTGTCCCGAGGTGACCCTTGTAACATATTGTATTAAATATTAACATGATCAAGTGGGGAGATAGGCAATTAAACTGATAATTTTAATTAAACAGAACCCCCTTCAGAGAATGATATTCAGCATTCTGTCAAATGATAGTTCATTTCTAAAATGGTAACTAATTCACTTTTAAATCAATGTTAATGATCTTTGATTTAAAAAGATAATGTTCTTGTTATCAAATATTAACAGTATTTCCAATTAAAAAAAAAAAAGACAGAATTAAACATGATCCTGACTTATACAAGTTGCAAGTTTTAGGAATTATGGATTGTTTCAGTAACTTAAAAATAAAAAGGATTAATTCCCGGTGAGATAAAAATCTAACATTACCTCTCAATTTACATATGTAATTCAAGAACTTAGTATGTCCCATCTGCACTTCAACTGGATCATAAGTCTTAGGTTTAAATTGTTTTTTGGAATAGATTAGAAACTATCTAGCTAACAGTGTTTTACCGGTACTTAATGAGGAACTAATATTAATTATTCTCTTTCTTTTGCTTTCTGATTTTAATTATGTATGAAATTTTCATAATACTCTCTGAGAGTTCTTGAGTGTTCTTGAAGTACATACATCATATGTATGTTATAGCTTATATTGGCTGTTGTGGTGGTGTCTTCAAGGTCAAAAATGTGCCTGATACTTGGCAATGATCTGCAGCTCAAGGGTAAATTTATTGATGAAAAACCACTTTGACAGTATCACATACAGTTTCTTTCTTGATGACGTATATTTTAATGATGAAGTATTTAATTAGCTATGAGTTCTACATTCATGTGCATTATATCTGATTAATATACATGGTTACAAGGGGGAAGATAATTTGAACCATCAAATGCATGTACCAATTTATGGTTTTAAGCTTGCCAAGAGAAGCTTTTTTATTTGCATTGCACATTTTGATAATTAATTAATCTAATCATGCTTGACAGCCATTACTCTGTTATTTTACATTGTTAAGATCAGTAAGCTGAAAAACTTCACTGACTGTAGACTTGTTTTCTGTGGGGTATACATTATTTGGGTTTCCGTGGAAGTTCAATATGCATGTGAAATAACTATGTAGTTTATTTTATTGCGAATTACTGTCTTGAGAGTTTTGTGTTTTAGTGATGGCTAGTTCTGCCTCTGGTATAATTGAGGTAAGAAATTAATGGTTTTCTTTACAACAACTGCTCATTCTGGTGGCATTTATTGAGTTTATACTAATCACGTTTCTGTAGGCTTGTGCAGTTATGTATGTTAAAATACACTAAATTCATTTTGATAGATCAGACCGCTAAATTTGTATCAATATGTGTTTGCTGTCTGTATGTTATACTTAAATTTTCACTGCAGTCTTAATAATGCTGTCTTGAAATTTAAAGCTGAAGCAATGAATATTCATTGAACATGATGAAAGGATTAGAAGACTGAAATTCAAAACAGTGTAAAATTACATTTTTTGTTTAAAATAAAAAAGCATGAAAATAATTATTAGCAAAATGAAAACAAGGTAAGTTATCTATTTGACATTTTACCCTGAAACAAGCAATTTATCAGAAATTTGTTTCAAATTTTAAGTACAGTCAAACCTTGTTATCTCGAACCCAATGGGACCAAGAAAATACTTCGAGATATCCGGGGGTTTGAGATATCTAGGGTAAAATACTTAAGAAATAAGCGATTGGAACTTCCAAATCACTTTGGCATATCCATGGTATTAGAGATATCAGTGTTCAAGATACCGAAGTTCAACTGTATATACAGAGAACAAAATATTAGTTGTAAAGAAAAAAAAACTTAGGATGCACAGAACCTTGTCTGTTAAGGTTCCAATTTACGAAAAAGATAGTCAAAAGGCAAATCATTGATCATATATTGCATAATTGATATATTCTGTGTTATGAGTTTTATAAATTTATGTCCCAAACATAACAAAGAATTCAGAGATTAGCTTAATTATAAGTGTTTTACACATTCTTGAATGCTTGCATGCCTTTTTGCAGAATATGGGATTTTTGGTAAAATTTTGGTGCTTGAATCAATATTATTTTGTTTTAAATATAAAATAGGCAAATTTAATTTAAATTTTTTTTTAAATAAATGACAGATAATTAAAACTAAATAGTGAGATCAATGGATATGTATAAATAAATAATTAAAGCAGCTACTTCTGAAAACATTTTTTTTTTGGGGGGGGGGGGGGGGGGGGGGGAGAAGGCAAAGCCATTGGATATGCCTTAAAATTTGAATGAGGACTGCCAAGCTAGTGATTATTTAAATCACTGAAGAACACAACAGACATGATATACCCAAGGATAACATATATAATAAGTTTTTTTTTCTTCATATGAAATTTATTTTGGAAAAAAAAAGAAAAAACAAAACAGTGCATTCCCTTTTTACAAGGATGTATTGTTTGTATACATGTACTTTGTAAATTTTTGTGAAAAATGTCTTTGATCAAAAAAAAAATATTTGTTTTGGAGTGTAAAAAAGATTGGACCAGTAATGGCTGAAGTGTCATTCGGCTAAGATGCCAGTAAGTTGAACTCTCAGTCTATCACTTGGCCAATCCATCTGTCTGACCTTCCCGATTTTAACAGTTTTAAAATTTATGACAAATGTTTGTCATGGACTAATTGGCACACTACTGAATGACCACTATATATATACACTGTTTTGGTTCCATATATAAGTGTAATGATTGTACAAAAATCACCAAAATACAAATCCTTCTACAGTAAGTGTGGTAGTGTCAGATACACGGCTTCCTACTAGCTTGGGCTAGTGGGTTAATTATCCCTTTAGCTCAATTGGTAGTGCACTGGACTGGCAAGCCAGAGGCCCTGGCTTCAATCCCCAGCAGAGGCACATAAATGTCTCTGTTACGTAAGTCCACACAAAGTATTTAAAATGTTTTGTTGTTTCTTTATTACACATGTACTGCTACTGCAGCTCATATTAAAGTGCATGTACTTGTAACACAGTGATTTAAAACTTACAATAGCTGTGCACTAACTAGATGCTGTGATTTTGGTTGTAGGATGACATTTTCTGCCTGAGCTGTGTGACGTCCTCCAGGGACAGTGATACAACAGAGAGGGTGTGTCTGGCTGCTGAGGGGTTCGGAAGTCGTGTGTGCTTCCTGGAAAATATCTCCAGTAAGGTAAGGGGTCATTAAAGACATCTCCAGTAAGATAAGAGATCATTAAAAACATCTTCAATAAGGTGTCATCAAATAATCTTCAGTATAAAGTTGAGAGGTCATTAACAAAAAATCCAGTAAGATAAGAGGTCATTAAAATCATGTTTAGTAAGGTAAGAGGTCATTTAAAACATCTCCAGTAAGATAAGATGTCATTAAATAATCTTCAGTAAGGTGAGAGGTCATTAGAACAACTCCAGTAAGGTAAGAGGGCATTAAAATAACATCAGTAAGGTAAAAGGTAAAAAAAAAAAAACATCTCCAGTAAGGTAAGAGGTCATTAAAAACATATTTGGTAAGGTAAAGGGTCACTAGGAACATCTGTGGACAGATGAAGGATCACTAGAAATATCTAAAGTAAGGTGATGTCACTAGGAATATCTCCCATAATTTAAAAGGTCAGAAGAAATATTTCAGTAATTAAATGATCTCCAGTAAAAAAACAGATGACAGAAAAACATCTATAGTAAGAGAAAGACTCACAGAAAAAGCAATGGTTAGGTACCGGCACGGGTCACAGGAAAACATTTTTAGAAGGATAAAGGGTCTCAGAAAAAAAATCTCTTGGCAAGATAACAGGTTTTCAGTAATGTAAGGGGTCACAGAAAAATATTTTCAAGAAGAGAAAACCATTAAGAAAAACAAGAGTGGGCAGGGTTACTAGAAATATCTTCAATAATGTAAGGGAAAGGGGGAACTCTTGTAAGTTATCAATTTTGAAAATTATAGATATATATATACATATAATTATATTATAATTGAAATAAAAAAGACTAGATACTGGTATGTTGCAGATACTCAGTTCTGATAAAGAGGCTTATACTGTTATACAGCTATGAATAGTGTGTGTTTTTGTGCAAAATCTTTATGTTCTGGTATGTTTGTGTTTGAAAAATGAGTCACAGAATCAATGTCTGTTCACTTATCAAAAAAAGAATCTGTGTAAATGATCTCTCAAAGTCACAGCAATGAAAAATATGATGTACATACATGTGTATATTTAAAATAGAATTTTATGTCTGGAAGTTGACTGATGTCAAAAGTAACAGGAGTGTTGGATAGTTGTTCAAGAGAGGAAACACATTCAGAAAACTTGGGATATATCTTTTGCTTAATAACAAGAAATGTATTTCTTGTAAAACAATTAAATAGGTGGTGTCCATACTTTGTCTTTTACCCTCCTCCCCCTCCCCCTTTCCAAAAAAAAAAAAAATCAAAATGGCTATGCATTGAACATATTATAAATGTTGGTTTATGCTAGAAAATGATTGTGGGTGTAAGAGGAAGCACATTAAAGTTTGACAGCTCAGTGTGATAGATGTGAGGGAGAGACAAATTACATAACAGATGAAAATCTTGAGACTGATCAGATGCTATTATTCCACTAAGGAATATGGTGGCTGGAATGATTGATCACTGCTTCATTGAAGTTGCATTATTATATAGTGGATTAAGATAAAATCTTTGGGTCATGATTTTGAATCCCACTGTGGGATGTGGAAACCAGTGAAAAATGTTGATTATATTTTTCATTTTTAAATTGATCAGCACAAGGCAAAATATAAAATCTATGGTCCCTATTTTTCTTGTAAACCCCAATACTGGCTGATTGCACTTGATATTTATATTTGTATATTTGTTATCTGTAAATAGAGGCATCTCTATATGTGCACAATTCTTGTAAGTTGATGCATCTTCAGTATCATAAATAAAGTACATTTGCACTTTTTTATCTGGAATCCACAGGGGATTGTCTCACTGGTATTTGTTTTCATTCAGACACAGAATTTTTGGTGTCAGTTGTGTATGCATCTTGTCACAAATTTTAAGATAGTGTTTTTCACAACTAGTCATTTATGACTGGAAGCCTGCTATGTTTTGGATCAGATGGGATGTGTTGAGAGGAGATCAGCTGGTTGTAATTACTACAGACAGTTTACATGCCAGATTATTTTGTATTGCACACACGATTATCTAGTGTTCATGTGCCAGCTTTTTGTATGTATGTACAAGCTGCACAGACATAAACAAATTTTCATCCAACAATGTTGGAATCTAACATTAAAAGATAGATTATATAAAGGTCATTTGCTATGTAAAATTTCAAGTCTCAAAATCATGAAGTTGATCATAATTATATAATTCCAATTCTGTTAAAATATTATTTTCCTGAAAACATAATGCCATTGAACACCAGGAATAATATTTGTCAAAGAGTGCATGCAGTATAGCATGATTGCGTAAGGTAAACACCTAAGCCTTTGGTTTGTACATTTAGGTGAGATCACACCATATGTCAACTTTTGTTGCTGGAACATTAATCAATCAGCCTGCGTTCTGATGATCAGATTCAATGTCAAAATGTCTTTGAAATGTGTTTTATCAAAGCATCAAGTTTATTTAAGTATTCATGATAAATGTAAAAATATATAATGATTGAAGAAGAAACTTGGTACACATTGCATCTTCAGGGTTTGCTTGATTTAGATCATGGATTTGATCCACATAAAACTAACGTTTATACATTGAATTTATCAGTTGCAAAAAGAGCTTTCCAAAACTTGAGTGCTTGGTAATGTGATAGGAGTCGCTCCATCATATTTAATTGCTGTTTTAAATCCAACCAATAATATTTTTGAAAGCACACTGCAACCATTTTGCTACTGTGGATCATAGGAATGACAATAATCACACTGAGCACAGAGCAAGATGAAGTATCCATTTAATATATCTTAGTTATATGCTTTCTGAAACCATATGTTGCACAAAAAATAACATAGATATTTGATGCTAGGTCTAGATCCAAAACGGAGACCAATTAGATACAACTTTGCATCACACGTGTTATTTTTTTTAATTTGGTAATGTTTTTTGCCACCTCTGAGAGTTTTCCGTGTTTACGCATAGAGTACTGCTTGTGGGTCATGCAAGTTTGTCCCAAAAATTTATCATTAGAATTATGATTACTGAGAAACTTTTTTAGAATTAGACACTGATACCTGGTTGTTAGTGGAACAGCCTGTTCAGGAGAGCTAGATGTCTAGCTTCTAGAGATTAGAACACCTGCCACCATCTTAAAATTCATTGTAGGATCTACGTACAATTAAATGTAGTTCTAGCTGTTACAGCAACTTGCTTAGTCTTGCCCATGGCCATATGCAACAACTGTAAGATTACTGATATAATATATGGTGAACAGAAATGACAACAAATTGCTCTTTTTGTTGAAAAGATGGGATTAAATATTGATTTTACAGTGAATTCTTACATCTTATATTTATATATCAGCATTATTCATTTGGATGAATGGTTTAGTCTACTAGTGAAGTAGTCTAAATTATTTGCTTATGTTGATACTTTAGTAATGCATGTGTCATGTGGCAAAGTTGCTAAAATCCAAGACCTTGCCAATTAACTGGTTCTATCACCTCTTAAAAACTTTTATAATTACAGTAAAACACCCATATAGCGAACACCTTTATAATTACAGTAAAACACCTTTATAGTGAACACATTTATAATAATGAATTCATGCTTACAACAAAGCGATTTTCATTCCTCTTGGATTTAAATCATATTGTAAACTGTGGATATAACGAATTACGTTTATCACAAAGCAAAATCGCTCCTCCCTGGCACTTCCCTATAAGCTTGTTTTACTGTATTTCTTCTTTCACTTGAAACCAAAAATAAATTTAATATGAATTCATTGATCTGTTTAATTAAAAGAGCTCTCGTCATAAGATACCTGTATATGTAATAAAGCACAAGATTAATGCAGGTATCCTCCGTTATTTAATGATCATTAAAATCTTGATGTTCTAATTTTACAGGATGTCCCGCCGGATATTTCGGTTTGTTCCTTTGTGTTGGAGCAGGCACTTTCGGTCAGAGCTTTGCAGGAAATGGTGTCTGCCTCATCTCCGGAATCTACTGTACGTTACAGCAAAGTTAACAAGATGTTTTAGAATTACAGTTCATTTGATTTTTTTATTATAATGTGGGAGTGCTTTTTTTTCTGTTGCTGTAGGCTGCTCAGTCTGGACATAGGACGCTACTGTATGGACATGCTATCCTACTTCGACATCTCCACAGCAATATGGTCAGTCAGCAATGGAATTCTGATAATAATTCCACTCCTATTGATCAGTGATTCCCTTGTGTTCTCACATAGGAGAATTCTATAGATTATTCAATTATTAATCATAAGAAAAAGCATGAATAATTTTTTATGCCCAGAATTCATAAATCTCATTAATTTTAACCGTCAGTATTCATTACAGTATGATATACAATGCAAGGGGAGGGGGGGGGGATCAAGATTTAAATTTTTCATGTTTTAAAATAAAGATACTTATGTTGTAGAAATAAGTACTCTTTAGAGCAGGAATGTAGTGTAATCAAATAGGTTTGCTTTGAGGTTGCAATGCATTGACATACTATGATTTGTCCTGTTTTTTATTTGATTTATATGAAACAGTACTTGTCCTGCCTTTCCACCAGTTCCTCAAATGATAAACTAGCATTTGATGTTGGCCTTAAAGAAAAAGCACAAGGTACAGCTTTCGATTTTTTTTCTCTTCAAAAAAGTGTCAGAATATTGCATGATATTGATTAATCATTGTAACCTGTTTGGCAATGAAATTTTGGTTATATACTTATATTCTATATAAAACAGTTTATCCTTCAAAGAATATATTCTTTGAATTGAAGAGGAATTGCAACATGTTTTATCCTTACGCAGATAATTTTATACTGTATTTTAAAAAGAAATTTCGTACAAAATTGTTGTACATTATGTAACATCAGTAAGAAATCCAGATACTGATGACCTTGTTGATTGTGAACTTTTATTTCAGGTGAATCCTGCTGGTGGACCATTCATCCAGCATCCAAACAGAGGTCAGAAGGTGAAAAGGTCAGAGTCGGAGATGATCTGATTCTGGTCAGCGTTTCCTCTGAAAGATACCTTGTAAGTCAAACTAAAGGAGAACAAATGCAAATATCCATGCATTACTTTTATTTATATCTTGGTTGAAAGAATTTCAATTTGATACTTTACGATTTATCTGCAGCATATAGGCAGTGGTTCCATGGTGATTGCGTCATTCCAACAGACATTGTGGACAGTGAACCCGATGTCCTCTGGTGCTTATAGACTGAAGTCTGTGGGTAAGATATCATTGTTTGAAAAATTAACAATAATTCAATAATTGTCCAAATTTATTTCTGAAGTTGTACATTGTAATCAGTCTATCTCTGTCATAGGTTATGTATTTGGGGGTGATGTCATTCGCCTCTTTCATGGACACATGGATGAGTGTCTGGCTATCCCTGAAGCAGGCAGTGAAAACGAATTCAGGTAATGTAATTATTTACAATAAGTTGTGTTAATGTCTTTCAGAGCTTGAAAAGCAAGAGAACAAGTGTAGGTATTTACAATGTTCTGATTTCATGAAATGGGGATGTTGATAGACCTGAATAATGTTTTATTCAAATTTGAATTTAAACTTTTATGAGAAACTTTTGTATTCTTTCCTGGATAATTTACTTTGTATTCACCATGATATTTTAACACTTCAGTGCTGTGATGTATGAAACTGGAGCAGTGTGTAGTCATGCCAGATCTTTATGGAGGATAGAAATCATCAAAACTAAGTAAGTCTGCCCTGTTACTGGGATTATCTTGTACATAGATTCAGTACTTGTAAACTAAGTTCAATTTACAGCAGGCACTGTAGGTTATCCAGTATTTAATGTTGCTAGTTCTTTTTCATTATAATCCACTTGGCACTACTTATGTTAAACAATGAAGAGTATGGAACAAGATAAGTTTATATGGTAACTTTTAAATAAGATTTCTATTTACATCCACTGAATATTTTCTCCCTAATTTATTATGAAAATCTTTCTCTTAATCAATTCATTAACTCTAAGCTAGTGAGACCTGTTTTTTAAAAGCCATCTGTATGAAGGATTACTTGAGCAGTGGGCTCTTCCATCAGAGAAACATACCATGACATACAGATCAATAATACAATATTATATGTACTTAAACATACATTATATGATTTTTTTTATACAGGTGTAAATATAAACAATAAATTGGGGTGTTTTTTGTTTGTTAATGCAGGATTAGTGGTTGCAACCATTGCAGAAAAATCACATAACTTGCTCACATGAGTTATATATCTTATCTGCAATAGTTGCAACCATTAATTCATGCATTAACAAGAAAGCAATGTATTGTTTAAATTAATTCTCTTTATTTTCTTTTTCTTTTGTGCAAACTGCACTTTATAAAGGACTGAGTAACATTAACTGGTTATTTTTTATGGACCCCATTTGAATTGTTAATATTACGTTTTTATATTGTAGATGGTCAGGGGCATTCATTCAGTGGGGACAGCAGTGTCGTTTACGTCACGTGACCTCAGGTCGTTATTTGGCAGTGACACATGACAAACAGGTTATCACAGTTCACAGGAACAAAGCAGCAGAAAGAGCTGTCACCTTTTATCTCCTCCAGACCAAGGTAGTGCTTTAAGAACTATTTGTACTTCCTCAAGAAGGAAGGAGAGTTCTACTTTATGATATTGTTATTTAAGACCTTAATTTTTCTTGACCATCCTATAGACCAAGGTTAAATTGTAAAACCATTTTCTCTTAGATCTTAATTCTAAACCAATGTCGGATTATAAAATATCTTCCTTTTATTCAAAGATATAAACATAATTCCAATTATAAGAATTGTTTAATGTCCTCCAGATCAATGCAAAATAATTAGATTTTTATGCCCCGCCATGAATATGGCCGGGACATATAGTGTTTGTCATGTCCGTCTTCCGTCCTTCTGTCTGTCCTTCTGTCACACTTTGTGTTTAGCTCTGTTCAAAACTCAGTTTCAAAGAAACTATCCAAGATATTTTTATCAAACTTCATATGCTGATAGATATTGATGAGGGCTATGCAACTGCATCAACACTTTTTTTTACCTTGACCTTTCCTTTGACCTTGACCTCACTTTTCTTAAATTAGTGTTTAGCTCAGTTTTAAAGATACCATTCAAGATATTGTAATCAAACTTCATATGTTGATACATTCTGATGTAAGTTTTTCAACTGCATTAGCATTTTTTGACCTTGACCTTTCTTTTGACCTTGATTTCACTTTTCTTAAATTAGTGTTTAACTCAGTTTTAAAGAAACCATTCAATATAGTGTTGTCAGACTTCATATGGTGATACATACTGATGAGAGCTATTCAACTGCATCAACATTTTTTGACCTTGACCTTTCCTTTGACCTCACTTCTCTTAAATTAGTGTCAAACTTCATATGCTGATACATACTGGTGTAACTTATTCAACTGCATCAATATTTTTGAACCTTGACCTTTCCTTTGACCTTGACCTCACTTTTCTCAATTGTGTTTAGCTCAGTTTTAAAGAAACCGTTCATAATATTTTTTTATCAAACTTCATATGCTTATACATACTGATGTAACCTTTTCAACTGCATCAACATTTTTGTGACCTTGACATTTCCTTTGACCTTAACTTCATTTATTTTGAATTAGTGTTTAGCTCGGTTTTTAATAAACCATTCAAAATATTTTATTAAACTTAATATGCTGATACGTATTTGTGAGAAATATTCAACTGCTTCAAAAACAGTTGACCTTGAACTTTCCTGTGACCTAGACCTCACTTTTCTTAAATTTGCATTTTGCTTAATTTTAAAGAAACCATTTAAGATATATTTATGTAAGCTTATCCACTAATACATAATTTGGTAAAAATTTATCATCTATATGCAACTTTTTAGATTTCAATTTCAATTTTAAAGAAACTATTCAAGATATTCTCGTCAAATTTCATGCCTCATACCCTCGGCGGGGCATTCATGTCCTATGGACATATTTTAGTTTTTACTAGACTGATACGGAAATAGAAGCATCATTTGATTGGTGTATCATTTGTTGTTTTATGTAGTAAAAATGACTTTAATCACCAGAACCATCAATTCCTTTGTAGGATGAGAAGAAGCAGTCTGAGACTTCAGAAGATGAGGGGATGGGAAAGTCAGACATCAAGTATGGTGACACCATTGTGTTCATCCAGCACTGTGATACAGGACTCTGGCTATCTTACCAAACAACAGAGGTCAAAAAGAAAGGAGTGGGCAAAGTGGAGGAAAAGAAGGTATGTAGGTCAAAGAAAAAAAGAGTGGGCAAAGTGAAGGAAAAGAAGGTATATCAGTAGGAAAAAAAGAGTAGGCAAAGTGGAGGAAAAGGGTATGTAGGTCAAAAAGATAGGAGTAGGCAAGATGGAGGAAAAGAAGGTAAGTAAGTCAAATAGAAGGGAGTGAGCAAAGTGGAGGAAAAGAAGATATGAAGTACTTGTTTTCTTAATTAAGTCACTGCCGTATTAAGCATTTCTTAGACAGAAGATAGTGTAAAAGCTTAAAAGTTAGTTTTTGTGCATGTTTTTAGTACTCATTCATTTCTCCGTAGGGTTTTTGGTTTTGATAATCATTGCTTATTCTCTATTGTTAAAAATTCAGGCTGTGATGTTAGTGGAAGGACATATGGATGATGGGTTTACATTCTCTAGAGCCCAGGAAGAGGAATCAAGGTCAGCTCGAGTCATACGCAAGTGCCAGTCAATCTTCCATAGGTTTAACAAGTAAGTACCTTCATTTTGCATTTGTGATTATATTTTTGATTGATTTAAAAATGATGCTCTCTGAAGAAATGTAGAGGAGATACAGATACATCATCACTACTGTTCTTGCAGTGTTCTGGACACTTTGAAAACAGAAGGGCGATCTGGAGCAGCATGGTCTAGGATAACTCTATCAGAAGTCCTAAAATGTTTGGAAGATTTGATAGAGTATTTTGCACAACCTGACAAAAATGAAGGTAATATTTCCATAGAGAAAACATTCTAGTCCATATTTTCCACCCGAGCTTCTGGTGGATTTTGAATCCTCACTCTTCTTTTGTTTTCAGAACATGAAGAGAAACAGAACAAGCTGAGAGCTTTACGTAACAGACAAGACTTATTCCAAGAGGAGGTGAGGAGATTCATTTTTTCATGAAAAACAAGTTTACATGTAGGTTGATAAATGGCTCAGTCATTTGTTAGATATTATGAGTAAATTAATAACATTATTGAGGTGTATTGATTTCTAGGGTATGATAGCAATGATTCTGGAGACCATTGACAAGTTCAGTCAGTACAAGAGTCCTCGTCACTTTGCTCACTATGCAGGAGAAGAGGCTACAGACAAATATGAAGACATTGCCAGTTACCTCTACCTCTTGTTGGGTACAGTATACTACAATGTTTCAAAGTTCATCAAACAAATTAGTCTTTACTTTTTTAAAGTACAACTGCTTGAAATTTATTAAAATCTATATATACAACTGAAATTGTGTATTAATCAATGCTTTCAGTGTTTTTCATTTCTTTTAAAAGTGGAAGTTATTGAATTTGTTTGATAATTGTTTTGATGTTTGTTATTAGCTGCCATGATTCAGGGTAACCGTGCCAATTGTGCCCAGTTTGCCCAGTCTTACCGCCTGGACTGGTTAGTGAGGAGGCTGGAAGGGCAGCAGTCCTCTAAAGGTGTGCTGGACGTCCTACACTGTGTACTGATAGACAGTCCCGAGGCCCTGAACATGATCAAGGAAAAACACATTATCACAATCATATCACTCATAGACAGGCATGGGCGGGATCCCAAAGTAAGTGGATAAACAAACCATTGATTATAAAAAAAATTCTGGATCAGATTTTTTCCCCTCTTATGTGCTGTTAAAAAAAGTCAGTCATTGAGCTCTGCTATTCCTTACTGATAGGTTCTGGATGTGTTGCGGTCATTGTGTGTTGGTAATGGTGTTGCTGTGAGAACAAATCAAAATCTGATCTGTGATAACCTTTTACCTGGCAAGGACTTACTGCTGCAGACTAGCCTCATCAACCACGTATCAAGGTAAGCTGTATCAACTGTGTATCATAGTAAGCATCATCAGCTAGGTATCATCAGCTTTGTGTCATGGTAAACCTCATCAACTGTGTATCATGGTGAGCCTCATCAGCTATGCATCATGGTAAACCTCATCAACTTTGTATCATAGTAAGCCTCATCTCATCTATGAATCAAAATTTGCCTCAACTATGCATCATGTGAAGCCTCATTGACTATGTATAATGGTTAGCCACATCAACTATGTATCATGATAAGTCCCATCAACTATGTATCATGTTAAGCCATATCAACCTTTGTATCATGGAAAGCTTCATTAGCAATATCTCAAGGTAAGCCTCATCAACCATGTATCATGGTAAGCCTCATCAACTATAAACCAAAGTTTGCCTCATCAACCATTACACCTATCAAGGTGAGCTTAAGATTTTACAAAACACTTTTCCATTGTTTGTAGAATAGAAGTGCACAGTATATATGCAGATGTGGATTTATTTCAAATTTACTACAGTAATTCTGGATTATTAACTAAAAACTGGAATGGCTTGAAGTTAGAAAAGAAATGTTATGAATTCATTGATATGTATTTGAATTGCAGTATAAGGCCAAATATATATGTTGGTGTTAAAGAGGGATCTTCCATGTACAAGAAGTGGTATTTTGAAGTAGTCGTCACTCAGTTTGAAGCAGCCAATCATCTTCCACCTGTACTTAGATTGGGCTGGGCCAACACAGAGGGCTTCATACCATACCCAGGAGGTGGTGAACACAAAGGTGGAAATGGCATTGGAGATGATCTGTATTCATATGCATTTGATGGAGTCAACTTGTGGACAGGTTAAAATGCATATCTGTTTGGATTCTGTCATTCATTTTGAATAATTAACTGTGGTAGAATGTAATGTATATGAGACATTTTAAGTTTCATAGGGTTATGTTGAATATTCTTAAGATTAGGGTAATGTATCTCACTGCATGCAATATTCATAACAGCTTAATTTTCTTCTAGGTGGTAAGAGCAAGACTGTGAGGAGTTCTGGGGATACCTTTAAACCTGGAGACATTATTGGCTGTGGCATTGACCTTACTATCCCACAGATTATCTTCTCTGTCAATGGAAAACAAGTCCTGGGCTTCTTCAAAGACTTCAATCTGACAGGACTATTCTTCCCGGTTATAACTATGTCTGCCAAAGTTGGGTAGGTCAAACAAAGAATGTTATATGGTATTATCTCCATACTCAAGGACTGCTTATCATTTGATGATCATGATGCTGAAAATAGAAGTCAATAACTGAACTTCAGAATAACCTCAAATTAAGTGACAGAAAGTGTTCTTGATGTTCTTGTACACTGTGTCTTAGTTGACTCACTTAAGACTCATGTTTTTGGTATTATTTTTAACAGTGCCCGCTTCATGCTGGGTGGAGAACATGGTCGACTGAGTCATGGCCCTCCCCAGAGTCACTCGGCGGTGGTAGAGTCTCTGATGCCCAGGGACAGGCTGAGACTGGACCCCTGCTTTGTGTTTGGAGAAGTGTCAAAGAATGTTCTGAGTGGACCAACAGAAATTACAGACTATGTTCCCTTTGTGCCAAAAGCTATAGATACCTCAAATGTAATTATCATTCTCTTCTTTAATTTGTCCTTTAGAAATAGGCATGGAACAAAAAAGAGATCAGTTTCATTTCTAGTGGATAAAGTCAGAGTTAAATATCAATGGATCAGAGTTGATTGTTATCTCACAAAATTTCTGATGAGCTACATGTTCAGAAAATTTGAGTTCAAAATATTTTGAAAAGAGAATGACTTGAGGATTTTAAGGGAAAAAAAAATGTCATTCTTGAAGGAAAGCATCATCATACAGCTGGATTAATCAATGTGCTTTCAAAGAGGAAAATCCTGCTTTTGTTAGATGATGTGTCATGACTCATCCCATCCTTGGGTTACTTAATGCTGGTCTGACTATACTTCATTCTTATTTTGTAGATATAAAAATGTTTTTACATTTAGGATTTATTGAATGATGTCTCTATTCCATCTTTCTAAACATAAAAATTAAATGTTTTGTAGATTCAGTTACCAGTGTACATAGAAAAAGTAAGAGACCGTTTAGCTGAGAACCTGCATGAGATTTGGGCTGTCAGTAAAATAGAGCAAGGCTGGAAGTATGGAGAAATCAGAGACGATCAAAAGAAAACCAATCCCTCTCTCACCAATTTTGAAAAACTTCCCAAATCAGAGAAGAAATATGTAGTGACAGTTGCCTATGAAACACTGAGGTGAGGAAGTTCTCCATTAGATTGCTGTTACTTTTGTAAATGGATCAGAAAATGTATTCATATAAAAGAACATATGACATATGCACTTATATTTTATTTGTAGAACACTTCTGGCTATTGGTTACCATATATCAATGGATGCTCAGAAGAAGGAAAACAACAGGCTCAAGATGGTTAAACTTGGCAATGAGTAAGTTCACTACTGAGGCTTGTGTGATAGTGCAAAAACATTTATAAAAATAATTTTTCTATTGCCAGTTTAATGTGTTCCTCAAATGAAGCATTTACAAATTAGACATTAAAGTGAGAAGTGGTGATTTACAAGTACATTAAAATTTAATGATCGGTTTCCAACAGTTTTCTGCAGAGCAATGGCTATAAGCCAACACCTTTGGACTTGTCCACTGTACAGATGAGTGAGGTCCTGGAGGACTTGGTAGACATGTTGGCAGAAAACACACATAATGTGTGGGCCAAGGACAGAATCAAACATGGCTGGACTTATGGATTATATGAGGTATGATTAAACATTCCTATGATGTGTGATAAAGTATTGAAAGAACGTGAATATAGGGAATGCTTCAACTAGAACTATCAGATGTATGAGCTCTTTGTTCAGATGTATGAGCTCTTTGTTCTTTGAGACTTAGATTTTAAATTTCAAAAGGTTTTGAGGTAGTGTAGTCACCTTAATTAATGATTAATCAGTTGTCCATGTAGTCTTAGAGTATACTGGAGAGAAAAACATCACTGAGGTTTATTCAAGATTGAATTCAAAGATTTCTTAATCTATTAAACATTAATGTCATTTGTGAAATTATTTCTATGTTTTACCTAAAATATAGGATACAGCAAACAAAAGAAGCCCATTCTTGGTACCATACAGCAGAGTTGATGAAAAAATCAAGAAAGCAAATAGGTATTATCATTACTGAAAGTTTGGGGATTAGTAAAAAAAAAAAAAAAAAGGTAACTATTGCTGCTTTTATATTTATATAATTGGGATGATATTTTAGGGAAGAAGCCAACCAGACTGTGAAGACATTGCTGGCCTATGGTTATAATTTAGAACCACCCACAAGTGAAATGGGGGAAAGTTCTCTCAAAGGTCAGCAAAAGTAGAGTGTATTAGATGTAAAAAAAATTGTTGATTTCTCTGCTGTAATTGCTATACACGTAATTGTTTTTTCAATATATATATATATATTTTTGTTGTTTAGCTCATGTCAGTGAGAAAATGGAGAAACTGAACAAAACTAGGACCTACAGAGCTGAAACCACATACGGAGTGACTTCTGGAAAATGGTGAGATGTAATAGCTTTGATAATGAAAATCTGGTTTTTATTTTGCAAAAAATCAATTTTATAATTCATCCTTCTAAATGATATACTAACTGTGTTGACACTGATTTTGTAGGTATTATGAATTTGAAGTTATTACTGCTGAGTTCATGAAAGTAGGCTGGGCTAAGATTTCTCTTGATTCAAGTACAGAACTGGGCTTAGATGGCAGTTCCTATGCATTTGATGGCTTTGGGGTAAGTGAATAAGACCAGGTACTAAAAGATGTGACTGAATTTCTATTTTCTTGTACTAAGCATTTGATTTTCTGACATTCAAATGTACATCAAACATAAATTTATGTAACCCAGGGAAGGAAATGGAATCATGGAGCTGAACCTTATGGAAAACTCTGGAAGACTGGTGATGTTATAGGATGTATGCTGGATCTCAATGACAAAACCATCAGTAAGTCAAACTTTCAATCTGGGGATCATTAATTTTCAATTATCTAAAATGTCAACAACAGAAGTGATAGTCATCATCAACCTTGCATGATCACTGGTTACTACTATCATTCCTGTTTATAAATGGTTGATATTGATTATAAGTTAGCAGTTTTTATAATAAAGAATCTATTTAATTACAGCATTTTCTCTGAATGGTGAGCTGATGATGGACTCTATGGGTCAGGAGATAGCCTTCCGAGGGGTGGAGACAGGAGAAGCATATGTCCCTGCCGTTACCCTCAGCTGTCACCAGCAGTGCAAACTCAATCTCGGCCAAGATGTAAACACACTCAAATTCTTCACCTGCTGTGGTCTGCAGGAGGGATATGAACCATTTTGTGTGTATGTATGAAACTTACTTGATATGGATCATTTTTAATGAGTTGATTGTAGAGTATTTTGACTTGTAAGAGAATCTCACACTTGCTATATTTACATGTAATAAAAGTGTACATTTTGCAGCAATATGACCCGACAGATGACACTTTGGTATGGGAAGGAGTTAGCTTTGTTTGGTGACATTGGAGAGGATCATCCACGACTGCAGGTGCAAAGAATCCCAGGGGCGTAAGTATTGAAGAACTTAATAATATGAAAGATATTGTTCCCTTGACTCTCCTCTAAATTCTATTCTATACTTACAGTTGTATGTAAATTACTGCAGGTTCTTTATAATGCGCTTGGCTTTAATTGTTATGATTAAATACAAATAGTCATATTAAAGATAGGAATAGGATAAAACTGTTGCTCTTTTGCAGGAAAAATGTCACCCCTTGCTTAAAAGTGTTATCAAAAACTTTTGGAACATTGGAGAAGGTGCACTTGGAATACCTTCGTCTTGGACTTCCTGTGATCTGCAAAGATGAATTTGTCACAAGGTAGATTTCCAGAATGGTGAAAAAAGCCATATATTACACACTACAATCTTTGATCACCTCTGATGTATTTGTAAGCACATGTCTTCCTTTTGTAAAACAGGTCTGCAACATATCCTACAGCCTATGAGAGACGCATGAACTTGGAAAACATTCGTAGACATGAAATGGACATCCAGGAAGAGAGTGGCTACTCTCTCAATGACTTGGACACAACAATGGAAAATGGGTCGCTGGACAACAGTCGAATCCTTACAGGTAGAAACTGACCAATGTTAATGACCACAGGTTGTTTTTACTTTGGGGAAGAAATTGTTAAGTGTGGTGAAAGTTATTGAATTACAACAGAGGGCATAGAAAGCACTAGATAATTGTGATTGTTTGTGAGAATTAGAATAGAATGTAGGATGGTCTTTGACTAACTGTCAACTAAGTTGAAACTTACATGCATTTTACTAGCTGGTGGTATTTATATTATAGCTCCTCAAGTCAACTTTTTAATTAGCAGAGAGTAAGAGACAGTGATTAAAATTACTAAATAATTAAACAGTGTAAGAATGTCGGTTATAATGGTTAGATGCTGCATGTACATTAGAACTGATTAACCAAGTGTCTAGCATGGACTTGGAATGGCATGATTTTTACACAGCAGATACTAAACAAGCCAGCAGTCCCTCCAGCAGTGGGCCCAGTGATGCGACCCAGCCAGAGGCTGCCCCTGTAACCCCCGTCAATGGGGAAACCTCCATACGTAAGTCTGGTTAGAAATCACCTCTTAACCTGTCCAGGTGCTCTGTGTTACAGCATTGTATGTTCACAATGTGGTGTTAATCTTTATGATAAAGAGATTACATACTAAAGCTTGTCTTTAGTTTGCTGAAAGGTATTGGGATTTTTCTCCAATAATGGGTGAATAAGATGCAGGCACAGTACAAGAACTTATCAAATCTCAGATCTTGTATGAATAATTACATAACAACTTACAACTGATATAGTGAGGAAATGATGACATATACATTGTTTGTCCAGCATGTGCATTTTACATACGTTACTTGGTATTTGTGTGCTATTTGTGTGCATTAACAGGTGGTTTGTCAGGCTTCCATAACATTAAATGCTTATACAAGTAATCATTTAGTATAAATTTTATAAGCTCTAATTTTGTTTTTAAAAATACCATGTAAAACATATTCACATTTTTTTCTTCTAATTGTTATCAAATGAAATCCTTCAATTTAGGTATATTACATGTTTTTAGATGAAGATGATGAGGAATATGCAGAAGACATGATGAATGGTGACACAGACTACAGAAAATGTAAATATCAGTTGCAAAAATATTGTAGCATGTCCATTAGTTTAGATTCCTGGAAAGAAAAAGAATTCTTCATGTTTGTTAATTATTTATGACATGTTGTCATGATTCTAGTAGACTACCGGGTAGTTTTCACATGTGTGTTTTGTAATTTCAGCTGGTTATTCAGAAGATGCTGACTTCAATCAGTCAACAGCTAGTGATCGTCGTAAAAAATATCTGGACAAAAGTGGTCGCCACTCATTAGATGATACAGCACAGGACAAGATGTCAACGTCTAGAATTAAACCCGCCTCCAGTGAGTCTCGTCTCAGTGGCACAGACAAGCCAGGGTTGAATGTTCCTGAGGGGAAGAGATCATCCTCCAAATTATCCCTCTTGGGAGACAAACTCATGGATACTGCAAAGTCCATTGGAGATAAGAAGTCTAAAACTGGAAGGTCCCCTTTTCCCAGTATTTTCAAGAAGTCCAAAGGACAAGACACTCAACAGGATGGCAAGAGGACTAGGAGTGTAGAGTATGGGAGCATAGACAGAAGAGTGCACCCAGGACACAGTCACAAGGAACACCATAAACCGCCCAACAAGGCAGCCACACTGCCCATGTCAAGGACAGGCAACTCCATGGAGAGTGACACAGGAGGCTCCACACCGGCTCCAGTCATCAACATTGAGGCTCCAAGGGGGATGATTCCCTATGAATTCCAGGATGCCATTGGCAGACGGCGCCACAGTGAAGGATCAGATGCAGAGATCTCCGATGCTGAGCTGAGTGAGTTACAGGCTATGGCTGATATGATAGATGAGTATCACTATGCGGTGCGTGTTTTACCAGGACAGGACCCTGCTCAGGTGTTTGTGGGCTGGGTGACTCCAGGTTTCCACTTCAGTGAAGCTGCTTTTGATATGAAGAAAACAAGACATGTAGTCTTAACAACACTAGAATCTGATCATACTCTGAAGCAAAGGTAATGAAAAGCCATGAACTTGAAACTTGTACATTGGAATTCAACAAGTCTATGATAATAAACTTCATATATTTAATTTCTATCTCACATTCTGTAAATATTTCAGTGTTAGTAGGAAGAATTGTTACATGGTATCAGCAGGAGACCTTCAGCAGAGGTATGCAGGCCTGAGTCAGGAGAGCTCTGGGAAGCGAACCTCCCCAGGGTTTGTGGTGGGCTGTTTTATTGACACCAGCACTGGTCTCCTGTCCTTCACTGTTAACGGTAAAGAAGTAGCCAACAAGTACCAGGTAGAGCCAGGAACTCGTCTGTTTCCAGCGGTCATCTGTGAACCAACCATCAAAGAGATGCTGCAGTTTGAACTGGGCCATACAAAGGTTTCTGTTGTTTAGATGAATGGTTTTACAGCTTCATTGTTTCAATAATCTGTTTAAATCAGAGTTTTTAATATACATGTACAAGTACTTTAAGGGAAAATAAAATTTAAAAAAAAAGTCTGGGAGGCAACAATGAAGGAAGTTGTGATCCATGTCTGAAAATTTCTAATTAATTATCCCTCTATTACATACATGCATTAAAATTGTATTTTTGATTTATTATGTACCGGTAGTCACTTTAGAATGAGAAAATTGGGTTATTAATTATTTTTAGTACACACTACCTCTATCTGCTGCTGTGTTCAGGGGCCCTAAACAGGTGATCCCAGCCTGTCCCCCCAGGCTGGATGTACAAGTCCTGAACCCCAGCTGCTGGGGCAGAGTTCCCTCAAATAGTCTCAAGATACACACCCTCAAAATGTCAGAAATCAAAGGATGGAGCATGCTTTGTGATGATGCAGGTATTAATGTTATAGATTTGATTTTGATAGAAGTGGGAAGATGTTACTATTTTGACAGTTGAAAAATTCTTATGGCTATTTTACAGTTGAAATTCTCAGTGTGTACATACCAGAAGAAGATAGAAGCATTGATATTTTAGAACTGGTTGAAAACCAGTCATTACTGGAGTAAGTACTTGTATCTTAGTATTCTTAAGATAATCTCTCTGAGTGTTATCATCAGTCTTAAAAGTTTACATTATACATGTATATGAATGACTAGTAATTGTATGCTTTCTTCTCCAAGGTTTCATGCCAAAACATTGGAATTGTATATGGCAGTCTGTTATCATGGTAATCACAGAGTTTCTCATGCTCTGACACATCACATTGACATGCGGCAAATGATGTTTTGCATACAGAGCCAGTGTAAGTCAGTCTTGTATTTTCTTTAAATCTTATGCAGTTACCGTGTACATGTAGCGAACCCAAGGAAAACTCGATATTTGATTCTTGGTTGCATTCACCAAGTAGATATTGTTAAATCACTCATTTTGGGGGGGATGTCTGTTTTCCTGGTATGAAGAGACCCACAAAATGTTAAAAATGTTAATTTTCCAATATATGTATAACGCAGCGAAAATGTCTTCAGCCTCAAAATCAAATCCCCATGAACCATTATTTTTTCTTACAACCAAGAAAATTTGACCCCCCAAAAATAAGTGATTTTACAGCACATTATGCAAATTGATTTTTTTTATTAACAATTTTATTTGAAATTGTGAAGGTTCAGTATAAATGCTACTGAAAGTGTAAGGTCCTATGTGAATATCAGTGATACACTGGAATTTGTGGAAAGCTCATATTGTATACAAACTCTAATTAGTGACTACCATATGTGGACAACAAAGACTACTATATATTGGTGATTTTCTATACATGTACCATGTATGTATATGTTGTACAATGCACCTTCATATAAATAAGGCCATAATTGAGAGCCTAATCACTTAAATTAAATAGGAATAATTGTATACTAAGATAACATTGGTTGTCAATATATCTATGTTTTCATCATGATAGCTCTTTGTGGGCCACTGAGGATGGGATATCATGACTTGCTGATTGCCATGCATCTGGAGTCACATGCGACTGCAAGGTAAAAAAAAACAAAAAAAAAAACAATGTAATGAGTTTAGTTAAAATAAAATTCGAGAGAAATCTAAAATGAGTTATATCTTAAGTTTTTGTGTAAATATTTCTTGATTCAGACAAATGACCCAGAATGAGTACATCATTCCGTTGACTCCCACCACCAAGGAACTGAGTCTGTATCGCCGTCCTAGTAATCAGGACAGCCAGTTCAAAATCAAACACTCCATACCAAACATGGACGCCAGTGTGTCCATCCGTCCTACTCTGTACATCACAGAGAAACAGATAGAAACCAGGTCAGCATTCCTTCACCCAGTCCAATCTAAGATGCATGCAAAAATAACAAATGAAGATTTTTGAATGGAAAAATTGTGGCAGTCATTTATTAATATTATGCAAAATAATTCATTTCATTGTTCCAGAGTCAAAGAAGCAGGACAAGATTCCACATCTCCCTTCTTCCCCATTGAGAAGCTGAAGGAACATGTTCTGTGTGCCTTACGGGATGCCACCATAAAGGGAGCCGCCCACATCAGAGATCCTGTGGGGGGAAGCAATGCTGATCTTTTTGTGTTAGTAGACAGATACAATAGAAAAGTTATTAAAAAAATCAAATCTATTATTGATTTGTCTGTACCTATGAATCTTTCTACAATGGCTAAGGAATGTAAACTCCATGCACTGTATTATTTTAAAATAATGAATATTAATCGTTGGATTTTGAAATTCTACACTTCAGTGTAAAATTATTTTTCTGGTCATAGAATATTGTGTTTTTCAAAGTAAAGAAACTGGGGGGATAAGCCGAGCCATATGCCTACATAACGATCGATAAAAAATCAATAAATTCATTTTACAAAAATTTCACTTTTTGTTGAATGAATGTAATGCTTATTACCATTTGCATATAAATTTGACAAAACCTGAATACTGTAACAGCGAAAATGATTCTGATTAACACAACAAAATGGCATCACGCTCAATTTTTACAGAAACTGACATAAATTGGATGATATAACTACATTTTTTAAATAGAGTGGGTCATCGTACCATTTTTTTGAGAACGATTAATGAAAGGCAATGGAAAGATGTTGCTTTTTACACTTGCAAAAATTTGGTATGAAGACCCACTCTACATAAAAAATTGAGTTAACTTACTGAAATTTTCACCGTGGTCTTAAAAAATTCTAAGTCCAAAAACGCTTGCTAAATATAGAGAACTGTATGCTATTTAAAGGGTAATGTTAGTGTGACTCCGTGGTCTAGTGGTTAGCGATGAGCTCTTCAAAGGGACGTTTATTGAGGAAAGTGTTCGAGTCATGCTCTGATTTTTTTTTTTTTTTTTTTGGTTTTAATTTTGTTTTACTTTATAAAAAAAATGTCTATAGGAATAACATATTTTTCACTGGAAATAAAATATATACATGTAGTAATAAACTTATTTACAGTAAATTATTTAAAATGCCGGATAAAAATTATAATAGAAATTTGAATACTTTTATTCCCGTTTTATTTATTTTAAATAAAAGCGCTTCTAGATCACCATTATCATTATATACGATGTTAACATTTTTATAATATCTCCACAATAAGTGTAAACACTCAATATGCAGATTAATTAATAGAAGTCCTTACCCATGTTAGACATTTGTAACAGTAAATGAAAGTCAACTGTTTAGTTTGTTTAGAATATAAATATCATTTTGAAAACTACGGTAAACATTAAAATGCTTAAGTAAATTCGAACAATTGAGAGATTTTTTCCAATAAATTTTCTTGCATAGCCGAAAAATGGGCATGGGCACATGGCTCGTCTTATCCCCCCAGATTCTTTATTTTTGTAGACCATTGCTTAAAATGGTGGATAATCTGCTGGTGATGGGTGAGCTGACAGATGATGATTTAATCTATGTGTTACGGTTGATTGACCCTGAAGCTTTTGATGACCACTACATTCCAGGTAACAAAAAGAAAAAACAGTATTATCTTGACTGTGTTATTTACAAAACTTAATTTGTATAGCATTGATAGAGATACAAGCACAATATCTACCATGAATATTGTAGGGAACAAGAAGGAAGGAATTCTAAACATGAAGCTGGATGAGGCAGTCAAATTGGAGGTGAGTAATTTTTTTATACGGTATCCATTCCTATCTGTGGCTCTGAACTTTAAATTGTATATATTATATATTATATATATATCATATATATTTGTTTTGAAATAATATTCTTAGATGTGCCACTTCTTACAACACTTGTGTGACCTTCAACTTCGACACCGCGTGGAGTCTGTGGTGGCGTTCTCTGATAATTACGTGGAGTCTTGTCAGAATGTAGGTGCACCTGTCTCCTAATGTTTCAAAGAATTACCTTTAATTTTACTTGCTTGCTTATGATGAAGACTCTTTTAGCTAAAGAAATCACAAAAGAATATTTACATACTTAAACCAGCACCAGGGTTATTTCTGCCCCATGTCATTTTATTCCTATCATAGTTGTAAATTTAAATTCACTCTGACAGTTTTGGTAAAAGAAACATAACTCTAGCTGTTGGAATTCAACCCTTTGAATTCACGTACATGTACAAGGTTGAAAGGGGCAAAATAGAATGTGGGGCAAAAACTCAATTTATACATGTACAATATTACAAGTATGTGTATCTATTGTAGGACCAGAAGAGGAGGTACATTGAGATCAAGCAGTCAGACCTACCCTCTGCTGTTACAGCTAAAATGACAAGGGAATTCCGCTGTCCGCCAGCTGAACAGGTATTTCCAGTAAAGTTAGCTTTTTGATATTTTTAGAGGGCATTAACTGCACAGATATAACGGAATGAATTAATCTATTAACTTTCAGATGAGAAATTTGCTGGCATTCAAAAATCCAGAAGAATTGGAAGAACCAGTTCAGTATTCCCCATTCCAAGAAGAGATGCATGCAAGACTCTGGCAATTCCATGAGAGTTTGATACACCATTGTTCCATGCCCACAGCCCCAGAGGTGGAGGGGGAGGAGGGAGAAAGAGAAAAGACTGAGGAGAAACCACCACCCTCCACGGGCGAGAAACTTTTACAGCTGGTGTGGAAGGCCAAGGAAGAGGCCCCAGCCATTGTGGAGGGCCGAGGAGACTCTGCTCCAGGTCAGGCTCATTTGTAGTCAGATCTTCTGTGAACTTTTTAGTTTTTAGTTTTAGAGTTAGTCTTTATAGAAATAAAGTAGAAGTCAATTGCTTGTCTTTTGGGAGTAATTTTATTTATTAGAGCCCCGCTCTGTGGGTGCCCTGTAGTGATCAGTTTGTCCGTCCGTCTGTCCTTCCAAGATCTCTTGTCTGGAGCATATCTTCTCTCTCCTTGGCCCAATCTGGCTCATACTTCACCCATAGAGTGCCTTTGGGTAAGGGGTGTGCAGTGACCTTGAACCATGTTTCTAGGTCTAAGGTTAAGGTCATAGCAGAATTATATGAAAAATCCTTGTCTGGAGCTTATCTTCTCTCCCCTTGGTCTAATGTGGCTCATACTTCACTCAGAGAGTGCCACTGGTCAATGAATGTGCAGTGACCTTGAATGAAGTTTGTAGGTCAAGGTCCATTTGCATGTAAATTATTTTATTGAAGTTAATGTGTGATATTTTTCAATTCTCTTAAAAATTCCCAACACAGTTAATTAGATAACAGGACTTTAAATTGTAAATTAAGATTTAATCATTTTTAGCAACTCTTCAAAATTTGATACAACACACTGTGATTAAGTGGGCTGAAGAACATACAATCCAAAACCAGGACCTAGTGAGAGAGATGTTCTGTTTGCTTCACAGGCAGTATAATGGCATAGGAGAGGTAAATCAAATTTAAATGAAATTTTATTGTTTAATATTCCTGTTTCACAAGGAAGTGAATTTTAATTTGATGTTTGATATTATTAAAAAAAATGGATTGGGCATATTTATAAGACTGTGGAAGAAAGGTATATGTTTGTAAAAATAAGTGAAAAATTGTTATATTGTAAATTACAGCAACTGATGGCATTAGAAAAGGCTTATGTGATAAGTATTGGAAGTAAAGATGACATTAAACAGCTGTTGAGAGCTTTAGGAAACATACGATCTCTGCTATTGGTACAGGCTGGACCCAGTGAAGAAGATCTCATGAAAAACAGCCTCAAGTGAGTTCTCATGAAGGGGACCACAAAATGTGTATTAATTTCAACAAAATATTTCTGATATCATAAGCATTCTAATGGAAAGATAATTGTTAAATACATGTTGATTTTACATGAAATAATCAAATTGACCCTTATTGCAGAGAACTGATGGACAACAAGGTGTTTTTCCAGCACCCTGACTTGATGCGAGCCCTCTGTGTTCATGAGACAGTGATGCAACTAATGGTCAACACACTGAACAAAGCACAGCAACAACAACAGTCTGCCAACAGTGCCATGGCAGAACTTATCTCCTCCCAGCAGGGAAGGCGTGGCTCCTTCATTCCCTCAGGGACGTTCGACAGCCTGGTGGAGCATACCAAGGTAATGACCAACTCCACTTCAACTTAGCTCCAGAATCTTTTAATATTTGTCCATTACATTTCTGCATATATATAGCTTATACATTTCTTTAAAACAAAATGTATGCCTAAACAAGGCTAATTCTCTGTCCAAATTACTGCCTTGGTGCTGTATTAAAGTGTAAAGAGAAATTATTGTAAGATTTATTCTCTTACTTTCTTTATTCACTATTCACTGAATTCTATGCTGCTAAATGTAACTCACTGCATGAAAGTCTTTTGATTTTGCACACACTGCACAGTCTATACAGGACGTTAGGAGTCAGTACTTGGTAAGTAAAATATCCACTGGGTAGAGTATATCTGTAGTAGTCTGTTGTTGTCACATATGTTTTATGTCCTGGTATGCACTTTGATGTTCAAATGCTCTATAAAAATTCAGAACATTGGTGCATTTGCCCTTCCAATGAGTTAATAATGGACATGATAACAGAAGGTGTTCCCATATTATTTAAAGGATCCTACAGCAATACTGAACTGTTTAATTGGCTAATTAGAAAATTGATGAATAACAGTATCTTCCCAAATGTTTTGTACTCCAAAAAATATCTTTATGACAACTAAATTTTAAATGAATGCAGAAAAATTCATTTGAAACTCAGTACCATTTTCATTGAGCTTACCTGTACAATGTAGTATTTTAGATCAATTCCCCCCATCCACCCCCTCCCCCATTCACCCCCTCCCCAGTTCAGATTGTACAGTATTTTATTTGGGGAATTCAGTTTGGTTTGTTAAAAATATACAAAAAGTAATGTTTGAGTTGCATATGATTATCATTTTAAATGTAGGATGCTGCAGCAGAAATGGTGGTCATGTGTTGCCGGTTCCTGTGCTATTTCTGTAGAACTAGTCGACAAAACCAGAGAGCCATGTTTGAACACCTTAGTTATCTGCTGGAAAACAGCAGTATGTTACTTGGTATGTGACTAACATTATACATTAAAATAATTCTAAATATTTACAAATATCATAAAAAAGGATCCTATCTTGGGTGGTTCATAACTTGCAATGTTGTATTTCAGCACGTCCCTCATTGCGTGGATCCTGTCCCCTTGATGTGGGCTACTCCTCCCTAATGGACAACAATGAACTGGCCCTGGCCCTCAGAGAGAGTCACCTGGAGAAGATTGCCATGTACCTGTCCAGGTGTGGCCTGCAATCCAATGCTGAGCTTACAGAGAAGGGCTACCCAGACATTGGCTGGGATCCTGTGGAGGGGGAGAGGTTCCTTGACTTCCTCAGGTTCTGTGTCTGGGTTAATGGTAAGCCTATTTGTTTTTAGCTCACCTGAGTTGAAGGCTCAATTTAGCTTTTCTAATCAAAGGACAAGATAGGCTAAGACTCTTTTTGGCTACCAGATTTATATATTTCATACACTAGTATCAGATGCATCTTGTGTATAAAAATCTCAGATAGGCAAGCTTGTGCTCTATATTTCCCGAAGTGAAAAGTGTCTCAAATTTTACGAAATTCCACCAGAATTGAGGAAATTCAGGAAAATGTCCTACTTCTGCACCCTCTTGTGGCCTACGTGTAAGCTTCTGGTTTTAAAACAAGCATCATTTTAAGTTCTTAGCTACAAACTATCACAGTTTTAACTGTGTTCTGATTTTCAAATAAGGGGCCAGATTTGGCTGTTACCATACGTTGTCCTTTGTTATTGTTGCCATTGTTTTTATAAACATTTCACATTTTCATCATCTTCTTAAATCACTGGGCAATTTCAACCTAACTTGACACAAAGGATCCTTGGTGAAAGGAGGGTTTTCATCCTCTTTTAAGGGCAGATAATTAGAAATAGTGAAAAATAGGTGGGGTCATTTTAAAAAAATTCTGAAAAAATACTGGGCCAGAAAAGATTTAACTTTTATGGAAGCTTGATCCCTGTAATAGTGTAGATTAAATTTATTGAAATCATGGCCCCAGGATTAAGGAGGGGGCAACAATAGGGGATCAAAAGTTTCACATTAGAATACATGTTTATAAGGGAAAAAATGTTTAAAATTTTGTTCTTATGAACAGGAGGACCATGATAAGTAATAATCCTTATAATCAAAACTGAGCACAGATGTTTTATGTACTAAATGTAAACATGCATCTTTTGATCTCTGTAGAGAACATTACTATGAAATTTTTAAACAATAACAAAGGTTGGCTATGAAGGCGCAACACTTGGTTTTCACAAAATGTTTGATTCTTTACAATTGAACTCAACTGTTTTGCCATTGTACAATATATTAACAAACATTTTTTAGCTCACCTGAGCTGAAAGCTCAAGTGAGCTTTTCTGATCACATTTTGTCTGTAGTCCGTCTGTCCGTCTGTCCGTCTGTCTGTAAACTTTTCACATTTTCGACTTCTTCTCCAGAACCACTGGGCCAATTTCAACCAAACTTGCCACAAAGCATCCTTGGGTGAAGGGGATTCAAGTTTGTTCAAATGAAGGGCCACGCCCTCTTTCAAGGGGAGATAATTAAGAATTAGTGAAAAATGAATAGCATCTTTAAAAAATCTTCTTCTCCAGAACCACAGGGCCAGGAAAGATGAAACTCATATGGAAGCATCCCCAGGTAGTGTAGATTCAAGTTTGTTCAAATCATGACCCCCGGGGGTAGGGCGGGGCCACAATGGAGGATCAAAGTTTTACACAGAAATATATAGGAAAAATCTTTAAAAATCTTCTTCTCAAGAACAGTAAAGCCATGAAGAGTCATATTTATATGGAAGCATCCCCAGGTAATGTAGATTCAAGTTTGTTCAAATCATGACCCCCGGAGGTAGGGTGGGGCCACAATGGAGGATCAAAGTTTTACACAGAAATATATAGGAAAAATCTTTAAAAATCTTCTTCTCAAGAACAGTAAAGCCATGAAGAGTCATATTTATATGGAAGCATTCCCAGGTAGTGTAGATTCAAATTTGTTCAAATCATGACCCCCGGGGGTAGGGCGGGGCCACAATGGAGGATCAAAGTTTTACATAGAAATATATAGGAAAAATCTTTAAAAATCTTCTTCTCAAGAACAGTAAAGCCATGAAGAGTCATATTTATATGGAAGCATCCCCAGGTAATGTAGATTCAAGTTTGTTCAAATCATGACCCCCGGGGGTAGGGCGGGGCCACAATGGAGGATCAAAGTTTTACACAGAAATATATAGGAAAAATCTTTAAAAATCTTCTTCTCAAGAACAGTAAAGCCATGAAGAGTCATATTTATATGGAAGCATCCCCAGGTAATGTAGATTCAAGTTTGTTCAAATCATGACCCCCGGGGGTAGGGCGGGGCCACAATGGAGGATCAAAGTTTTACACAGAAATATATAGGAAAAATCTTTAAAAATCTTCTTCTCAAGAACAGTAAAGCCATGAAGAGTCATATTTATATGGAAGCATTCCCAGGTAGTGTAGATTCAAATTTGTTCAAATCATGACCCCCGGGGGTAGGGCGGGGCCACAATGGAGGATCAAAGTTTTACATAGAAATATATAGGAAAAATCTTTAAAAATCTTCTTCTCAAGAACAGTAAAGCCATGAAGAGTCATATTTATATGGATGCATCCTCAGGATGTGTAGATTCAATTTTGTTCAAATCATGACCCCCGGGGGTAGGGCGGGGCCACAATGGAGGATCAAAGTTTTGCATAGAAATATATAGGAAAAATCTTTAAAAATCTTCTTCTCAAGAACAGTAAAGCCATGAAGAGTCATATTTATATGGAAGCATCCCCAGGTAATGTAGATTCAAGTTTGTTCAAATCATGACCCCCGGGGGTAGGGCGGGGCCACAATGGAGGATCAAAGTTTTACACAGAAATATATAGGAAAAATCTTTAAAAATCTTCTTCTCAAGAACAGTAAAGCCATGAAGAGTCATATTTATATGGAAGCATTCCCAGGTAGTGCAGATTCAAATTTGTTCAAATCATGACCCCCGGGGGTAGGGCGGGGCCACAATGGAGGATCAAAGTTTTACATAGAAATATATAGGAAAAATCTTTAAAAATCTTCTTCTCAAGAACAGTAAAGCCATGAAGAGTCATATTTATATGGATGCATCCTCAGGATGTGTAGATTCAATTTTGTTCAAATCATGACCCCCGGGGGTAGGGCGGGGCCACATTGGAGGATCAAAGTTTTACATAGAAATATATAGGAAAAATCTTTAAAAATCTTCTTCTCAAGAACAGTAAAGCCATGAAGAGTCATATTTATATGGAAGCATCCCCAGGTAATGTAGATTCAAGTTTGTTCAAATCATGACCCCCGGGGGTAGGGCGGGGCCACAATGGAGGATCAAAGTTTTACATAGAAATATATAGGAAAAATCTTTAAAAATCTTCTTCTCAAGAACAGTAAAGCCATGAAGAGTCATATTTATATGGAAGCATTCCCAGGATGTGTAGATTCAATTTTGTTCAAATCATGACCCCCGGGGGTAGGGCGGGGCCACAATGGAGGATCAAAGTTTTACACAGAAATATATAGGAAAAATCTTTAAAAATCTTCTTCTCAAGAACAGTAAAGCCATGAAGAGTCATATTTATATGGAAGCATTCCCAGGTAGTGTAGATTCAAATTTGTTCAAATCATGACCCCCGGGGGTAGGGCGGGGCCACAATGGAGGATCAAAGTTTTACATAGAAATATATAGGAAAAATCTTTAAAAATCTTCTTCTCAAGAACAGTAAAGCCATGAAGAGTCATATTTATATGGATGCATCCTCAGGATGTGTAGATTCAATTTTGTTCAAATCATGACCCCCGGGGGTAGGGCGGGGCCACATTGGAGGATCAAAGTTTTGCATAGAAATATATAGGAAAAATCTTTAAAAATCTTCTTCTCAAGAACAGTAAAGCCATGAAGAGTCATATTTATATGGAAGCATCCCCAGGTAATGTAGATTCAAGTTTGTTCAAATCATGACCCCCGGGGGTAGGGCGGGGCCACAATGGAGGATCAAAGTTTTACACAGAAATATATAGGAAAAATCTTTAAAAATCTTCTTCTCAAGAACAGTAAAGCCATGAAGAGTCATATTTATATGGAAGCATTCCCAGGTAGTGCAGATTCAAATTTGTTCAAATCATGACCCCCGGGGGTAGGGCGGGGCCACAATGGAGGATCAAAGTTTTACATAGAAATATATAGGAAAAATCTTTAAAAATCTTCTTCTCAAGAACAGTAAAGCCATGAAGAGTCATATTTATATGGATGCATCCTCAGGATGTGTAGATTCAATTTTGTTCAAATCATGACCCCCGGGGGTAGGGCGGGGCCACATTGGAGGATCAAAGTTTTACATAGAAATATATAGGAAAAATCTTTAAAAATCTTCTTCTCAAGAACAGTAAAGCCATGAAGAGTCATATTTATATGGAAGCATCCCCAGGTAATGTAGATTCAAGTTTGTTCAAATCATGACCCCCGGGGGTAGGGCGGGGCCACAATGGAGGATCAAAGTTTTACATAGAAATATATAGGAAAAATCTTTAAAAATCTTCTTCTCAAGAACAGTAAAGCCATGAAGAGTCATATTTATATGGATGCATCCTCAGGATGTGTAGATTCAATTTTGTTCAAATCATGACCCCCGGGGGTAGGGCGGGGCCACATTGGAGGATCAAAGTTTTACATAGAAATATATAGGAAAAATCTTTAAAAATCTTCTTCTCAAGAACAGTAAAGCCATGAAGAGTCATATTTATATGGAAGCATCCCCAGGTAATGTAGATTCAAGTTTGTTCAAATCATGACCCCCGGGGGTAGGGCGGGGCCACAATGGAGGATCCAAGTTTTACATAGAAATATATAGGAAAAATCTTTAAAAATCTTCTTCTCAAGAACAGTAAAGCCATGAAGAGTCATATTTATATGGAAGCATCCTCAGGTAGTGTAGATTCAAGTTTGTTCAAATCATGACCCCCGGGGGTAGGGCGGGGCCAAAATGGAGGATACAAATTTTACTTAGAAATATATAGGAAAAATCTTTAAAAATCTTCTTTTCATGAACAGTAAAGCCATGAAGAGTCATATTTATATGGAAGCATCCTCAGGAAGTGTAGATTCAATTTTTTTCAAATCATGGCTCCCAGGGGTAGGGCGGGGCCACAATGAAGGATCAAAGTTTTACATAGAAATATATAGGAAAAATCTTCTTCTCAAGAACAATAAAGCCATGATGAGTCAAATTTATATGGAAGCATCCTCAGGTAGTGTAGATTCAATTTTGTTCAAATGATGACCCCCGGGGGTAGGGTGGGGCCCAATGGGGGATCGAAAGTTTTACATAAGAACATATAGAAAAAAAAATTTCTTCTTAAGAACAGAAAAGCTATGTTAGTCTTATTGATATGGAAGCATCCTCGGGTAATGTAGATTCAAATTTGTTCAAATGATGACCCCTGAGATGGGGAGGAGCTACAATGGGGGATCAAATTTTTACAAAGGAAGAAATGTGAAAATTCTTTTAAAATCTTCTCAAGTACAACAAATTCATTTGTTATATTGACATGAAAGCATCATCAGGTAGTTTAAAATTCAACCCCCCCTCCCCGTTCATTACTGAACTGATTTGTGCCTTAGTCTAGCCAGTGTGCTCAGGTGAGCGATGTGGCCCATGGGCCTCTTGTTTTAAATACACATGTAATAGCAAATCCCCCTTTTATGTAACAGATTATAAGAATTGTTCTTGATTTTATTTTTTTTTTTCATTAATAAAAATGGTTATTCTGCAATAAATAATATATACACATTTACACCATCATTACATGTAATATATTACAGTTCTTATGTTAACAAAAAGTTCATTTTTAATATTTACAATATTTTAGAATACTAAGAAAATGCTGTTAATTTTCTAATATAGAAATTGAATTTAAATACTACACGATGACTGTCAAAATTTAAATGTAGTGGCTGCTGGCTCCAGAATTTTATCAGGCTCAGAAAAATGACCAGCTTACACTATAAGACCAAATTAAAAAAAAATCACACAAATAGCAAAATGGCATATGTACCAAGCAAAGCACTAAATGTAGTGATGTACTAAGGTTATTATGTTCAACAACTCAGCATTCCTTTGGACATGCTGATATACATGTATATCTTATGAAAATAACCTGTATATCTTACGAAAATAACTGGTTAAAAAAAAATTATAAACTCAACTACATGTCCACTCCACATCTATGTCAATTCATTTTTAGGTCAACTGATCAAGGCACTCAGATTACCTATTGCTGTTTTGTCCACCATTGTCTGTTAACATTTGATCATTTTCAGTTTCTTCTCTGGAACCACTGAACCAATATCAATTAATTTTGGCAGAGAACATTCATAAGTGAAAGAAAACAAAAATTGTAAAAAAAATCTTTTATCAATTTACCGTATATACTCGCATATAAGTCGGTCCGCCTATAAGTGGGTTGTATTTTTTGGCGATTATTTTGAAGGGGTTTGCAATTGACCCGCTTATAAACAATTTCAAATCAATTCTCTAATGGTTTAACCTGGTTTCAATCAATAATTTTAAAAAAGAATGTCGATATTAAATTTTAAATCATTAAAAAATAAGTGAAGCACACTGAAGATAAAATAAAATTATTAAAATTTATAATACCTACTTGTATACTTTATGTATAATCTTAGAATACATTTATGATATAATATATAAAGACTGTACAACGATAATCGGCGGGATTGTTTATAAAATACAACCTTTCAACGTCCAGAAAAATACCAATCTATATATGACCCGCCTATAAGTTGGACACAGAGTTTTAGACCAAAATTTGACTCCCAAAAAACCGACTTATAGGCAAGTATATATGGTAAACAAAGCTTTATAAATGCCAATTTTCATGCAAATTGGTTGTCAAATACTAAGGTATTAGCATTCAAAGATGCCAACGTGACAATTTAGTCAGTATTCCAAAACAACTCAATACTAAGGTTACCACTCACTTAAAGGTCATACTAAATGTTCTTAACACTAGGATTTGAGATTTTAAATATAAAGATTGGTATGAAAGAATGTCAAATTTCATTTAGTCCAAAAAATTTCCTTTGTATCACTGAGAAATGAAGGCGTAAACTTGTGCAATTGATAAATTTGTTACCTGCTTATCTCTCTTGATTTGGTGGTTTTATGACGTCACAAAGACCCATTGATGTAAATAACGCATTAGACCTAGTGTAATTGTACCATATTTTATTGAGATAATTTTAGCTATTTTTAATGGATATAAATGTGATTATGTTTTCAGATGAACTTTCTGATTCTACAGTGCAGTGGACTCTGTTTGAATTGTCGTTATTATATAGGCAAATTTGCTTAAGCAACTGAAAACGAGAGCTTTTCATCATAGGATGATCCAGATGAATATCTCATAAAAATCTAAAGTTTTCCCCTCCAACTATGATTACTTATTTTGAATTAATACTTTACAAACAAAAATCTTCTTATTCCTCTTTAAAACATCTATGTTACATGACAAAAGGATTATGACATACATATATGATGTTATTGATGTGCATTATGAAAATTTGGATTTTAATTCGAAGTGAAATTGTATAATTTACAACTAAGAATAGCATAATTTATTAACATTGACCTGAAACTTCTTACAACCAAAATTCCAATAGGCCTATAAAATTCTGTGAAATAAAGATATGGGAAAAATACCCACCTCACGAGTACCCCAGTAACCCCCCTCCCCCTTTCAAATAAACATGGGGATATTGATGTTAATGATAAATGTGGTTCAATGAAAAATGTTGGCTTCTTTGAATGCATGCTTTCTGCAATCTGAAACCGAGGACTGAAATAAAAACGATATAAAATATATAAAAATGATATGGAAATGGACTACCTGTGTTTATGATGACATCTTTGTAATTCTGCTATTAAAAAATAATGATATTTTTAAAAAAATACAAAAATATTCTGGCATTATGAATTGCAATTTAAAAATACTTCGGTATACAGTTTGTGCATAAACTGATCACTTAAAAAAATCCATACCCCGATTGCAAAAAATATCAATTAAAAGCTATGGATTTGAAAATATTTAGATGGTTGCTTTCATCAAAGTGATGGTTTTTTATTCAGTAAATGGCATTAATTAGCCTGTTTGAGTATACCCAAGAATAAGTTTTTATTCATAGTAGATAGATTCATGCAGAAGATTAATTTTGCAAGATGGATATATTTCATGGAGAAATAATGGCTTTTAAAATGATTTAAGTTTTATGAAAAAGAAAACTTGACAAACAGAAGAAATACAATTTGAAAGTATAGTTTTTGGCTGTATTTTAAGACATTCCAAACTCATCACAGCTAAACTTGGCAAATTTAATAATCAGTGAAATGAACCAATTAAGAAAGATATAAGTCAATCCAAAAAAAAAGATACATAAAAAGGTTTTACCTGAATACCTAATAAACATGTTATAAAGTTACATTTTTATACCCCACACAACAAGTAGCTAAATTTCAAACTTTGCTGATATTTTTAGGACACAGTATGTAGATGTGCATATTGCTAGGAAATTCAGATTCCATTATTTTTCTGGAAATTTTGGCACTTTTCAACTTAGATTTTTGGTCATATCTTGAATATAGAGATGAACAGTTTGTCAGTGCAACTTTGTACTCCATGCAACAAGTTGCAGGAGATATTATTTTTTTGACCCATCCGTCAGTCAGTCGGTACTTCAGTCCTTTTTTTTATCAGGGCAACTCCTCTTAAACCGCTGAACAGAATTTCATCAAACTTTGCAGATATTTAGGAGATAGTGTGTAGATGTGCATATTGCCATGAAATTCCAATTCCGATATTTTTCTGGGAATTTCGGCACTTTTCCACTTATATTTTTGGACATATCTTGAATATAGAGATGAACAGTTTGTCAGCGCAACTCCACTTAAACTGCTGCACAGAATTTCATCAAACTTTGCAGATATTTAGGACACAGTGTGTAGATATGCATATTATCAGGAAATTCCGATTCCTAATTTTTCTGGAAATTTTTGCACTTTTCAACTATATTTTTGGCTATATCTTGAATATAGAGATGAATAGTTAGTCAGCACAACTCCTCTTGAACTGCTGCACAGAATTTCGTCAAATTTTGCAGATATTTAGGACACAGTGTGTCAAGTAGTGCCCCTTTTTGAATTATACTGTGTATTTAAAGTGCACTATGCCGTTCATTATGTGTTGCATTGTTCAAGTTTTGGGTGAGCGTGGGGTATGTGAGCTTGCTCACTTTTTCTTTCATCAACAAAAATTTTGTTCAAAATCAAACCTCTTGATTTACAGGTACATGTATATTGATTTCATGTGTAGGTAAATGTACATCGAAGTCCATGCTAAAGAAAGTGAAAACTGTTTTTCATAGAGCATATCTGTAAATCTGATTGGGATGCCAATCCATGTTTAAGTGTATATGAATTTTAAATCACACACAATTTTTTAAAATTCTACTTTGTGAATTGGAGTATATTCCGGTATGTTTTGTTTTCCTGGACTGATCGACACTGACAATGACTTTTGGGGGTCCAAGATCCCAAGCATTCTGATCAATGTAACTCTTTGTATAAGGTGGTGCTGATCTTGGCTGTCGAGTGATTGTTGGTAAGCGTCTAAAGCAGCATCAAGATTTCCAGAAATCTGCTGACAAAATCCCAGGATCTGCCATGATATGTCTCTGTAAAGCAAAGGTACATGTACCCCTTCCTGATGCTCAATTAGACACTGTAGGTCATGTAGAGCTGTTTGTGCTCTTGTTGTGTCAGTCTTTCTACTGCACAGAATATCTAGCATGTGTAAGAATACAAAAGGTGGGATGACCAGTATATCCTTAAACATGTAGTGCCGATTCCGATCATTACACAGCTGTTCCAACGATAACTCTCTCATATAAAACGTATTTGAGAGAAGTAAAATGTTCTGAGCCACAGCATTTCTCATCTTTTTAGACAATGACTGTCCACCTACAGCCTCAGTATAACTCTCTGTGTCTACATTTAAACCATACATCACATATGGTTGTGCTAACTTCACCTTTGTCATGTCTATCACAGTTAAAGCTTTCTGGTATCTAAGTGTCTTGTGATAATACAGGGCCATGTACAACATGTCAGAAATACACCCCAACTTGGATGCTAAATTAAGCATATAACGTGATATTTTGTCGGCAACATAAATCAGTTTATTTACACCAGTATCTTTGTACTTGTTGTGTAATACAAATGCAGTTGATTGTAATACATAGGTTGTAATATTTTTTAACATGATAATTTTAAATGGAGTAAGTGGTAAACCTACCAGCTCTTCTATTTTCTGTAGACATTTCAAACAGTGTTTAAGGTCTGCATTTTCCCAGAATTTCTTTATAAATTCGTTGAATAGTTTAGCTTCAACTTGGACTTGAGACATACAGGTGACTCTCGATCTCTCAAAGTTCAAGGGACCGTAAGAAAAGTTCGAGAGATCGGGGGGTTCGAGAGATAGAAAGTGAATAAAATCCGGAATTTTCAGTTCCGGTCATCATTGCTCTACTATTATACATACCGGAAGTATATGTTGATAAATGTCATTACACGTTTTCTTCATATTTTAGAGGTAATTCACTTGATTTCAAAAACAATGATTGTATTTTGAATAAATAAAATAATTATTTTAAGTTTCAATATTTATTAGTTTTCATTTCATGATTACATGAAACCTGAATAGCAATTGTCTAATTGGCTCTCCCCCGGGCTTAATTGGTCCTTCACAAGATTGTTCGTAATCGGTATTCAGTTCTTGAGATAGGATTTCTTGTGCAATGTTTGCCAAACTGGGATTGTGTTGACTCTTATAATATTAAAGGTCATAATCTATGGAAAAATTACTGACATGTCCCTAAATTATTTCCTCAAAATTATCGTCTCGTCCAGTCAAAATAAGATGTGAAGCAGTTTGTTTATAATTTAACAGTTAACCAATTAATTATATCAACACTCGGACGATTCACAGGTGTAGTTTCATCTACATGTATGTAAACACCCAATTAACACGTCCATCCCAGCCCCAGGCGTACACTGTTATCCAGGTAAGTCCAAGGTGCATTAATTTTACGCTTGATTGACATGTATACATGCGCAATCAAAACTTCGAGAGATAGAGCGTAAAAAACAATGAAATGTGTATAACGGGACCCAGATCTTGGTTCGACAGATAGAGAACTTCGAGAGATGGGGAGTTCGAGAGATCGGGAGTAAATTTGCTTAGCTATATAGAGGAAAAAAACGGGACCGGAGGTTCACTTCGAGAGATCGAGAACTTCGAGAGATCGGAGTTCGAGCCATCGAGAGTCACCTGTAATTTTGTTTTCATTTGTACAAATAGGAAGCTTGGGATTGGACAGAACATCATTAATGTATGACTTCAAGGAAGGACTCTGCATCAGGCATGCCAGTCCTTCTGTGTATAATGTGTATAGTTGTAAAAATAATCTTTCTTGGGCTGACCCATGTATCTTCACTAGAAACATGTTGTTTTGGGGAATGAAAAAGTTCGGACATACCCCTTCATATACCCATCGAAGGATTACTTTGAAACAGACCCAAAAACACTCTAAAAGATTCTGTGGGCACCAGTGATGTATCATGTTTTGTTGAATCACCCAAAAAATTGTTGTTTTCATATGATAGGAACAAAGTAATTTGTTAGTATCCCCTATTTGGTGATTTATGACCTCTTTCAAGAACACCTTTAACAATCCATAAGTCAAGTACTGACAGTGGTTCATTGAGTATACAAGTTTTTGTTCTGCCAGAGAAAAAGAAATTCGCCATTCTTCATCTTTATAGCGTCCGTATGGATGTCCAATTGGTACCAACTGGCATCCATTTCTTAATATATCGTTAATAACACAAGATGGAGGCCATGATTGACATCTATCTTTCCAGGAGGAAGCAGAGGGAGGCCAAAAGTCAGAGGCAAGAGAGTAAGCAATATCAAAGTCTATGCCATGTGATTTTCCACTTCCACAGGGTCCACTGAGAGTAGAAATATCAGGGTTTACTAAACACTTGAGCTCTCTGTGTCGGGAACTAGAGATATAAAATCTATCATTCTCCCTGTCACAGGCTGTGTTCTCTGTTGTTGATAGTAGCTTAAGTATAGAAGTTCTATTTTTCTCCCTTTCACAGGCATCGGAAAAGTCTCCGTTCATTGCCGTTGTTACAATCTCAAGTGTACGATTTATATCATTCAACCTGACCTTGGCCTCAGAAATGTCTGTGTTCTTTGTTGTTCTTAGTAGCTCAAGTAGACAGAATCCTGGTAGACATTCAGAACAATCAGCAAGAATCAACGTTTTTCCAGTTGTATCTTGAAATTGAGTGGGACAAATGTTCCAGATCACTGTAACATCTTTAGGCCAAAACATTATGTCTATATCTGACTCCTTGAATCTGAATCCTTCTCGGGTACTTCCACTCCACATGGTAACTGTGTCATTATGATGATTCCCTTGACTATTCAAAATCTCTCCAATGTCAATTAGATCTCTCCTCAAGGACACTAGTTGTGAGGTTACTATTATTTGACACAATCCCACAAACACAGATTCAGACATGCGCTTGACTACATCATATCTGAGAGAAGAAGTAAAAGAAATGTTAAAAGATGAAGGTTAAAACATGCAACTACTTTTAAGCTCAGCTGAAAGCTCATGTGAGCTTTTCTGATCACATTTTGTCAATGGTGTCTATCTTTCTGTAAACTTTTCACATTTTCAGTTTCTTTTTAAGAACCACTTGGCCAGATAAGAAGAACATAGTGCAGATTAAAGGTTTGTTCGAAGCATAATCCCTGGGTAAAGGGCGGGCCACAATGGGCAATCAAATTGTTATTTGGGAATATATAGGGGAAAAAAATCTTTAAAATTGTTCTTCTCAAGAACAGCCAAGCCATATTTTGTCATATTTATTTGGAAGCATCCTCAGATTGTTTAAATTCAAGTTAATTCATGAACCCCATGTAAGGAAGGGCAACAATTGGCAATTAAAGGGGCTTACACAGATTAGAAATAAATATTTTCTTAAAATTTTCAGTATAATATCATGACATGTTGCTACAGTATTTCACACTGAAATATACCATATGGCGGGTTTCTTTAGCAGGTGTAAAATTAGAAACATCTTTTATATGGAAATTATTAAAACTATGAATTTCAGAACACATTTAATTGACACATGTCCGTGCACTATCACAAAGTAAACTTTTATCCTTAATATTTAAGAAAAGTAGAAATTTGTTTGTATTAATGAAAATTATTATAACTATAATCCAGAAAATTTGTAAAGAAATGTGAGAAAGCTAAACCAACTCACCAGTATTGTAGTGTAGATTGTAATTTTTCATACCCTGGTCCCCTGCAATAGGGTGAGGCCATAGTAGGGAATCAAAATTTGATTTAGGATTGTATTTGAAAAAAATATGTTAAAATCATTTCAAGCATAACAAAGCCATGATTATTAGTCTTATTTATACGAAAGCAGCTTTAAGTTGTGTAGATTGAAAAAGTTTGTTCAAATCATGCCTACCCTCCTCTCCCAGAGGTAATTTGGGTCCCCAGTAACCAATAACAGTTTAAATAAAATTTTATAGAAACAAGATGTGTTTGTGAAACACTGATGCCCCTGTATGGCAACTTATAGCAAAGGTTAAACTTTCTCAAATGCAAATCAAATATGTTGATACCCAAAGTAAGGTCTTGTCTCGAGGAATAAGCCTGTGAAATATGAAAGGCCTAGCAGCAACCATTGAATAGATATAGAAAAGGTTAAAGTTTTTTTCAAAAGTATGTCAAACATCAAGGTCAAATGGTCAAAATTATTGGTGCCAAAGAAAAGGCCTTCTCCCAAGAAATACACAGGTGAAATATGAAAACCCTAGCACCAACCTTTCAAAAGTTATGGCCAAAGTTAAAGTTTTCCAAAAGTAGGTCAAAGGGTCAAAGTTGTTGGTTTCCAAAGGAAGGTCTTGCCACAAGGATTACACATGTGAAATATGAAAGCCCTAGCACCAACTGTTCAAAAGTTATCGCAAAGGTTAAGGTTTTCCAAAAGTAGGTCAAACTCCAAGGTCAAAGCGTCAAAGTTGTTGGTATCCAAAGAAACGTCTTGTCACAAGGATTACACATGTGAAGTATGAAAGCCCTAGCACCAACAGTTCAAGAGTTATGGCCAAGGTTAAAGTTTGGTAAAATTTTGCAAAACTGGGTCAAACTCCAAGGTCAAAAGGTAATATATGGTGGTACCCAACAAAAGGTCTTGTCATAATGAACACTCATGTCAAATATTAAAGCCTTAATCTTGACAGTGCAATAGTTATGGGCTAGGTTAAAGTTGACAACAGAAAGACAGACAAACAGACAGGACAAAAATAATATACCCCCGGGATCTTTCGATCCGGGGGCATAAAAAGTCTTTAAAATTCCTTTTCTCAAGAACATTAAAGCCATGACAAATCATATATTTTAACAAGAACAAAAATTTACCGTAAATCATTCATCTCATTCTCAATAGCTATTGATTCATCATCTTTGAACTCATCCAGTTCATCATTGATAACACTGTCCAGACTACCAGAATCTGTACCATCCCTCTCTACTTCATCTTTTTCCTCCACACACAGTTCTTGCTGCTGGCTGAGTGATTTTTTTCTGGAAGTAACTACTGATACTAACAGTACCTGCTTGTGACTGAGACAGATTCCCATCATTCAATGCTCTTAACATCTTACCAATAACAAAAAATTTGGCATTTGATACACATTCAATTAATATGGATAAATTCAAGTAAGTTCTAGCTTTCATAATAAATCATTTTGAATTATTTTTTTATCTTTAACTTTTTTTCCCTTAAAAATAAAATCTAGTGAGCTATTAAAATGATCATGCACAGTTACAGAAACTCATCTGTTTAATCTAGAGGATTATCATCTGCAAAATTTCTGAGAATATGTTAAGTTATTATATTTAATTGGTAAACCAATGCAAGTTACAATTAAGGCCCTTATTATTCCTACTTTGTACTCAAACATCAGAGCAGTTAAAGTACTGTAACATGCAAAACTTATGAAGCTCATTTGATAGATTTTGTTTTCCAGTACATGTATAAGTATATAGGAGAGTTTCTCACATCAAAAGAAGGTTTGGTATATTGCATTATAAATTTAATGATTACAATTTCTGCCCTTTTGGGATCCAAAGTAACGATTTAAAACTGAATTCCCTATACCCTTAAGTTCTTAAAGGATGTCAGAAGTTGTTAATTATGTGAGGCATTAAAATGGACAGATCGAAAGACATACAGATGAACACACTCCATTGAGATAGAATAAACAAGAAGTTTGTGAGCCAATGCTCACAAGTAATACCCCGGCTTTGATGTGAATATACACTCTGATTGAATGTACACAAGTTCAGTTATGGACAGACACAGGGATGAACAAGAAGTTGACATCAGATTCATACAAAAGTGAATCCCACCATATTGCAGGCCTAAACAAAGAGTGTTCTTAAATGAGTAGTTGCCGAGAAAACTGCGACCGAAATTTGTTATGTATGGTATGGACAGATGCACAAATGAACAGGAAGTTGACATCGGATTTGTACAAAAATGATTCCCACCAAATGTCATGCCTAAAGGATCTGCAATCAGTTGTTGCTAAGAAAACTGCAACTAAAATTTGTTATGTAGGGTACGGACAGATGCACGGATAAACAGGAAGTTGACATCAGATTCATACAAAAATGAATTCCACCATATGATATGCCTATAAACAAAGAGTGCTAAAATTTCAAGCATCTGCAATCAGTACTTGCTAAGAAAACTGTGACGAAAATATGTTATATATGGTACGGACTGATGCACGGATAAACAGGAAGTTGACATCGGATTCGTACAAAAATGAAACCCACTATATGACATGCCTAAACAAAGTGTGTGCGAAAATTTCAAGCATCTGCAATGAGTAGTTGCTGAGAAAACAGTGACAAAAATTTGTTACAAACAGACAGACAGACGAACAGACAGACACACACACACAAAGACAGACAGACACACACACAAGGGTACAAGATATGTTTGTGAAACACTATGCCCCTGATGGTAACACAATTCTGGCGTGGGACCTAGACTACAGTGCAATAGTTATGGCCAATGTCAAAATTTTTCAAATGTAGGTCAAAGGTCACAGTTGAGGTCACATGATCAAAAATTTCTGTACCAATGGAAAGGTCTTGTCATAATGAATATTCATGTCAAATATTAAAGCCCTACCCTTGACAGCGCTATAGTTACGGGCTAGGTTAAAGTTGACAACAGACAGACAGACAAACAGGACAAAAATAATATACCCTCAGGATTTTTCGATCCGAGGGCATAAAAATGGAAACATCCTCAGGTGATAGTCAAATTTGTTGAAAGGATGAATGCCAAGGATAGGGTAGGGCTTCAATAGTCATAGTTGGACATACTTATTAGGAATTTATAGAAAAAGGGGTTTGAAAACCATCTTCTTTGAAAAACAGCAAAGCTGTGATCAGTCACATTTACATTAAAGTGTCCTTTGGTAGAGTAGTTTCAATTTTATGGAAACCATAGCCCTGAAATAAATAGGAAGAATCTTTAAAAATCTTCTTGTCAAGAATCACTGGGCCACTGGGCCAGAAAAACTGAAACTTGTGTGAAAGCTTCCTGGGGCAATGTTAACTTAATTCTAAGTTGTTCAAGACATGACCACCAGGGGTAGGGTGGTCATAATAAGTAATCTGGTGAAGAACAGCAGGGCCAAAGTTACTCAGGTGAGCCTTGTGGCCCATGGGCTTCTTGTTAAATATCTGTTGTTTGACTGCGATGCATAAAAAAAAAGAATTAGTCGAAAACGAGATTTCTAAAAACAGCTCATAGGGACAAAAGAGTTCATTATCGAAAACTATAGTGCATGTGGAAATATAAAAGCAGGAAAATTGTGTGTTGACCCCAGATTTCAAAAGAAAATAAATTGAAAAGGGGGTGGGTTCAAGCTTTGAACATAAGAATTTAAATTTTATATATTGAAATTACTCTTTAGTAAAAATATTTTATTGATAAACAATGTAAGTATATATTTCTGCTATTTCAAAACTGCAAATGTATGCTGAAAAATCTCTAAATGATATATAATGGGAAAAAAATGATCAAGGTTGCCAAATATTTTTTTTTAAATTCATAGTTAATGAGTTATAAAAGTTCTATAAATTAGTTTACTTACACAGTTAATGGTAGAGAAGCCATCTTTCAGATAAAAATTTTCAGTGCTAATTTTAGACCTGGAGAATTTATCAGGTAGTTCTTTCATTGCACTTTCTGATCAATTATTCTATGGAGCTTTAACCAATAAGCATATCTGATATCTTAATGATCAGCAGAAGCTAACAGAAATTGGTTCTATTCTGCTTACTGAAAATTTCCACTTAATTGCCTGTAGTTTAACACTGATGCTTGCATGGGTCTTTCTTGAATAGAGGGTTTAAATTGATTGTATCAGTCAATGTGTAATGGGTAAGTTTTCACCTAATTACAGGCCATACTAAATTGTCCTACTGAAAATTTTTAAACATTCAATCAAGAAACAGAGAACCATGCAATAGACAGTTCGTTACACAGTTGCCCTGGGTGCACAAAGCTCACCCTCTTCAAGCTGTGTAACAACCCTGATATATACAAGATTTTAATATTATGTATGTATTATTAAACTGGCAGGATTACAAATTTATGAGGGAACCACAAACAATGGAAAACTCTTTTTATCACATGTGCTGTCATTTTTTTTTTCATACATATATTTACAAAAATGCTGGTCATTATCTGCTGATTTAAATTTTCTGTAATTAGAATAGTTCAATGACTAGCATAACTTATTATTGAAGACTGTACACAATATGATAGTTTTCATATGACATATTTTCTCTCTGAGTTATTTCCCTTGGCTGCCATCTTGGTGGTCAACCTGGTAATTTTCCTCTTTGTCTTACCAATTTTAAGAGGATTAAGCTGAAATATTTGAGTTCAGTTCAGTTCAGTGCAGTTGGGGGAATATCTTTATAGAATAAAAACTATAAAATAAAGAAGGCTTTAACAACTGTATATTTTTCAGAAAAACAATGCCTCCTACCCCACAATGGCCAGTATAAAAAGTTAAAGTTGGTTGAATAATGAAGGAATATGGGCATGTTGACCTCCAATATGGCAGCCAACTGGAAATAACTCTTGCTAATTTAGGGCTACTGAAAACTATCTATACCGGTAGTTTTGACTCATTAAGAAAATAAACAAAAATAAAATTATTGAAAACTTATTAACTGTTTCCTGAATTCATGGATTTATTTTCGTTATAAATATAGCAAATGTTTACACTGCAAGTTATTTTCCCTCTACACAGTACATAGTATGCTGTATAGGAAGAAACTTTTTGTTAGGATACTTATTTCAGGGCTTTCCCATACCAAAACATGGACTTGGTCATAATACTTTTAGAAGAGTGGGAATATCATTTTGTGAGCTCATTATTCACAGTACCTCTAGTTTTATACATTCTCTTAGACCCATCCTCATTTCTGGGTATTTAATCAAACAACAGCTAAAGTCGAACCACACGATAAGTGTGTGCATCTACTTTTACTGGTTGATCAGTGTTCTCTCTTTGAGTCTATATGTTGTTTTAGTTAAAGAGGTCTGGTATTTACAAAAGCTCCCGAATGCCCATTCAAGATTGGAGTTTTGAAATACAAGATTTGAAATTGGATTTTCGAGATTCAAGATCTAAATTAACCATCAAAAGGCGGTTTAAGATTCATTTACTCTCCTTTACTAGGAATTGACCACCGAGAAATTGTTGAATATATTTATACCAAAGACAGCAGGGAATCAAAATTTGAAATAGGATTGTATATGAAAAAATATTTTAAAATCATCTCAAGCACAGCAAAGCCATGATTAGTCATATTAAAATAATTAATATGGAAGCAACTTTAGGTAGTGTAGATTCAAGTTTGTTCAAATCATGACCACCCTCCACTCCAAAAGGTAGGGTGCGTCCCCAGTAACCAATCAAAGTTTAAATAGAATTTTAAAGGAAAAAAATCTTTAAAATTCCACTTCTCAAGAACATAAATCCATGGTGAATCATTTTAAATGTGGAAGCATCTTTAGGTGATGGTCAATTTTGTTGAAATTTTGAATGCTAAGGATTGGGTAGGGCTATAATAGATGGTCATAGTTTTACATGCTTATTAGGAATTCATAGGAAAAGAGATTTAAAAACCATCTTCTCTGAAGAACAGCAAAGTCATCATTAGTCATATTTATACTGAAGTGTCCTTTGGTAGTGTAGATTGTATATTTGTATAAAATGGGGCCACAAAAGGGGAATCAAAAATTTACATAAGAATATACATGTATAGGGGAATAATCTAATGGTGAACAACAGAGTCAAAGTGACTCATTTGAGCCTTGTGGCCATGAACCTCTTTTAAACATCTCAACTGATAAATAAGAAGAGAGTATCGGTCAAAAATGAGATATTTTAAAAACACAGCTCATAGGGACAAAAGTTACATAACTGATTACATGTTCTGCATATTAGAATACAAAAATAGGAAAACTGTGTGTTGACCCAAGATTTTAAAAAAGATTGAAAAAGGTTGGGGGGGAGGGTCCATGCCTCAAGTGCCTGTGTGCAGAGCAAATGTTGATCATAACACCATCTCAGGTAGCACAAAACATTTTCGAAACATTTTATTGCAGTTATAAAAAGGTTTTTTCAAAACATTTCAGAGTAAACATTTTTAAAATGTTTTAAAAACATTTTTCTTTCCCATTGTAACATTTTAAAAACATTTTTAAAATGTTTTCAAAAAGGTTAAAGTAAAATCTTTAAGGAACATTTTAACAAATGTTTTAGAAACGTTTTAAAAATGATTCCAAAGGTATGTCTTGTTTGCATATATTAAACAGTTTCATATTACGTTATAAAAATGTTTTTAAAACATGAAATAAAACATTTCTCTTCTATATAAATGAAACATAGTAATGTTACGTTTCTAAAACATTTCGAAGGAACGTTGTCAAAATGTTTTTAAAACATTCTTAATATTGCTTATAGTTTAATATTTAAATGTTTCAGTGTTGGTCGTGAAAATGTTTTTAAAACATTTAACAAAACGTTTTCTCCTCCTACAACTGAAACATTTTATTTATAATGTAAGCAACATTCTATAGAAACATTTTCAAAATGTTTTTAAAACATTTATATCATTGTTAATATCAATGCATTTGTTTATTTTCAAAGTATGTTGTAAAAATGTTTTTAGAACATTGACTATAACGTTTATCCTTTTAAAGACTAAAACATTTTATTAAGCATTGATGCAATATTTTGTAATGTAATTTTAAAATTGTATTAAAAATATTCAATTTTTCCTGAGAAAGTTTCTGAAAAAAAAATATATAGAATATCCAGAGAGGATTGAGATTAAATGAAGAATTGTTTTTAAAAATGTTCCGAAAACATTATCCCTGTATTTTTCTTTCTTTTTTCAAAAATTCTTATTGAGTTGACAGACATGTAATTAATACAAAGTTCACTGAATAAAGTAAAGATACTTTAATTTAAAAAAGAAAACAAAATAATAAGCAAACTGTTTACAATGATTAACACGGCCTGATTTTTGACGATATCGTCTGTTTGCATCATATTTCCTAAACGCCAAGGCAACAGATTAGGAGTGGCCTCACTGGTCAGTTTCAGTGTCATGATAACCTTGTTATGCAATTCTCCTGCTGGGCAGCACGTTAGAGTGTTTAGTGGATTGCAGCTTATCTAGGCCAAAATTTGAATTCTGGTAAACAGGATGTGCGCGTTTTCTTGTTGCTGATTTTCAAACAAGATTTTTGCATCATATAAGCCAGAGGAATTAGCGCTGGATTATTAACACCTGCCTTGTGAGTATAATTTCATCAGAGATTTCAAAAGATAATTTTCAGAAGTGAATTTTCTTTTACCAGTACATCATTGTATTTTTGTATGCATATGTATAGCAAAAACAAAGCTATTATGCATTTGAATTGAATACTTTAGGCAACAACAAATATATTACCTCCTTGTCTTATGTTGATCACAACTCAATATATCTCAATATTGAAACATGAAATCATATTGCAGTTAGATGACAGTTCCATCAACAGACTTGAATTCCATTGAAATTGCCACATTTGAAAGAACCGCCACTAGCTGATAAAGGCAATTTTTTGGTACGTAAATATCATTGCTCTTTAATAATATTATTGTGTTTTAGTTATGAACATGCAGCAACTCTAATTCTTTTCACTAATGTAAATGGGAAAATTTCATGTGATTTTAAGATTTAAAAAATGTTCTTGTGTATTTTCATCATTTAAAGATCTGATGTAGACGGATGACATAAACACTTTTGTCTCTATGTTTTACAGGTTCTGCTTTACATAAAAGAGTTTCTTGATCAAGTTTTTCCGAGGACAGACTTCTTGTGAACTTTATCAATGTGTGTGATTCCATTTATATAATAGATCCGCCGCTCTGTGGAACTTACACATGTACATGTAGATACATGCTTTTTGCGGGATCGTAAATGATAACAGTGATCAAGGCCTGTTTATTCTTTTTTGTGGGAAGGATTTGTGTGATTCTGTTGTTTTTTAAATTCAGAGAATGGATTTTTTTCCTTTAAAAATACCTGTTGGGTTAAAACAGAATAACTCAGAACTTGTACCGGAAATGGAACTATAATATGCTTTTCATATTAAATAAGGATTTATTAATTAAAATTTGTAAAAAGAGAATTCATTCAGTTGTGATTAATTCTTTGAGAGTTATAATTAAGATGAAATGTATGAAAATCATTTTAAAGTCATACAAAATAATGTTGATATCATTTAATGAAAACGTAAAGCGACATTTCAGGAAAGAAATGTAATTGCGACATTTGGATAAAATGTTTTAAAAACGTTTTAAAAACCATACAAAATCACGTGAATAAAACATTTTCGAAAATGTTTTAGTAACATTTAAGGAAATGTTCTGATAACATTTGCTGAAACATTTTGCTAAAATGTTTTAAAAACGTTTAAAAAACCATACAAAATCACGTGATTAAAACTTTTTTTAAAAATGTTATCGTAACATTTTAATAAAATGTTCTAATAACATTTGCTGAAACATTGTGCTAAAATGTTTTAAAAACGTTTAAAAAACCATACAAAATCACGTGATAAAAACATTTTTGAAAATGTTTTTGTAACATTTTGAAAATGTTTTTAAAACATTTTTAAAATGTTTTTGTGCTAGCTGGGATATGTTCACTGACAACCGTTCATTTCTTAAATGAATGGAGGGTATGGAGTAATTACTTAACTCACTTTGTAAGTTGTAGTAATTTGTTTCACCAATTTAATGTAGACTGTTCAGGTAGATTTTATATTAAGGACCTTAGTTTCACATCTCTCACCTGAAGGAGAGTTATCAATGCCCCACTCTGGGGTTTTAATATACCTGTATCAGACATTCAAGTATATTTCTGCACTGAACCTTGAATGTACAGACTGAAATTACTGGTATCTTATTAAAAAAAGTTTTCAAAATATGTTTTCTAATTGATAAACACTGTATATATTTCTGCTATTTCAAAATTCCAAATCTATGCAGAAAAATCTCCAAATGATAAAATGGAAACAAAATGATCAAGGTTACCAAAATGAAATTTTTTTTGTTTCATAGTTAATGAGTTTAAATTAGTTTACTTACACAGTTGTTGGTAAAGAAGCCATCTTTCAGGTAAAAATTTTCAATGCTAATTTTAGTTTTGGGGAATTTATCAGGTAGTTCTTCATTGCACTTTCAATTATTCTATGGAACTTTAATGAATATGCATATCTGATCCCTCAATGATCAGCAGAGGGTTACAGAAATTTGTTGCATAGTTCTACTCTACTAACCAGAAATCTCCACTTAACTGCAGGTATGAATTCTCATGAAAAACTTCTAAGATGGTTTATATATATCTCATGTAAGAAGCCAAGATAACTTTCATGAAAGATCTCTCCAAGATTTTGACCAGACACAAGGTCAAAAGGCAGTTTTTCTCTATCAAGATTTAATTTGGCTAGACTGTATCCTGTAGTGTGGTGTACTGATGATCAGTCAGCAAGCATCATTAATGGTAAAAGCATCATCTCAGTTCCTCAGTTTGGTTGTGTTTACTTGCTTATCATGTCCTTTAGAATAGGGTAAATATTTCTTGTAATTATCCATCACTCTTTGAATTGAATGGGGTTGTCCTGTTTTATCTATTTTTAACATCTTGCATAAATCTTGAAACAATGTTGACTCATATTGCCTGCCCTAGGCCTGTTCAGTATGAACCTAAGTAGACTCCATACCTTGAAATGAATTTACCCCTTTTTTGTGTCATTGAAAGCTACTTATAATATTTAGTTGAAATCTACACAATAATAAGTCATAATTCGAGATTCTTCTTGGCTGAAACTATTGTTTTGTTAATTTAACTCATTATTGTTACTGATTCAAAAAAAAGAATCCATTTTTTCCCTCTTTTTTAGGAGAGAGTGTAGAAGAGAATGCCAATCTGGTTGTTCGCCTTTTGATCCGACGTCCAGAGTGTCTGGGTCCTGCTCTCAGAGGGGAGGGTGGGGGACTGCTAAAGGCCATCAAAGATGGCATTAGAATGTCTGAACAGATTGCAGCTTCTAAGGATGGTTTAGCTGGAAGTTATTTGTCTGCTCTCAATGATGAAGATGATTCTGGAGGAAGATATCTCTTCCAAAGGTAACTGTTTGAAACTCAGGTTCAGAGGTGCATTTCAACAATACAAGTTCTAGAAGTCTGATCACTATGTGATAGAGTTGTACATGTATATACATGTATGTGGGTAATATATTGGGAAGAAGAAGTCTATGCATGTTGGTATTCTTTAATAGCAAGTATGACTTTTCCTCCCTCCCTCCTGAGGATGACGAGGATTATGTGGACATGGGAGGGGCTATTCTGACCTTCTACTCCAGTCTGGTGGACTTACTTGGACGTTGTGCCCCAGAGGCTGAGGCCATCAAATCAGGACGGAGTGACTCTATTAGAGCTAGATCCATCCTACGTAGCTTGGTATCCATGGAGGACTTAGAGGGAGTGCTGGGTCTGAGGTTCATATTGCCTGTCAACCAACCTCAACCTTCAGGAGATGATGGTAAGACTGTATCTGAATTTCTCAAGTGATTAATGTGAAGTGAAAATGATAATGGTGAAGCATTATCTTTATGTTAAATTTTTTTTTTGACTTTATTACACTATCACATATACAGTTATTTCCTTGCTAAGTATGGAGTACCTGCAGGTGACTTACATTTCCTGAACACTAGCTTTAATACTTTATATAGATAAGTTTGGTAGTGCAGAATGTGTATGACAGCTTAAAATTTGCATAGTGAATAATTGCAACTAAAAATAATCTTTTACATGAACTTTACTTGAAAATATTGAGTTTCATTCTTTTAATCAATATTGATATGGATATTCTTTCTGACACAGCTGATAGCACAGCCCCTCCCACAGTTAGTTTTCCCCCAGGACTGATTCCAACACACAAGGCCTCTATAATGATGTTCTTAGAGAGGGTATATGGGATAGAAGATCAGGCTACGTTCTTCAGAATTCTGGAGGATGCCATACTGCCAGATCTTAGGGCAGCAACTACCTTAGACAATGTATGAATAAAATAACAAAGCAAGATATTTTAAGGACACATATTAATGATCTGCTCTTGTTATTGTAATTGTTAGTAGTTTTGATAGATTTTTGAGAAATATACATGTACTACATGTATGTTTAGTAAATTATCTGCAAAATTGCTTTTACAAGCAGACAAAATGATAAAATATGCTAGCACAGAAGATAATGCACATTTTAACAAAACTTGATCTTCATCAAAAATATCTTTTGCAGCAGATGAATGCATCAGAAAATGACATGGCCTTAGCCTTGAATCGTTACATCGGGAGCAATGTGCTGCCATTCCTGACAAACTACAGCCACTACTTTAGTGACGCTGACCATGCCTCTGCCTTGTTAGACTCCACTCTCAATACTGTCTATAGACTGTCAAAGTGTCACTCGCTTACCAAGGGACAGATGGATGCTGTATCCAACTTCCTTATATCATTCACAAAGTATGTAGTCATTCTTTGGAATTATAGGAGAAGTGAAATTAAAACTGGATGTAGTTCTTTTTAATAAAGAAAAGTTCTTTTTCTTTTGCAGCCAGCTAAGGCCACCAATGATGACAAAGCTGCTGAGAAAACTGACCCATGATGTGCCTGTTCTAAATGAGAACACAGTTATACCACTGAGGGTGGGTCTAATATAGCTGAATGTTTGATATTAAAGTTTAATTCCTTGTTTGTGAATCTGTCATTAAACCCACCTTTCTCTTTCAGCTTATAACTTCCGTTAAAGTTGCATTTCTTTATTTCAGGTTCTAACCTCCTATTATGAAAGATGTGGACGTTATTACAGTGTGGTTGGGTGGGGTTCCTATGGAAGTGCGACAGAGGAGGAAAAACGACTGACAATGATGTTGTTCACAGGGATATTTGATGCCTTGGCACAGAGATCATATGACCCTGAATTGTTCTCAAAAGCCCTGCCCTGCTTGTCAGCCATTGGTTGTGCCTTGTCACCTGACTACTCATTGTCCAATCAGGATGACCGTTGGTTGAGCGACTCTAGTGAGGACTCTGATGGTTCATATAATCCACAACCAGTTGACACATCCAGGTAAAAAAGCGGTAAAATGAAAAAATAATAAGTTCAGAAGTTATCATCTGAGAAAATTATCATGTAAAAGTTGCATATTTTACTCTATATCAATATGGAATTTCAGAGTACATTTGAATCAGAACTATGATGTGACCATCAACAGATTTGCAGAACATTTCCATGACTGTTGGGCCATCAAAAAGGTAAATTTGTACCATAGAAGGCATTTAAAATAACCACCATTCTGTAAAACAATACTTGGAGTACAATTGATTTATTTGCCTTTCGTGGGTGTATTGGCATCTGTTCACTAATTTTCCAGTCCTGGTAAACTTTCCAGAAATACAAGTATTTATTGGCTAAATATTTTGAATCAACCTTCAGCAGCATTGTGAAAGATTAACAAACTTTGATACTTTGGACTAGAAACATTTAGTTAATTTTAATTGATAACATTTTTATTCTGGATTTTCAAAGTGTTGCATATTAAAGTTTAAAAGATGTGTAAAATCCAAAAGTTGGATAAAATTTTTAAATGAATGAAATTTTGAAGAGAATATGCTAGAAGTTTTGAAAAAAAAACTCTCTGTGGCAATAGCTCTTAGTGAAATTGACCTGAAATATGCTTGTGCTAAATTCTCTTTGCAGTATATTGTCAGAATTTTAATATGTTGATTGATTACAGATTGATCAGGGATGGGTGTTTGGCACAAACTATGATGAAGAAAGAAAAACTCACCCAATGCTTAAACCATACCACCTATTAGATGAAGATGTAAGGAAAATATTTTTTTGAACTCAAGTAATATGTTTTCTTTCTATCTTTAAAAAAATAAGAAAGATCAGATAACAGTAAACACAAGTCCTGGTGCACAAATGCATTCAGATTAAGCATTTTTCTGAATTTCTGAGCTTGATATTGAAAGTTTATATAATGAATCCATGGATATACCTGGTAGTAATATGAAGATGTTTTTTTAAATATTTTATTTTTTGACTTTTCAAAGAGCAAAGCCAAATACATGGATCCTATCAAGGAGAATCTGAAGGTGATGTTATCCTGGGGCTGGGTACTAGAACAAGACCAGGCTAGATTACAGGCCAACAGAGAAAGCATGAGACGCCGCATGTCAAAAGATGGGGTAATGGTGACATCTACCAAATTACTCTGTGCACAATACTTTAATACTTTATATATAATATATAAAATATATAAAATAATATATAAAATACTTTAATAATCCATATTTCTTCTTCAAGCATTTTAAAGTTATAAGTAAAGTAGTGTATTTGAATTGGGGTGTGAAAAGTACTTCTGAAGATGATTGAAATACCGGTAAATGTACTGTATTTCTGATGTGTATGATTACTTTTTGATGGTCTTTACTAGGTGTTGATAAAAGTTATCATGAGAGTAAGACATGCAATGTCTTTTTCTTCCAGGCTCATCATGGATATAGTCCCAAACCATTTGATCTCAGAAATATGACTTTGACCAGAGAGATTCAGGTTGGTAAAGATTGTTGAAATGAGGTTTGGTGTCATAGCAGATCAGGTAATGGTTCTGATATTAATTTATCGACTTGGTCTTTCTTTAATTTCAGGCACTTGCAGAAAGACTCGCAGAAAACTCTCATGATCTCTGGGCAAAGAAAAAGAAACAGGAGCTAGAGGAGATTGGTAACTGACCTTGTCATACATATATGATTGGTCTTAGTTGTCATAGTAGACTAGCTTTGCCCTTTCTAAGTAGACTTAGCCTTGACCTTTCTAAGTGACTGGTCTTGATTGTCATTGTTTCCTAGCTTTGTCCTCCACAAGTAGACTGGCCTTGAGCCTTGACCTTTCTAAGTGACTGGTCTTAGTGTCATAGTTGCTTAGCTTTGCCCTTCATAAGTAGACTTGCTTTGACCTTCCCAAGTAACTGATCTTGGTTGTCATAGTTGCTTAGCTTTGCTCTCCATTAGTGGACTGGGGACCTGTCTAAGTGACTAGTCTTGGTTGTCATAGTTGCTTAGCTTTGCCCTTCATGAGTAGACTGACCTTGACCTTCCTAAGTGACTGGTCTTGGTTGTCATACTTGCTTAGCTTTGCTATTTGTAAGTTGATTGGCCTTGGCCTTTCTAAGTGACTAGTCTTGGTTGTCATAGTTGCCCAGCTTTGCCCTTCATAAGTAGACTGACCTTGACTTTTCTAAGTGACTGGTTTTGGTTTTCATAGTTGCTTAGCTTTGCCCTTTGTAAGTAGATTAGCCTTGATCTTTCTAAGTGACTGATCTTGATCTTAATATATAGATTAGTGTTGACCTTCAAAAGTAGACTGGCATTTATCTATATAAGAGACTGGTAATGGTCTACTTAAGTAAACTAGCCTTGACCTTGGTGAGTAGACTTGCCATCACTTTTATAAGTAGACTTGTTTGACCTTCATAAGAAAACAGACCTTGGTTTCCTAAGGTATATTGCCCTTCATAAAGTGACTGTAGTGGTTAAGATTGGCAACATATACTTTCAAAACATTTACTCATATTTGTTTTTACATATTTGCATACATTGTACTTTTTTTTATATGTAAAAGTTTGGCCCTGCTTGTTTTAGTTCTCTGAAATTAAATTTAACAATTCATTGATATCCTCTTGTTTCTTTTGATATTTTATCAGGTGGTGGGGTCCACCCTCAGTTGGTGCCTTATGATACCCTGACAGACAAAGAGAAGAGAAAAGTCCGAGATCACGCCCAGGAGCTTCTCAAGTTCCTCCAGTTCCAGGGATACAGAGTCAGCAGGTCTGTAGTTCTTACTCCAGCACACTCAATACTTGTAAATAGGATGGATGAGGCATATTGTCACTAACTAACTGATCATGGCTAGACTAAGCTTGTTCATTGCCTCTTAGATTTATAAGCTAAGCTAATCTAATTGCTTGTCAGATTTATAATCTGTACCATTTTGAGTGAGGATTTTGCTTGATAAAGTAATAGATGCATGACAAAGTCAAAATATTCAACAAGAAAGAGATTTGCATACTGCATAGGAGTTTTAAAATTAAAAAAATGATAATAATGTTTTGTAGCTTTTTGCTATGGCTTAGAAATTATACTGATATTGCAGAGGACCTGGTGCATAAAGTCCTGAATTTATAAACCAGAATTACTTAAGAGATGCTACTTATCTTCTAGTTAATATGCTACTTTTTGATTAACATGCCTGGTACATATTAACAGTAGTAAGTACCATGGTGTGACTGAAGAATGACTGGACTGGTGCTCATGTTTCAGTTATTATTTTGTGTTACCATTTATAGTGGTATATGGTAGATTTTAGTTGGTAGAGTGGTATGTTTGTCAATGCCTGCTGTGTGTTAACAATCAGATGTTGTATCAGTAGTTTGCTTCTTGTAGAAGTCAAAAACTAAAATAATTAACACATACATGTATTACATGTATTATGTATTGTTTATACTAATAAAACTGATTTAGAAGAATCTTGATGAGAGGCTTATGGCTGCCCATTTGGATTACTTAAAAAGACAATTGAGTTTTAGGTAATGACATAGTTAAAATTTTGTATCTACCTGAAAAATGTGCATACTAGAGATATATTGATAACTTAGTTAAAATAATTTATACAAAAGTTATGTCTCAAGCGTTTTGAATCCTTACTTAACCAGAAAGAAGTTTTTCTATGGCAGATGATGAATGATCATGTATTTGGTGCAACCAAATATGATTTTTTGGGAGGTGATGTAATATCTATTTTAGCTAATTAAGTTGTTTTCTAGAAACAATATGTACTTCCAAGTAAAGTGTTCAGTTTTTCTGTGTGCTCAATAAAATGTTCAGGAGGTCAAATAGCTCACAGAGTAAAGCACCCATTTAGAATTAGTTGGAACCCTAGTATCTACCACATATATCTGTCATATTTTACCATATTTCAGTAGATTTGCTCTTTATAATTAATCATAACACATAGGCTTAATTAATACAAGGATGTTAAAAAGTTTGTGGGGAAGAATGTATTAGACATGGTTGATCTCGTAACCAAATAGCTCAATTAAAGCACTTCTTAAGTCAAGGGGTTCTGGTTCAATTACTTGTTTTGGGTATCACATTTTCTCCTTTTCTGTTACATTATTATTTAAGACTTTTCAAAATCAGAGCTTGATGTTCTGAGAGAACTGAGTCTTCTGTAACAGTTTAAGGGTGTGATGCAATCAGAGAGAGTTGAATGTCAAAAGTTAAGTTATAATATATGTGCATTTTGGATACTGTAGATGTACTTTTTTCAGTGTGGTATTAATTTACACTATGTATGTGGTCACAAATTTTTTTACGGAAATTTGTCACAGTGTACGTAAAGTGCATTCAAGACATACAATGGTAATCCAAGACACCTGCATAATTTGCTGCCCCGGATTGAACAGAAATTATGATTATGCGGAATTATGACCCCCTGGAAAAAAGTATGTTTATAGTATTATTGAATTTATTTACATGATTTAATAAAGTAAGATGTGCAGTGTGATACCTCCAAACAGTGGATGTTTTTGCATGTATGTACGTAGCTTGAGATGAAATGTTTTAGTTCATTTGGCTGTTATATGCTGTATGAGTACTAATTTATATTAGGAAAAAACAATGAGGTTTTGTTGTAAAAGATTATTTTACTGTAATGTATCTGTATTGTACATGTATATTGTACAAAATAACACATGTTCCACTCCTAAGTTTTTTTTTCTCACTGAATTTTATGCTTACTTATTATTTTTCCATTGGTTTCTTTTCATTTGCGGGATTTTCTCCCTTTACAACCTTTGCTTTTCCAATCAACCAAACATGACACCAGTAGCAGTGAGTCGGACTTAAGCGAACAGAGACGTAAATCTGGTTCTAGACCTGCCAAGGACAAGAACGCAGATGGAGTGGGCGTGTCAGCCACAGAGAAGAGGTTCGCCTACAGTCTGCTGGAGAAGTTACTGGGTTACTTTGACAATGCCTCCACCAATCTTATGGAGACCAGGCCAAGCAGTCGATTCAGTCGCAGGGGAAGCTACTCCACTGCCTCAGAGGATGTCAAATTTTTTGCCAAGGTAAAGTGGAAAAGTTTATTATATGTTGTAGAATGTGGTTGTTGGGTGATATTTACCATGAATATCAACTTTTGTTAAGTTGTATTTTATGCATTAGGTGTAGATGTTCATGACTTATTGAACTTCCATAAAGTGAAAAGTAGATCATTTCTACATGTAATTAAAGGATTGTTACATATAAACTCAATACTGATTTCTTTTGATTGAAGGTTGTCCTTCCATTTGTCAAGAAGTATTATCATGCACACAAAGACTATTTTGTTGGAAAAGCAGGATCTTCTACGAGTTCCTCTATGGCCTCTGTGAAAGAGAAAGAAATGACAGCAAGGTACTTAAGCAAACAATTAGAAAAGGTCAAAATTACTAAATAAATAGGTTAGGAATCAGCAATGAATTTTCTGTTTCTATTTTAGCTTATTCTGCAAGCTGGCAGCCACTCTGAGAACAAAGATAACAGCGTTTGGTCATGATGTCAACATCTCGGTACGATGCCTGCAGGTGCTGGTCAAAGCTGTGGATGCTAGGTATCATCATCTCTCTATCGATAAATCTACATCTGACTGATGAAACAGAGATGTATAATATCTCAATTGTAATGTGTGATGTATAAAAATCAATACAGTAACTGAAATGAATTATTTTTTTTTAAACAGGTCAGTAGTGAAAAACAGCCCGGAAATGGTAAGAGCCTCTCTGCTGCCATTCTTCAATAATGCAGCAGATGACTTGGCCCAGGTTGTGGACAATTTAAACAAAGGTCGTTTTAGTCATGTGAAGGGCACCATTACTCGGGGGGCCACCAGCCTTGACTACGTCCACATGGTGCTTCTGCCAGTACTGACCTCTATGTTTGATCATCTGGGTACCAACAACTTTGGACCTGATCTCATTGGTTTGTAGATTTACTGATACATTAAGTGTTATAATAAGAAATTTTGCTTGATTCATTATAAATTTACATGATTGGAGACCAGAAAAGACAAAGTTTTTTTAATGAATAGAATTTCATAAATATCACCTGAATATCGATTTCATAGTAAAAAAGGGAAAAGATTTATTGAGTAGAATGGTCAGTAGAAAAGAATTGATTTCAAATAATTATTTTGTGAACATTTGCATGTACATGTTTCATCAAAAGTTTGAGAGAAAAAAGTGCCTCTGTCTGCCTCTTGAAGAGAGAAATAGTTGAATCAATGATGTTGCTTCATTGTTTTGAGAACTAGCTGATTTATTTGAGGTGTGATTTCAGTTGGTGATGCTCAGCTGGCATGTTATCGTATCCTGAATTCTCTCTACTGCCTGGGAACCAGCAACAACACCATCATAAACAGGTATTGTACATGTATAGGTACAGTGTATCCTCAAAGAATCCTGCTTGAGGAAGGGGTTCAACGGACCACTCTTTTAGTCTGAATAGCAGCAACTTTGAAAAATATCCTTCTTTGTACATTATAGTCAAAGTATTTGAGATATAATACATGTAGTTGTTGATAGCACTAAAAAATTTTGAATTTATAATAGTTTTAAGATAGAAATAATAGGTATTGGAAAGGTGGGGTATGTAATAGAGGGAAAAATGGGAATGTGTTTATTAGAATACAATGTATTAAAATTTTTGTAAAAAATAAGAAAGTAACCGTTTTATGATCCGTGATGCTTGACTGGTACCCACTGACTGGTTCTCTCCTGTTGTGTAGGGACACTATTTTATCGGAGTTGTCAAGGTATAGTTGTTACCTGGCATGGTGTGGTATCTCACCAATTAGTCAGCTGTTGTAGCCTTGTGTATTTTTGCTGTTGAAACCAATTTTCCCCGAATACTTTGGAGGGCATTTTTAATTAAATCATATTGATTAATGTTTATTTATTTATTTCTCTTTTATTTTTTTTTTTTTTTTTGAAAGATTGAATTTAAAGATTTTTAAATTCTGTATATTTTAATTTAAATTTTTTGAAAAAAAAAAAAATTCAGAGAAAAAAAATCTTACTGATCCATTGGCCCATATATATTTTATGGTTTGTTATTTGAGCTTATTGATTTTGTTTCTTTTCTTTTACAAAGAATGATTCACTGATCCAATAGTTTGTTGATTTTGAAACTTTGCAACACTGTGCTATAATTATCTAACAATTTTAGAATGATAGTTTGATTTGGAAAATGTTCCACTTTATAATTGTCCCAAATACTTAAGATATATTCAGTTTTTATTTCATATTAACTCCAAAATAACATTGGCAATCAAAACAGTTCCTCTCATTTACCAACCCTGTTATTGCTATCAGTTTGCAGTTTATATGCCAGTAAAATATCATCTCTATAATTCTAAACATTTTTTTAAAAAACCACATGAGGAAGTGCCATACAAATGTATTCAGGATTAATACATGTATGTCACAATTCTAAAATTCATGAATAATAAAATGAAATTTTCATTTTCATTTCATACTGAGAACAATTTGAGTTTGCTTTCATAAGCCCACCATTGCATAAAAACCCTGCACTTTTATAACATTTTAATCATGTATCTTTCAACACAAGTTCTAGATGTTTGAAATGGTATCTTGTTTTAAAATTAGCAGATTCTTTTCCCTGCCATATTTTCTATTAACAAAAAATCCCTTGTGTATTTAACTGTCAGCATGATTCAACTCAGTTACCTTAAGAAAAAGTCATGCAGGAATGATGACTTCAATATAAAAATAGTCATAATGTCATGACTACATGTATATCCATATAAAACTCTCAGTAATTCATATTTTTTTATCCTGCTTCGATCTTGCCTCATAATTGAAGAAAAGAAATGCTTTTCAACAAAAATGTCTAAAGCATTATCTGAAGAACTTTATGGAAAAGATCTGAGGGAAAAAAAGCCATTAAAAGTTTGAAGTACATAAAAGTTTGAGACCATGCCACTTTGTTGTTAACATTTTAAAAAGAAAAACTTAATATAGACAGGTATACAACGTTGAGAAAAAATTAGATGATTATATATACATAGTATTGGCATACTACTTTAGTGAATATATTGTATATATATACTGTATATATATATATATATACTTTTAATGGAAATACTAAATCATAAGTAAAATCTGATATCCTGCTACCTAAAACAAGTTTTACGTGGCAAGCATTTATCAAATTTTGTGTTCATCTACTAGACTCTGTTATGGTGTTTTTCATAGCAAATATCAGACATTGTGCTTTGCTTTCATTTTACATGTATTTTGTGTCTTTAATAGAATGAATTTTTACGCATATATTGTGTCTTTAATAAAACTAAACTGTTGATGCTGTACTTCATTGTTTCATGTGAATTTCACTCTCAGAGTCTTGGCATAAGAAAATGAGAACTGAACCAAACATTTTGAGATGGAAATAAATATTTTTTGAGTAATCTAGCCAAATGTTCTCAAAATTGATGTTTTCCCCCAGCATTTAGAGCAATCTCTTAATGGCTTGAAATTTTGATTAAACACTTTCTTGTTATGGTGAAGCAGATTAACATAATTAAGCCATTGCCAATGTTATTGTGGTGTTGAAGAACTAATTGTTAGTACTTTTGTTATGTAGCATTTGTGGACATTTATTGTGATAGTGTTATGGATGACTGACAGTGGATGTAAATTACTGTAGATTCCTAAATATATGTGAGGAATTAATTGTCGCATATTTTCGCGAGAAGCACCACTCGCAAAATAAAATTACTCGCTTTTATTTTATGATGCTGAAATCAATGTAAAATATCTTGATCAACCATCCACTCGCGAATTATTGTTCTCGTGATTTGACGTTAAAGAGCCATTTTGCAAAAATAAAGTACTCGCGAAAAATAAGGAATCTACAGTAGTAAAATCAGACACTCTAGTGAAAGGAACATGTTTACTGCAATGTCTGCCAAATAGTCTTTTGTCATTGTTGGATTTGACTTGGCATTACTGGCACATTTAAGGAATGATTGTTGGAGTATCAAAGAGAAGCTCAAAGATACATTGTGTGAAACTGCCTTTATAACTGTTTCCAGTCCACTCACAGTTGTCTGAAAACACTAAACCATCAATACATAATTTTGAAAAGTTGTGTACACTGTAGATGTTGGTGTTTTTTATTTTTGTCTGGTGCTTTTGTCTTGTACTGTATCTTGTATGTGATAGCCTTCTACTGCATGTAGTCACACTTTTCCCATCATGTATCTTACTTTAATATGTTAATTCCAATATTTTATCAAATTTTTGGCATTACAAATGATTTTTTTAAAGTATGAAATTATCTCATTTTACTAAAAAATAATTAAGATTCTTCATCATTGTTGTAATGAAAGGATTGATATAAACTGCAGACTGGTAGAGAATCACTCGCCAGCAACATGTGTAATACAGGTACAGAAACAAACTTGACACCCACTCACAAAACAATACTTTTTTTGGTTAAAAAAAAAATTTAATGCATTATTCAAGATTTTCTAGAAGTAAGTGTAAATGCATTGATGATGTCGTCATTATTTTTGTTTGATACTTCAAATGAAAATCTTTAAAAGGCTTTTGCATCACTCATTATTCATATGGTGCTTGCAAAAAAAAAAAATTGATTACTTTTACACAGACACCGACCAGCCTTAGGAGAGTGTCTGAGCTCCTTTGCCGGCTGTTTTCCTGTTGCCTTTTTGGAGCCTGAACGCAACAAGTATAATCGCAACTCAATCATGTTTGGGATTGATGAGGAAAAACTTGCTGAGCATTCCTTAGAAGCTCAAGGTATTGTATTTGGAAAGGACATGATTAATCTGGTACCTTATGATTCAGAGCTCTTAACTACAAGTGGAGTAATAGTAATAAATGTGCCTTTTATTTGAATTTAAGTAATCTTTAGGATAATTTTATGTTGGGGATTGACATTTCATGGCTTCTAGATGGCCAAACAATTTGCATACATGAACTGTAATAGTTGAAGACTTTTATGCTTTTGTCACACTGTGTATATATTATTTCAAAAACAAAATGAAGAACTGGTTCAGTTTTGTTGTTTGTTTTGTTGATAAAAATCCAAAATAATCATATATATATATATAGTGCTGTGCTTTTTGTCATTCAGCATACCCAGAAAATGTAATTTAATTCCTTTCACAAATTGACAGAGGTAATGGAACTCCTGGCACAGACACTGCCTGGACTTCAGAAAATTATAGAAGAAATAGCAGAGCTGGCAGAATCTGGAGGGAAATACCAGGAAGCTCCTCATGTGATTGAGGTCACCCTGCCAATGTTATGCAGGTGAGTTAATCTGTGTATCTTCCTCTGATTTACTGTAAACCAACTACTATAAGTGACATTTTTAGCTCACCTGAGCTGAAAGCATTTCAGATCACATTTTGTCCAGTGTCTGTCCATCCATCTGTAATTTTTTTACATTTTCGACTTCTTCTCAAGAACCACTTGACCAATTGCAACTAAACTTGCCACAAAGCATCCTTGGGTAAAGGGGATTCAAGTTTGTTCAAGTAAAGGGCAACACCCTCTTTCAAGGGGAGGTAAACAAGAATTAGTGAAAATTTGATGGCATCTTTTAAAAATCTTCTTCTCAAGAACCAGTGGGCCAGAAAAGTTGAAACTTAAGTGAGACCATCATTACATAATGTAGATTCAATTTTTTACAAATCATGACCTCCCAGGATAGGTTGGGGCCACAATGGGGATCAAAGTTTTACAAAGGAATATAAAGGAAAAAATCTTTAAAATTCTTCTTCTTAACATGCTTAAGAACAACAAAGCCATGATTAGTCATATTGATTTGAAAACATCCTCAGGTAGTGTAGATTCAGGTTTGTTCAAATCATGACCCCTAGGGGTAGGGTGGGGCTACATTGGAGGATCAAAGTTTTACATAAGACTATACAGGAAAAATGTTGTTCTCAAGAAAAGCAAAGCCATGATTAGTCATATTGATCATGTGTTGATCTGGAAGCATCTTCAGGTAGTGTAGATTCAAGTTTGTTCACATCATGACCCCAGGGGGTAGGAGGGGGCAACATTCTTAAAAATTTTCTTTAGAAGGCCATGATTAGTCAAAGTTTGTTCAAATCATGACACCTGGGGTAGGATGGAGTCACAACAGGGAACCAAAGTTTTACACAGCAATGTATAAAGGAAAAAAATCTGCTGATGAAGAATGGCAGGACCATATTGGCTGAGATGAGCACTGTGGCCCATGGGCCTCTTGTTTATTTCACAAATCTTTAATAAAAAATCCTGTCCATGACAATCCGTCTAGCTTTTCTGTTTCATAAAATTGGGCATAGTGAACGGTATACCTGGTATACCAATGCAACCTTTGAGTTTCTTGCAGATCTTAGATATTTCTTGCACGCAAATAAAAATTGGTTAACAGGATATTGTGCTTGCATTAGTGATGGAGATATAGTTACGTAAGACCTGATCTTTGAAACATTTATTTCTCTTTCAGTTACCTACCATTCTGGCTGTCTCACAGTGAAGCTGATGGGTAAAATTATTCAATTCACTGCTTTTTTTCCTTTTCTCTTTTTTTTTTAATAAATGAATTGTCAGATATAAATTAATTTGAAGTGATGGCCATTTTATTTATAAGTATTTGTATTAATGTTCAGAGTGAACAAGGTCACGGCAGTCACAGAGGAGTTGATGAATCAGGTTCTTGGCAATGTTTTAAAACTCATCCGCAATAACATTGGAGCTAAAGATGCTCCTTGGATGAACAGAATTGCAAGTAAGAAGAGATGTCACATTCTCACTTGTCTGATTCCACTTTTAGTGAAATACATGTATGATAAATAAGACTGAATGCCTTATCCCTGATACATAGGACTTGAAAAGCTTATGGTCAAGGGTCAAATTCTCATATGTTTTAAAGTTTTAAAAGCATTTTGATTTGTTTCTTGTTACCTTAGGAAGAAATTGAAATAATGTTATGAGAGAAGAGACTGATATTGAAATACAAATCATCCATTTAATACCCTTATCCACATTATCTATGTGTGAAAGAAAATCATAATTCCCATTTATTTTGATTATTTGATTATTTGTAGCTCGAACACAGCCAATTATTGCCAACTCCACCCCAGACATGATCAAAGACCACTTCCTCCCAATCGCCATTATTCTACAGAAGAATGGTCAAATTGTGGAGAGAAAGGAGAAACAGCTTCTGGCCAGTAAACATGGCTCCAGTGAAACTGCTGATCTTGAAGCAGAGGTTCAGCAGGTCCGTATTAGCTGAAGATACATCTGTACTTAAATTTTCAAACAGATTCATATTTCAAAACAATTGAGCAGCCAAAGATTGTGCCACAAGATTCATTTATATTAAGTACAAAGCAAATCTCTCTATGATCACTTGGTTTATATGCCTATTTGTTATTTACAAACATTAACAATTTTCAGTCTTATGGTATACTCGTGAGAGACATCTATGCATTTTTCCCACTGCTGATTAAGTATGTAGATCTTCATCGATCCCATTGGCTCAAACATCCCTCCATGGATGCTGAGGAACTGTTTAGCTGTGTGGCTGAACTCTTTGGACTATGGTCCAAGTCTATAGTAAGTATCATAGAGAAGAAATCAAATCCTTAATGATAAAATTCTAATATTTCCTAGTAATTGATATTAATTTGAATGACAAAATGATCACTATATTTGGTTAAATTCTGGAAAGTCTTGTGATAAAGATTACAACATCAAGTTGTCATATGAGGATTAGACAGACAAATTTATTTCTTTGCTTAGATGTAAATAGAAATATTAAAAAATTATTGTAGATGTTTAAGAGAGAAGAGCAGAACTTTGTGTTGGGTAATGAAATTGACAACATGGCTTTGATAATGCCCAGTCAGTCCAAGTCTAGCTCCTCCCCCCCTACTGCGGCCATCCCTGGCCCTGATGCAGCCAGTACCAAGAGGACAGGGCGTAAGAGGGAGAAGAAACGATTAGAGCCACACAACAGCCTCAATGTGGCGTGTCTGAAGAGGCTACTGCCGATAGGGCTGAGCTTCTTCAGTGGAAGGGAACAGGAGTTACTTCAACAAGTCAAACAGAAACTTATAGAGGTAACTTATATTGTACAGATTATATCGAATTTTGAAAATGAATACCCTGTCCTACGTGGGAATTTCTTTTCAGAGCACAAAACTGTGTACAATCTCCAACACTTACAGTATTACACATTTTTTTTTTTTCTATTTAAAGGTGTAACTGATTTTTATCTAATACAGTAAAACTTGCTTACAAGGAACTTGGGTATGAAGAATACTGTACTCACTTTTATGTATAAGTAATAATTTTAAATTCGTCTGTCATTATCTTACCTACATGTAAATCTTCCAGAGAAAAAATAACTATAAGGAACTCAGTTACAAGAATTTCTGATTATGAGGAAGTAAAAATAAATCTGCATAATGCATTACTAATACATTGAGTAGTCCACTCTTGAAATTTTGATTTTCTTTCTTTTTTTTCGTTTTTTTTTTTATGTCAAGTACATAAATTGTACAAGTAGTGGAGAATATACATTGTTAACTCCCAAAACTTTCTTGTACATTTCTTAAAGATATTTTCTATTATCTGCATACATACCGGTATAAAAAATTAGAATTAAAGATGAGTTTGGATAAGAGGCACTCAGTTTTGAGGAACTATATCTACCAGATAGAAATTTCCTAGTATTCCAAGTAAGAAAGTTTTACTGAATGCTTTTGATGTTTAAATTTGTCATATATCTTTCCCCTTTTGCAAATTGTAAATGATTTTCAATGTTCTTAATTTAAATTATTCCTTTGCAATGCTTGGCTTTCCATGTTTAAATTCTATGTAAAACATGAATGGCTAAAGTCAGAGAAAATTGAGCCAGTGTCCATTTATGTCAAGTCTTTGTGATATTTATTTCAGCGAAGCTCAGATGAGTCGGATTATGATTTCGATTTAACGGTATTTATCAACATTGTCATGACTGAAACGTGGCGTTTTGATTTTATGACTGCATGGATCTGTGAAAAATACAAGAAACCATGTTTAGATTTTACTGATAATTTCTGGAAAGTTCATGCTCATTCATGTGGATCTGATTTATGAAAAGTTACTCCTCGTAATATGACCAAACAGATTAAACAAATTTTTCGAATTATTCTGAATAAAATATTTAGAAAATTTACAATGTGATGATTGTTAATCACTACATTGGCACATTAAGAATGAAAATATTATTGTATCTCCAAGACTCCAACTATCAAAACATTATGAAGTTAGTTGAAAAGAGAAGAGAAGGGGGGGGGGGGTAACATGTACATTTACTCAGTTGAAACAACAATGCTGTAATAATCCCTTCTGTTCCAAACCCTGTAAGTGGATTTGTAGTAGATCTGAAATCTGCTAGGGAACTTGTAGAGCATTCCCAATCCATTTATATTCCTCTCAGTGCTGTTTCATTATTCTATGCTGCTTTGTTAGTTTTGTATGTCTTATAAACTGTGGAATGTTTACATGTTCCAGGGAACCTCCATACTATGATCAAATCCATTGTGGTGAAAAAGATCTTACTTGTCGCTATTATCTGTATATACTTGTTGTATCTTTCAAAATTCTACTTCCTTTGTTTTTACTTCTAATTGCGAAGATGCATGCTTATGAACTACATGTATGCATGGATGAAGTGCACATGTCTTGACAATATCTTTATGATTTGGGAAGATGAGCTACTTCATCTTAGTTGGATGAACATTTATTGTAGATAAACATCTAATTACATTTTATTTATGACAAAAATAAATGGATTTGCTTGTGCATATTGTTTTTATTTCAGATTTTTTACATATAATTACTAGTGTTTCACAATTTCTATTGTACTTATGTATCTGTGTAATTTTTAACACTTTCTGATAACATTTTTGTGTACATATATTAGTGTTTGTTCTTGGCTACAGTATATTCTTTACTTTTATTTATATAATTATGTCCTTTTTTTATGCTTCTTAATGCACAGGCTTAATATTATTTTGCTTAAATTAGTAAAATATCTTATTGAATGTTATAAAACAAACCTGGAGAATTCTGTATGTTTTAGGAATCAGAGGCGGATATTGAGGACTTTATGCAGCAGAAGCTGGAAGCAGAGGAAGGGGTAAGTAACTCTTGATGATTAGCTCCATGGGTCAAAGATCAGAAGGGCCTATGTATTTGTAAGGTGTCCATCTTTCTGCTGTTTGTCTGTTTTGAAAATAAAAATTCAGTATGCACCCCCTCCTTCTGACAGTTTTAGTCAAATTTCAATAAAAATAGGTAAGCCAGAAGATTACACCCTTTCCCTCCCAAAAAAACCATTGATATTGGTGTATGATTTCAATAAATGTTGTTGCCATGGTTATTAAAATGCCGGTATTATAACCTGTAGAATCCTTCTCCTCCTACAGTTTTATAATTCTGATTTTAATAAAGCTTAGGTGACTACATTTATTACATTAATTAAAAAAAAAGAACTAGAAGACATACTTTTATTAAAACAATGGGCATTTTCTGATATAATCATTATTCCTCTTTAGCCAACAGATGAAAAAGTTCGATGGCAGAAGGTTCTGTACACAAAAATAGGGGGTGTGGAGAGAACCAATGTTGACCAGCATCACGTGCTAGAGAGAATTCTGTCAATGGCCAAAGTCATGCATGGACTTCATATGGTATGTATCTGATTCTTCTTCAATTTTGGCAAGACAACTTATATATATAAAACCACAACATGCATGGTGCCAGTCCTGGAACTTGTAAAATTTGACTGTACCTTATTATCATTTTGCCTGTAAATACCAAAATAACTGTTGAAATTTAGTAATATACCTTCCATTTAAAATGGTCAGTACCCTTGAATCTGTTAGAAGTTGATGTCTCTTGTCAATAGGTTGAAAATAAACTGTTTTCTCTCGTTTACCTGATTAGGTCTGCGAGGTAAGTGGGCTGAAGTGGCGGCGGTGTTTTATTTTTTAAACCAGGCATGATCCGTTTTTGGCTTAGGCTGACCCCCCAAACTGAAATCTGACTGTTTACTCAGGCAGATGGAACACTAAAAAAAATAAACTGTCCATGGTAGGCTTATATGTAGAATTAATAACAGTCTTAAACAGTTCATTTGCTTAATTTGAAATGTGTATACTCTAAGACCCCATGCACAGAAAAACTTTGTGAAGAACTAACAGGATATGTGGCCTTTTCCCACTGGTGTTAGGGTGTAGTAGCACAACAGTTATTTACCCTCTCTGCGAGAAGACATTTGACAAAGTGATTTTCTCACAGCATACCCCATGTTTTATTTCTGACCTCTGAAGAAAAAAACATTGTTTACACATGTTAATCCTTTCCACTACTGATTCTGACAGAGCTGAAAAAAAATTGAGGAAAAATGTTTCTTTTTTTATTATTTTCATTTTCTGTGTTTTCCTCCAACCTTAACTGATTATGATCAGAACATCTATATCAGAGTACATATTTTAAGAAAACATTTCCATTTTTGTTTGGACAACTCAGGTTGATAGACTTGCTTTGAAGGAATGGAGTTATTTTGTAAGTTTTCAGAAAATATGTCCTGAATTTGTTATTGTCATTTTTTTTCCATATTTACATATGCACAAAAGAAAACAAACAAACAAACAAAAAACATCTTTGAAAGTTCATTTACTATTTTTTGCAAATAATCTGAAAACTTCATAAGATGGATGTTTATTTACTTTTTTTTTTTTGCAAATAATCTGAAAACTTCATAAGATGGATGTTGTGGTGTAGACTCTCAGATTGCTTTCCCCCTTGCAGACATTGATGACTCCTGGCTTAATATGTGTAAATCCTGGTACCTTACCTCCCTTTGTCACGTCTGTTCTCTGATGACTGCTTTTGAAAAGTCCTCTCTTTTTAAATGTATTCTAAGAACATTCCTTTTTTCATTCATCGTCTAATTTCTTTCCATTTAACAGTTAAACCTAAAAGTACATGTATGTATACGTAGTCAGAGAGTGTGAAGTTTTATTTTCCCTTTGTGTTCATTAGTAGAAGGGTAAGAGTTATGAAGTTGACACTAAGATTAATATTTATAATCTTAAAGACTCAAAAAGATACAATTATGTAAAGTTGAATATTTAGTACAATAGTTATTTTTAAAAATGCATGCAAGAGGATGCATTGTAAATTATGTACAGTTAGTTCTTTAGCTAGACAAAGTTTGAGGTGAAATAAGCAGTAGAAATGAAATTTAAAAGTTTTGGTTCTTAAGTCTATTACATATTCTCTTCCATGTCTTAGACATAGAAGTGCAAGCTGTACCCAAATTAAATTATCTCTAGATGAGATTTGATTTTTATGTGACATATTTAGGCATGTTTGTGATTTAAGGTGGAACATCCATCAGGCAGCCACAAGAATGTATGGAAGAAGGTCATCTCCACCCAGAGAAAGCGAGCCGTCATGGCCTGTTTCAGGATGGTGCCTCTCCACAGTCTTCCAAGGTTAGTAGATAGTTGTTTGGTGTTAAAGACTCTTAAAGTGAGATTGATTTGGACATACTAATTACAATAACAGTGACTTGACACTCGAAAGTTGATGATTACTTGAAATAATTAACAGCTGAAAATACAGCTAACAGCTTAACTTTGGTATCTTGAACACCAATATCTTAAATACCGGGATATGTCAAAGTGATTTGGAAGTCCCAAGCCTTCTTTCTTTAAGTATTTTATCCTCAGTATCTCGAACCCACGGATATCTCAAATTTTTCTTGGTCCCATTGAGTTCAAGATAACGTGGTTTAACTATATGTTGCCTGATGTTTAACAATTGTTGACCTTGGTAAATGCCATTTAATCTTTCTACAGACATAGAGCTATAAATCTGTTCCTGTGCTCCTACAAAGACCAGTGGCTGGCAACTGAAGAATATGAAAAGAAAGTACTTATTGAGGACCTAACTGTGAGTAATAAAACTACAGTTGTTTTGGTTTGATGTATGTAAATACAGAAGTAAATGAGCTTTATTGTCTCAGCAGAATTCAAGTCATAAAACAAATATATATGCATGTAAATGTGTTTAGTAATGTTTGTTATCTGAAAAAAAAAATGGAAAATTTGTAGTGAACTAGGGGAGAAATAACCAGTTATAGGAGCTCATTAAAGGTTTTATTCTCTTAAAAAAAAATAAGAAACAAAGTTTGTATTTGATGTGATTTCTTTTCTCTGTGACAAAGTATATTGTAAAGATTACAATGAAAACTTGTAGAGATCTGATGAAGAGGAAGAAGACATTGAGAAGAAAGAGGAGGTAGAGGTCAAACCAGATCCACTGGATCAACTAATTACCTGTCTAAGCCGAGCCGCCACCAAAGAGCAACATGGAAGTCTGCCAGAAGACAGCTTATACATGTCGTATGCTGAGATTATGGCACAGGTGTTCTTTGCTTTACAGATGTTATTTGCTTTACTTAGGCATTTCATATTTAACATCTTTATTATAGCCTTGACATTTCATCCAGTGGTAGAAATTTTTTCTTCAATCTTTTATCTGCCATTTGTATTTCTATCTGCCAAATCTTTTATCCTGTAGTGAACTAAAACAAGCCCTGTTACGTTTAATGATAAGATGCCTATCATGGCCTCATATTGCCTTTTTTTAGCTCTTCTGAGCCAAAGGCTCAAAGAGCTAATGCTATGGCCATTTGTGCGGTGTGCGTAAACTTTTTAGAATATGGGCCATAACTCAAGAACCCCTTGGCCAATTATTGTCAAATTTGTCACAGGGTATCCTTGGCCCAAGGGCTCCCTTTTATACTAAAACTGGGGTTGTGACCCTTTAACAAGGGGAGATAATTAGGAAAATAGAAACAAAAGCACTGGTTGCTAAAAAATCTTCTTCTCAAGAACCACTGGGCAGATTATCACTAAACTTACACAAAAGGATGAGGATATGTTGTAGATTAAAATTTGCACGGGGATTTACCCTGGGGCAAAGGGCGTGGTCTCAAGGTCACTTCAAAGTTGACCAAAAATTACATTTTATTAAAATGTTGATATTTTGCCTACTATGACTAGGATCATCAAATCTTGTCAGTTGGTGCATCTAAGGACCTCATATCATGTTGACTCAAAAGTAGATCACGGTGACCTACTTTTTAAATTTTGCGGCCATTCTTTTTCAAAATGATTTAGAGGCATATTTTGAACAATTTAAGGCCTATGATCATCAAACTTTGTCAGTTGATGCATCTTGGGTCCTCAAAGAACGTCAACTAAAAAGTAGGTCACCTTGACCTACTTTTTGAATTTTATGGCTAATCTTTTTTAAAACAATTAAGGTCATTAATTCGAATACGGGGAGGCTTAGAATCATTAAATCTTGTAAGATGATGCATCTTGGGGCCATAAAACATATTTATTAAAAAGTAGGTCACAGTGACCTACTTTTTGAACTTTGCAGGCATTCGATTTCAAAGCGTTTTAGAGGCATAATTTGGACATTTTAAGTCCTATGATCATAAAACTTTGTAAGTTAATGCATCTTGGGTCCTAAAAAAAGGTCAACTGAAAAGTAGGTCACCGTGACCTACTTTTCAATTTGTATGACTATAATTAAATATTTCAGGTACTAATTGGCTTAGAATCATCAAACTTTGTCAGTTGATGCGTCATGAGTCTTCGGAGTAGGTCGAATAAAAAGTAGGTCACAGTGACCTACTTTTGAAAATTTATGGCATTAATTAAATATTTCGGGTACTAATTGGCTTAGAATCATCAAACTTTGTCAGTTGATGCATCTTGGGTCTTCAGAGTAGGTCAACTAAAAAGTAGGTTACGGTGACCTATTTTTGAAAATTTATGGCTTTAATTAAATATTTCGGGTACTAATTGGCTTAGAATCATCAAACATTGTCAGTTGATGCGTCATGGGTCTTCGGAGTAGGTCGACTAAAAAGTAGGTCACCCTGACCTACTTTTGGAAAATTTATGGCTTTAATAAAATATTTCGGGTACTAATTGGCTTAGAATCATAAAACTTTGTCAGTTTATGCGTCATGGGTCCTCAGAGTACAACAACTTAAAAGTAGGTCACGGTGACCTACTTTTGAAAATTTATGGCTTTAATCAAATATTTCGGGTACTAATTGGCTTAGAATCATTAAACTTTGTCAGTTGATGCGTCTTGGGTCCTCAGAGTTCAACAACTGAAAAGTAGGTCACGGTGACCTACTTTTGAAATTTTATGGCTGTATTTAATATTTTCAGGAATTATTTGGCTTAGAATCGTCAAAATTTGTCAGTTGATGCATCTTTGGTCCTTGGAGTAGGTTGACTGAAAAGTAGGTCACTGTGACCTACTTTTGAAAATTTATGGCTGTAATTAAATATTTTGGGTACTTATTGGCTAGAATCATCAAACTTTGTCAGTCGATGTATCTTTGGTCCTCGGAGTACAGCAACTGAAAAGTAGGTCACAGTGCCCTACTTTTGAAAATTTATGGCTTTAATTAAATATTACAGGTACTAATTGGCTTAGAATCATCAAACTTTGTCAGTCGATGCATCTTGGATCCTTGGAGTAAAACAATTGAAAAGTAGGTCACTTCGACCTACTTATAAAATTTTATGGTTATAATTTTAAAAAATATTTTAGGTATTAATTGGCTTAGAATCATCAAACTTAGTTGATGGGTCCTCAGAGAATGACAAGTGATAAGTAGGTCACCATGACCAACTCTCAGGTACTAATTGGCTTAGAATCATCTTGGGTTCTCAGAGTGTGAATTGGAATTTCAAGGATTTATGTAAATATACAGGATACTTCGAGGCTTCAAATAGAAGTGATAGGTTGTACAGTTTATCAGAAGAGCGATTCAAGGCCCATGGGCCTCTTGTATTATCATTTTCTCCAAATATAATTGAACCCAGTCAAACACTAGTTTTGTTATCATACAAAACTTGGAACACATATAAATTTAACTGAATTTTTCCCATTAGAAATTCTGAGGAGACTTTGTATAAGATGTAATGTTATTTGTAGAGTTGTCATGGTGAGGATGAGGATGATGATGACGAGGGAGGAGAAGAGGAGGGACCGGGATCCTCCTTCCAGGTGAGTCAAGCTTCAGTGACACAAACCTCACTGTCTCCAACTCACACCAGGGATAGAGTCAATGCTTATACACTGTAAATGTAGTGCTTGAGACATTGGTGAAAAAATAAAACTTGCAATAATATGGGGAGAGGGTAGAGGAAAGAAATACCCAATAACAAATTTTAGATAATATATTAAAAGGATTCAGATTAAGTCTTTTTTTTTGGTAAAATTATTATTGTTGTTCAAATACATTGTATATTAGCAGATTCAGGAACAATTATTCAAATGATTGATACTTGCAGGTAGATTTTGCAAAACACATTTGATTGAAAACTCAACCAACTTTTTAATTTTATTTTTCAATTAAAGCCATGAAAGGAAATCAAAGTAGCCAATTTCTGCATGTTTTATTGAAATATCTTGTACTTCTTGCTTGTATCAGCTTCATTTGGGAGTTTTAAAGGTACACGTTCATCTACTTTGCATGCTTTCATAGCAGAGATGTCATTGTCTTTTGTACCTCCTTAATGGCTTCATAAACAGGAGTTAAATCCCTTGCTTAAAACACAGGATGTAAACCTAGTATGTTGACATACCTTCAGTGTAGATGCAGCATTCCCAGGTAGTAAACAATCACTTGCAGTAATTGTCTCCTCAAGTTCTTGATTTGTCCAGTTTTGTCATATATTTTCATTGCCATAAATACATTTATTTATTTATTTAGTGTCACTGGCCTCCTATATTTTGTTGGCATTTGTCTTTTCAGTATGTTGATGCACATTCAAATTTGTTTAGTATTGTAATGGAAAGCCAGTTTATAAACTGAAAACATTAGTATACTTTATTTCCTTTATCAAGAGGGCAGTAATTTTAGTTCCTTTGAAAAACTTTAGAATGTAGTCTTAAAAGACAGTTATTTGATATTTTGTATACCAGATGTTTATTTCAATCATTGGTTTATCAAAAAAGGAGAGATTATTCAATTTTATAAGAACAACAGAGAATACATGTATCATATTTCTTAAATTTTGAAAGAATATGGATTTTCTAGACATTGACACAATTTGTTGAAAAGATTATTTTCATGGGACCATTCAAGTTGTAAGGTTAAATTTTTAGCAGAAAAAACTCTAAGTTGTTTTGCTTTATGAAATCAGGGTCCACCTGGAAAAGACTTAGTATGTATTAGTTAGGAAAAACAGACTTGCATGAAATCAAGAGTAATTTGAAGTATTCAGCTTAAGCAAGAGGCAAGATTCATTGCACATTTAACATACAAGTGAAATACCTGGAGACCTTGAGAGAGTTATCTTTTATTTTCAGGAACAAGAGATGGAGAAGCAACAGTTACTTTTCGAGCAGTCTAGACTGGCTGACCGTGGTGCAGCAGAGATGGTCCTCCTGTACATCAGTGCCAGCAGAGGTGGGACTGGGGCAGGGTCAAAGGATAGAGAGTGGGGCAAAAAAAATCAAGTTCTGTCAGTAGATACAGACATATGATGGGGTAGAAGATTGGAGTGGGGGAGGGGGGTTAAATCAGTTTCTGGTGGTAGGTACAGATAAACTGAGGGGTTCAAGATAGGCTTGTATGGGATAAAATAAGGTTTTCACAGTATGTGCAGTACTGAAGGTGTCCAAATTTGGAGTGCAAAGTATAAAAACCAGAAGATACAGATATACTGATGGGTTTCAAAACTAGAATGTGAGGGATAGAATCAGGTCATGTTGATAGATAAAGGGTTTACCAAAAAGAAATTGGTTAAGGATAAGAATGAAGAAAAAAATGGAAGTTAAGTCTCTTGATAGATACAAGTATAATGTAGTAGCAATAGGTAAGGATTATCTGTTTAAAAAAATCATGTCAGAGGGTTGCTTCAAGGGTTATTCAATTTTATAATTATTTTAATTTTAATAATTATTTGGTAAATTCTTATGTCAATAGAAAAACAGTGGAAAATTGTATTTTTTTTGATACAGATTCTTTCAGTAAGTGTTGATCAAATTTTTGATATGCTGTTCCAGGAGAAAATAGTCCTATGGTAGCTGACACGATAGAGCTGGGAATATCTCTTCTAAGAGGAGGAAATGTAGAAGTTCAAAAGGTAGTAAAATTAAACAATCTTCAGACAATTGGAAAAAAATTGTTTAGATACAAAAAAATGATTTGGGGTACCAGTCTCCAAACAAATTTCACATTCAGAAATGTATGTATTGGTCATTTATCTTCAAAAATGCAATATTTTTTGGCTTCACAGACAACACTGCTTGTCGACACCTGAAAATACAGTATAATAATTGTTTAGGGGGGATGAAAAGATATTGATTAAATTGATTTTTTTCTCCTCACATTACATATTTTTCTCAACAGAACATGCTAAAGCACCTGAAAGAGAAAAAAGATGTTGGATTTTTTTCATCTGTGTCTGGACTAATGCAGCAATGCAGGTAAAAGATTGCATTATTCTTGCTGAATATCAACTCTTTAACCAGAGTAGTAATCATGATGGGCTTAAAATTTGAAAGTAGACCCCATTCAAGCTGAAATAAAAATACCCTGGTAATCTCTTTTCCATATTTAGTGTTCTGGATTTGGATGCTTTTGAGAGAATAAACAAAGCAGAGGGGTTAGGAATGAGCTCAGATGCCTGCTCAGGAGAGAAAAATCTAGAGGATGCAGCAACGACATGTAAACTTTTCCGATTTCTCCAGCTGCTTTGTGAAGGTCATAATCTGGGTAAGTTTATTATAATTGTTACAGACAATCAAATGGATTAGTTATTCCATGATGTTGATTAAACTGCTATAATATGTTACAATACACATATTTCAAAATGAAATGAAGATAGACTTGCTTGACTTTTTTGGACAATATTGCCCAAAACAGTAGTTCAATTACTAAATTTATTGTTTAAAGGAAAGTCCAATAATATTTAGATCGTATCAAAATGCTTTAAAATTCTTTTTTAATTAAAGAATTCCAGAACTACCTGCGTACCCAGGCTGGTAACAACACGACTGTGAACATTGTGATCTGCACTGTGGACTATTTGTTGAGATTGCAGGAATCTATCATGGACTTCTATTGGCACTACTCCGGTAAAGACATCATTGACCCTTCAGGAAAAGGAAACTTCTGTCGCGCCATTAATGTAGCCAAACAGGTGTTCCGTACCCTCACAGAATACATACAGGTAGACAAGGAGAGCTTATCAATGATTACTCTATAAGTACTATATATGAATGGCTTTAGTTGAATATGGAAGAAAATTGTGTTTTAAAGCAGTTTCAGAGAATCAACTACAGTAATATATTGTTTTAGGGTCCTTGTTCCCTGAACCAGCTTGCCCTAGCACACAGTCGACTCTGGGATGCAGTAGGAGGGTTCCTTTATATATTTGCCCACATGCAAGATAAGCTTTCCAAGGTTGGGATCCTGCTGGATTTATCCAATTCAGTTTAACTTTGTTTGTTCAAAGAAAACAAGGATCTATGATTTAATAGCATAATCTAAAATAAAGGTGTGTTCAGTGTGGTTATGGAGTAGTGCCTGGTGTGTGGTGATGTATTTTTCTTTGATTTTGAAGGATTCAACACAGCTGGAACTGCTTAGAGAATTCATGAAACTCCAGAAAGAAATGATGATTATGCTGTTATCTATGTTAGAGGGTATGTTAATTATTAAGAACTAGCAATTAAGAGAATTGTTATCTTTTATATACATGTATTATACATTTACTCAGAAATAGTAAAAGCCATGCGTTAGTAGCACATTATATGTATTGAAAATGAATTGATGGTGTTATCTATTGTAAATAAATTGATAAAATTAGTATTTAACTTTTTCCCCACTTGGGGTAAACTTCTCTCCTTTTTCTGTGAATTCAGGATAATTTATTGTATAATAAGCCCCCTTTTTGTTTGATTAGGAAATGTGATGAATGGTCCAATAGGAAAACAGATGGTGGACACTCTTGTAGAGTCTCAGGCCAATGTGGAGGTAAAAGCTAAAGATCTGTTATCAGACACAGTCAAACCCCGTTATCTCGCACTTGATTGGACTGAAAAAATACTTCCAGATATCTGAGGGTTCGAGATTTCAAGGGTAAAATACTTAAGAAATATGTGGTGATGACTTCTGAATCATTTCGACATATCCATGGTATTCAAGATATCCGTGTTCAAGATATCGAAGATCAACTGTAGTTAATTGTTACTTTAAAAAATGTAAAGTTACAAAAAACTATTAAATCAGCATTAATCTAAGTATAATTTTCAGGTAAATTCTGTTCTTGGGTCTGTATCAGGCAGCATTTTGTTTCAAGGAATATAGTAAATATTAATTGATTGTTCTTTATTCATATCTTTTTCTTCAGATGATTTTGAAGTTCTTTGACATTTTCCTGAAAATGAAGGACCTTACATCATCAGAAGCCTTCTTGGTAATGTGTTTTGTTTACTTGGGTTTTTTCCCAGTTTCAAAGAAATCAATTCTAGAGGAACATGGTGTAAAAATATTGTCATTGTAAGAATATTGCCGGATTTTTTTTCTTCTGATTTTCATGTGATAAAAATTCTTTGAAAACTTCAAGCTATGAAAGGTCTGATTTCACATCTCCATGCTTTCTCATGTTAGATGCATCAACATGTATGTTTTCTGTAGGAAGGAGACACTTTGATGTTGTCTTAGATGTGTAATCTGAAAAAAAAAAACATAAGTATTGGTGAAATGTCCATGTACATGTATATCCTTGTGGGATCTTTAATGCAGTACTTTACATAATTTAAGCTTTGAGCTTTGTGAAAACATATTTCATGTTACATTATAGGAATTTGATGCCAATAAGGATGGCTACATTTCAGCCAAAGAATTTAAACGTGCTATGGAGGCACAGAAAATGTATTCTCGGTGTGTAAAAAATGTCCCATGTTGTGAGAACACAGATGTATTTCAGCACTCTAGACATCTTTTTATATTTGTGCATCTCCTATAAAGCAGGCTGCAAGAATATTATGAGAGAAGATAAAATATCACCACAATTAAGAATCTGAAAACAAGCCAGAAATATTCAGTTCATCTTTCAGACATACATCTTGATACCATTTTTGCAGCTTGCTCTCAATGTCATCTAGCTTTAGTGTGTGTTGTGACTTTGTTATGGAATTTTAGGAATATGATACGAATGGTGATGGTTGGATATCTGTTAAGGAGTTCCGCAGGGCTTTAGATTCAATGAAGATTTACAATGAGTATGGCAATGTGTGAAACCCCCTTGTTGAAGATTTTTGCACTCGCACTGCAAGAGTTGAAGTGCATTTTAAAATTTAACCCATAACACTTTTCATCTCTTTTTTTAATGAGTGGTTTTATTGCGATTTATGCTTTATCAAATTACTAAGCAAGACATTTCCCACATTCTGTTGATAATTGTTCAATGCATAGACTATGCTACATAAGTAATAAGATTCTTAAAATATCATTTTAATGCAATAGTTACATCAAATAATATGAAATACACATAGCTTCTGAATGAAGTACAGAGCATTCAGAAAACACCTTCAGCAACCCAATAATCAAGAATTTATACGAATTCATACTTGGGTTACCTGTTGTAGTCTGGCTTTAATATACTGATTAAAAACAAACAAACAAAACTAAATAATTAAGGTAAGAACTTTAACTGGGTCCACCTCAGAATCTCTTGTTCCTTACATTTGTTGACATCTATTGAAGTTTTTAAGAAATCATGTAATCATTAGAACGTGGTTGAATATGTAACCTATTTTAATCTTCATTGGTGGAGTTCATTGCCATAAACTATACAAATTATAGGCATATTCATAGGTTAATAATTTAAAGATTTAAATAATAGAATCTGGATTTGCAACATGATTTCCTAAACGAAATTCTGTCTTCCATATAAAACCCTGCTCATTGTCTTTTATCGTGTTTGTGGTTCATAAAACAAAAACAACTTCGTGTAGATTACATTCCTTACTGAAGGTACTACATTTTAACCACATTTAAGCATTTTTATTTACTTGCATGGGAATTGTTCTTTTTTTTTTTTTTATCATGTCTGTAAATAGTTAGCAATCTGAGGTCAGCATGTGTCCATTTATTGTTGGTTATGTAAAATATTCAGTGTTGTTGAAATAGATTTTCTTTTATTTATTAGTTACAGAGGTTTAAGTTACTTCTCCCCTTTCATTAAGATAAGACATCTGGCTTGGCTCGACACATTTGATGTGAACTTTTTGGTAGCTGAAGAATTTATAGTTCTTTTCCCTAATGCACCATAGAAATGTGGGCATGGAATTTTCTGTGTTCTTTCTTACTGATTCTTAAAACTTTACAGAAGAAGACAAGCAAAGTAAATGTGGTAAAATCTATCATCATATTTTAAAAGAATAAATAAATATCAAGATTCTGTTGTATTGTGGTCATAATACTTTAAATATATAATTATTCATTACATTTTAGTAAAACCTCAATATATCATATATGTAATTATTCCATACAGTTGATTATATATTGGTGTTGTTACAGAGAGGAGATCGAGTACATCATGATGTGTGTGGACGCTAACCAGGATGGGAAGGTGGATTTTAACGAGTTCACTGATCGATTCCACAATCCCGCCAAAGACATAGGCTTTACAATGGCTGTCCTCCTCACCAATCTGTCAGAGCACATGCCTAATGACCCCAGGTAAAGCAAACATACCTTCTGTTGTTATAAACAGTTTTTATGCAGTTTTGTTTCATACACATAAAAAAAGAAGAATGCTTATTTGTTGGACTTGCTTACATATATCTTGAGCATACTTGAAAAGTGAGTCTGTAACCATTGCTTAACCAGGAATTCTAGATTCAACTTTGATACATGTACTAGTATATTGAACTCTTGAATATCTTGATTGGGTACATTTCTACCATGTTTGAAATATACATGAGCTTAATAATGTTGGACACACATATACATGTAAGATTGTTAGGAATATGAGGAAATATACTAGTTGGATTTACGAGTGCTTGTTTTCAAAACAGCAATTTTAAGAAATTAAAAAGGTGTTTTAAAGGGGAGGGGTAATATTATTAAAATCTCAATGTAATAGAATTTTTGGTTGCAGAAAGGTTGTATGATAAAGTTTTACATTTGTTAACAGATTGGAGCGGTTCCTAGAGAAGGCCCGCTCTGTGCTAGACTATTTTGGTCCCTATCTGGGCAGGATAGAGATCATGGGCAGTGCTAACAAGATCGAGAGAGTATACTTTGAAATCAAACAATCTCACATTGACCAATGGGAGAAACCACAGATCAAGGTTAAGCCTTAGCAATGTTGTAATGATATTGATGTCACTCTGGGCAATTTATTTATGCTCTGCGTGTTTAATAATACTATGTGTATGATTTAATGTAGGAGTCCAAGAGATCATTCCTGCACAGTGTGGTCAATGAGGGAGGTGACAAAGAGAAACTAGAGAGCTTTGTCAATTTCTGTGAAGACACTATATTTGAGGTAATTTAGATTCATCCATCTTTGATGTGTGAATATACTTCATGATATTTCCCATAGTGTGTGTTATTGATGTATTCTGGAAGTTTGAAACATTATTATACACTTGCGATGTTGCTAAGTTTTAAATTAACAATATGGGCATTGTGACATTTAGATGCAGCATGCCACCAGTATTAGTGCTGAGGAACAGAGGATGGCAGCACTGAGGAGTGGCATGGGACTGCAAGAGGAGAGTGGAGGAGGGTAGGTCGTCATCATCATCATCTCTGTTTTCATTATCATCAGTTTTTTCTTCTGTCACATAAATTATGTTCTGTCAGTACACATCATGCAGATGACAAAAAGTAAAGTTCTGCAACAGATACAAACATACAGGAATTATCTATGAACCTTTGTCATTAATAGAGTGCTGGAGCCACTGAAGATGACGTACCGCTTCCTGTATAATGCTGTGGCCACATTCCTGTCATTTTTCACGTGGACAAACCTGAAAACGACTTACCAGGCATTCAAGAGGATGACCTGGCCCCAGGTGATCTGGACACTGGTCAAACTCTGTGTCAAACTGGCCTTCACACTCCTAACTTTCGTGTTTCATGTGTTCTGGTAAGTTATGGATCATAGCTTAACTAGACCTTAGCTAGACCTGTTGTTTGAATTTAATCAACTTGTCTAATAAGTTAAGTTGCTTATTTATGTGATATGTACAGTACAAGTACATGCACTCTTTACATTCATCTATTTCACTATCTTTTGAGATTACATCATCTCTTTCTTATTATTTTAAAAGGACATTGTTGAAATTTGTGGTGAACATGATGAAGGGTGAGCAAGATAAAGAAACCATAGAACAGCCAGAAATCCTAGCTCTTCCAGCACCCTCCCTTCCCGAAGAACAGAAGACGGAGCCTATATTGAATGGGGTTCCAGGTGTTCCCACAGAAGAAGGGCTGTAAGTAGATAAACAGATGTACATTTAGCTTATCCAAGATTTTGTATAAGATTTAGGTGCTTAAGAACCCTCTCTACACTGCACACTAAAGAGTTCTGATTCTGTGGTATTTTTCTGTAGTTAGAGTGATCTGCCCCTAGATCTGAATTCAAATAAATTGAAATCTTCAGTGTATTACTCAATCTGTGATCAATTCAAGCATTCTGAACATTTTAAAAGGCTAAGATAAATTAACTGGACACTTCCTTTGCATATATTTTATCCACTGAAGTAAACAACAGTGATTTCTGTTCATTGAAACTTTGCTGTCTTTGAACATTTTTCCTGGGGGTAAATGTCACGTACCGTATATTGAAAATTCAATAGATAAGCTTAACATTTACACATGTATACAGTATAATTTTCTCAGTGTCCAAAAAACATTTTGCACTGGTGTATAGAGGGTCTTTAAAGAGACTGTAAAATCACTTATTTTCGAGGGGGTCAAATTTTCATGGTTTGAGAAAAAATAACTGGTTTGAGGGGATTTTATTTCATATGGTGAAAGGAGAAACATCACATGGCAGTATGAAAATTTACATTTTGTGGGGATATGAATTTATGGGAACTCTTCATACTACGAAAACAATGAAAATGAAATGCCTACAAAAATTAGTGATTTCACAGTATGGTGAATGAAATGCATGGTACTTTTTATAGCACCACCCCCACTGCTGTCCAACAAGAGACTGGGGCAGAGAGTCCAGAACCCAGTACATCTACAGAACCACCCACAGAGGTCACTACACAGGTCAGCTGTTTTTATGGGCAGAATTTTAATTACTGTTTTATCTTTGATATAAAAATTGTATCCTCTTTTTATCCAAGATAAACTATGGAGGTATACCTTACTATAGCAAGAGGGGCATTAAAATAGTTACATGTACATGTTTATTGTTGAATTCTTTCTGTAGGATACCACCTCCCCACCAGCACCACCCATCCCTCCTCCCAGGACCTCTGCAGATAGGTATTTACTTGTACTTTTAAGTTCATTAAAAAAAACAGTTACTGAAAGTAAAATTCATCTTTGGAAGGTATACCTAAACTGTATCTATAAATTATAATTAAGTAAGGCTTTTAAAGCTATTAACAAATATATTAAGACTTATTAAGGGACAATTTGGATCCTTATGAAATCAATATCTTTGTTTCAGTAAATCCAAATCATCCGAGGAAGATGTTCCATATGAGACTAAGGGATTTGATTATGGAAAATATGTTCTTGTGAGTTATGTTTATTTATAGATTCTGAAGCATTTAATGTTATAACTTTAGGTAACATTAATTTTTATGTCTAGAACTTTTTTGTCTCCCTTCTACAGGAGATATTTAGACTTGGTTATCTGTTGCCTGTTCAACATTATTATATAACTTTAGTATTAACCCTTGCTTGACATGAAGATTAAGTTTCTAGATATATGATTTTCTTTTCTTTTCAGTATTTAAGGGTATTAGGACAGAAGTTATTTTCTATAGGGGTAATAAACAATAAAGATTGACTTCGAAACATGAAATTACTCTGCCAAAGTTTCCTTCACTGAAGTGTTCCTCTTTTCACTAATCCTTTTTTTGCTGATGAGATTCAGTATTCGTACACTGCACACATAACCACTGGGTCAATACAATTATATTTTTATACCCCCCGCAAACGAAGTTTAGGGGGGGTATATTGGAATCACCATGTCCGTCTGTCTGTCCGTCTGTCTGTAGACAAGATTTTGTCCTGAGCGTTTCTCGGAAACTATTGCATAGATTTGTCTGAAAATTTGTACACTTATTATTCACCATATGAAGGTTTGCACCTGGTATTTTCATCATGATTGAATAATTTTTCTGCATTTTACAGGTGTTTTTTTCATTTTTATTATGTGGTTTTGTCCTGACCTTTACTCAAAGACTATTTCATAGAATTGTATGAAAATTTGTACACTGATTATTTACCATATGAAGATATGCACCTGGTATTTTCAACATTATTTGATCATTTTTCTGCATTTACAGGGTTTTTTTTTCATTTTTATTGACTTAGTCATTTTGGGTTTATTTCTAAGGTTTGAGACACAGAATCTAGAACATCTGTACAAAAATGTGAACTACAGCTTAAAACTATTCATTAAAACAAAAAAAAATCACCAAGTATTAAAAACAATTTTTACATTACATAGCAGATAGTGTAAATCCATTTGTCCCTTGGGACTAATGAGTGGACATCATCCAGTTAGAGATAAATTAATGAGTTCAGTGTGGGAAGTTGTTAGGGCATCTCTGATCAAGCATGTGTTATCTTAATATCTCCTGGGAATTTAAAGATCTCTGTTCTTTAATTCCCTTAATTGTAATTTATTGTCTGTCATAGTACATAGTTACTGGATGACCAGCCTTTCATTTTTAAAATGAATTTGATATAAAGTTATCAAGATTAATTTGATTTTGTAATTAATTGATTTTTTTTTTCAACAATCAATGCAGAATGTCATGCTTCAGAAAGATGACAGATAGTTGCAATTTATTTTTTCAATGTATTAAAAAACAATGTAACTACAATGTATTGGTATTGATGTTTTATTAGGTTGTTCCTTGGTTTCATTCATTAAAAAAAATATAATGAGCGATTATTTTTTCACTCTAAATGTTTATAAGAAAACACCTCTTAGATCCATAAAATACACATGTATTAGTGATTTGGCACCTCTGAAAAACCCAGCGGGGGGTATTTGTCCCTTTTGGACAGTTCTAGTTTGATTAAGAGGGAAGGTTTGAGGATTTTAGGTGAAAATGTTATCTTTGGTAAATAAATGTATGTGTAAGAGTTTGTTAAAAATATGATAAATATTTGTGATATAATAAGTTGAGAATTAGCTACATGATGAATTGCAGAAGATTGGAAAAATAAATTTTGACTTGTTTTGTTCAGTTTTATGCATGATTGAATGCCCTTTTCTTGCATTATCTCTTTGGAGTTCTGTATGAGCTTGATAGACACCTTACAATGTTAAAACACATATGTCGAGGAAATGGCATGAAAAATGTACAAAAGATACCCTCTCTTTAGATCTACTGTATACAAAAATGCATGATCTTCAAGGTTTTTGAAGATTTATTCCCCAGAATTTATGCACACTACTAAAAAACTGAACATATAAAAAACTAGATTCTTTAGCAGCACAATAACTCTCTGCACAGTATGCAGGATAATAGTACCCGTACACAATATAGCTCGGTGTGTGTGTGTGCATTTTCTTACATAATTAATGTATACAGAGATTTAATTTTATCTAAAAAAATTAACAGCATAAAGAAAATATATATGTGTTGTGTTTCTAAAAGTAAAGCTCTTACTTGGAACACAGTATACTAGCAATTTATAATTTTATATTATGTAGAAAATTTATGTTTTTTTCTAACATTTATAAACTAGTTTGTATAGATTGTGCAGTCTACACCTGTTGAGTTGTTAACTTTCTAACATGTACCATGGTTTTTCTATAGCTAGTGTCAGTAATATTAAGGTACAAATTATTTTTATTACATGGATTTATAGCTAAATTCTATTTTGTATTGCAGAGTCTGTTTGCCCGTAATTTCTACAACTTTAAGTATGTTGCCCTGTTCCTTGCCTTTATTATCAACTTCCTGCTGCTCTTCTACAAGGTGAGGGCTACATACATATGACAGGGATTGCATGTACAGATTCAATCTACAATCTTCAAGTGAAAGGTTATCTGATTAGTCTCTTCTTGCACAATATTGTCTTAAGAGCCCATGCTGTAAATGCTTGGATGAATTTTAAAAGTTTTTTTTTTTTTTACCATGCAGTCCTTTTATCAAAGGGATAATATTTTTTTAAAATTGTTTGTGCAAGAAAGAAGGAAAGGAAATTTCTTACAATTGATACTACATGTATATATTATGATATCCTCATGTGCATATTTCTTAATCAATTCAAAGGCATTATTGCTGACTTTTCAATTAAAAGGTTAACAAGGTGCCCCATGAACAAGAAGTGTCAGATGGGAACCAGACAGAAGAAGAGGAGTTTGACGAGGTGGTTACAATGCAGGGAGAAACCTACATGCAGATTGTTGCCCGACTTCTGGCCGTGGTCCATTCTCTGGTTTCATTTTCAATGCTGATTGCCTACTACTGCCTCAAAGTGCCTCTAGTCATATTCAAGAGAGAGAAGGAGATTGCCAGAAAGTTGGAGTTTGAAGGATTATGGGTAGCTGAACAACCAGGAGAAGATGACCTCAAAGGTCACTGGGATAAACTGGTTCTCAACACACAATCCTTCCCAGATAGTTACTGGGACAAGTTTGTTAAAAAGAAAGTGAGTAAATGTAAAGGTTACTGAGCAGATTTGGAATGTTTCTGTGGAATGTTATTATATGCGAGAGCAACTTATATTCAGACATGAAAAGAAATGGATTGCATTTTCTTAGAGAAAAATCAAAATGCTGTAACTCATTAATTGCTAACATGATTAAAAACGTTTTTCACAAATCCTTGTTTCTTAAGAAAGAAAAATTTTGACTTCTAAATGGTGAAAAATTGTATTCCAAAAATTAAGAATCTCTATATCCATTGAATGAATTGACAGGGAAATGATAAAATCATTAAAACATCTAATGTAACGTTTTTTAAGGTACGTGCCAGGTATGCTGAGCAGTATGACTATGAAGCTATTAGTAACTTACTGGGAATGGACAAAGAAGATTCAATCAAAATTGAAGAAACAAAATCTTCAGGATTCTTCCCAAGTTTGTAAGTAAAATAATATTATCCTGGAAATTTAGATTTAAAAATATGCTAAATACAATGTGTGAAACGACTTACTTCAGCTTGATTGATCCCTGCCACAGAAATATTTTATATAATTTTATGGTCTAAAATTTTCATGCTTCTTTATTTTAATGGTGTTATACCCAAACTACATGTAGGTAGATGTACATGTATGTAAATTGTGTACTCTTATAAGTGATTAAAGTTCAAGTAAAATGTATATTTCAACTCCCTGGATGGGTACATTTTAAATTTTTCATGTGAGCATGCATGTTCCTTGAATTTTTTATTCTCCGAAAATTATTCTTGAGTTGCCATACAGCTTCTCGTCTTATAAATGATGATTTTGTAATTCTTCCTTCTAGCTTGTTCAATGTTGACTGGCAGTATCAGATTTGGAAATGGGGTGTCATTTTCACTGACAATGTAAGTAGATTTAGTTATCACATATTGTAGGTACATTTCATACTTTATGTAAAGTGAGAAAGGAAAAGATCACAGTGTATTTCTTTGCATTGTCAAACTTTTTTTTCCAGTCTTTCCTCTATATCGCATGGTACTTCATCTTTTCTGCCATGGGAAATTTCAATTACTTTTTCTTTGCTGCTCATTTGTTGGATGTTGCCATTGGTTTCAAGACACTAAGAACAATTTTACAGTCTGTAACACACAATGGAAAACAGGTACATATACACGTGATTTTATAATTTCACAATATGACTTCTAAAATCAGAAATCAGTTGCTTCACTGAACTTGTAAACATTGACCATTTTCTTGACAATTAGTGCTGACTGTGACCTACTGTAAATATTGACCATTTTTATCTTAACAGCTGGTGCTGACAGTGATGTTGACCAGTGTGGTTGTCTATATCTACACTGTTATAGCCTTCAACTTTTTCCGCAAGTTCTATGTCAAAGAAGAGGATGGCTCTGTTGACTATAAGTGTCATGACATGCTCACTGTATGTATCAAATTATTGGATTACTCTACATTGTATTCTTAATGGAGATAGCAAGAAAATATCTTGTCTGCATTTAATTTATATTTGATCATCTCCCAGTTGCTTTGGACAATCTTTTTTGTCTCCTTTCTGTTAATTAAAGCATGTCTTGCTTGTTTCAGTGTTTTGTGTATCACTTACACACTGGAGTTCGAGCAGGAGGAGGAATTGGTATGCTATCAAAATTTATTGATTCAGACACAAATCAAATATTTTATATATCTCACATTGATACATTGACATATCACTGAGGTTGTTCTGCCTTTATACAGGTGACGAGATAGAGCCTGCAGATGGCGATCCATTTGAAGTGTACAGAATTCTCTTTGACATCACCTTCTTCTTCTTTGTCATTGTCATTCTTCTAGCCATCATTCAGGGTAAGGACCACCAGTTTAGACCATCAGCTCAGCAGAATGTACATTTGAAAATGAGTTGCATTGTTTGGTTATACTCCACTACGGTTTAATAATCGATGTATATTTTTACTACACCCAAGGTTTAATTATTAGGGTCCCTCTCTGTGGGCATCCTATAGTGATCAGTTCCATCCTTCTGTCCATCAATCCTTCCGTCCATCTGTCCGTCAGAGATTTCTTGTCCGAAGCATATCTTCTCTCTCCTTGGCCCAATCTGGCTCATGCACATGTACTTCACCCTTAGAGTGTCTTTGGGTAAAGGGTGTGCAGTGACCTTGAACCAGTTTCTAGGTCTAAGGTTAAGGTCATAGCAGAATTATACTGTGGTTTCATTAATATTCGTGGGTATCAATTTTCGTGGATTAAGTAAAAATCAGTTTCGAGGATACGTAAATTCGTGGATAATGGTGCTAACAGAAAAAAAAAATGCCATCTTATCATTATTTCTCTCGCTGTAAGCTTTAGCGGGAACCTTCATGCCATTTACAATGTTAAGAGTACGTAAATATTTAAAAAGAATTACTAACAGGTGAAAACTCTTTAATTTACTATTTATATTTTACTCATCTGTAATTTTATAATTCAGAACCTTCAAGCGTTTACAACGCAGTATACATGGTATAACAAAAAAGGATGAGGCATTCCAAATACCGTCTCCACTGTAACAATATGAGCCCGATGGGTCAATTAAATATCAAATATTGAAACAGATTATTAAAAACAATTAATTAGACTTTTATTCCATCAACGTTTGGGGAAAAAAGATGTGCAAGTATCTCAAAATATTAAGAAAATTTGAATTTTATCTTTTAGGCACACATGTCTGCCAACAGACGATACTTAAATGTGGCAACAGGATATTAAAAGTAACAAAAATTCGATTTACAAAATAGTATTTGATACTTATTTTCATGTGCACAGCATGTGTTTTTGGACTTGACAGAGACATCCAGACCCCCTTGTTTGTAGATCGCCGAACAAACACATCCTGACTCTGCAAAATGGTCAACAAACAATTAAGCCGTGAAGGGCTTCGAAATGGCAGTACTTTTGCAACATATATACCCGTTATCTCATGTTTAACAAAAAATATGTTTCAAACCAACCAGATAAAATCAAATTAGCATTTAATTGTGTTGATAATTTGTATGAATTTAGCTTGTTTTGAACAGAGAGTAATTAATTATTTCTACCGGAATATTTTTCATGTATTTAACAATAATTTGTCGTTTTCATTGTGCAGGTGATAATGGGGTTCGGCCGTTAGATTGTTTGAGAATAACAATTAAATTTAACACATTTACGCCTGATTATTATCCTTTGGTAGTACAACTGATTGGTATCCACCGTGTTGACAGATCTACGTGTTGTTTGTTTATCTCCGTGCAAAATATTAACACATTTTTGCTCAAAAAGTCCAGATCATTATTTAATAGTATTTTTCTTCTTTTTTTTTTTAAATATTCTTATTCTGATAAAATATGTTGATAAAAGTCAACATGTTTGGGAAAAGGGAAGGGGGGTATTTGCATATATTAACGAAAGTCGGAATTTAATGGGCTTTTTAAAGGTTTATCTTAAATCAAAATGGAGGCACCAAACTTCGATGAACATTTGATTTCGTGGATCGACTCAACAACGAAATCCACGAAAATTGGGTGTTCCACGAATAATGATAAAACCACAGTATGAAAAATCCTTGTTTGGAGTATATCTTCTCTCCCCTTGGTCCAATGTGGCTCGTACCTCACTCACAGAGTGCCACTGGTCAATGGATGTGCAGTGACCTTGATCAAAGTTTCTGGGTCAAGGGTCAAGGTAAAAAATAGACTACCTTACATTTTTAGCTCTTCTGAGCCAAAGGCTCAAAGAGCTAATGCTATGGCCATTTGTGCGGTGTGCGTAAACTTTTTAGAATATGGGCCATAACTCAAGAACCCCTTGGCCAATTATTGTCAAATTTGTCACAGGGTATCCTTGGCCCAAGGGCTCCCTTTTATACTAAAACTGGGGTTATGACCCTTTAACAAGGGGAGATAATTAGGAAAATAGAAACAAAAGTACTGGTTGCTAAAAAATCTTCTTCTCTAGAGACACTGGGCAGATTATCACCAAACTTACATAAAAGGATGAGGATATGTTGTAGATTAAAAGAGCTAGGTTCACTTTATGCATAAAATGGCCCTGTCCTTATATCAATTAATTGACTATCACCCTCTGTCCCATTTCATATATCAAAATAAAGTAGAAACTTAGTGCTTTCATTTCCTACAAAAAATTTCTTTTTGAGAAACCAGGTATTGGAAAACAGGCTTTGAGAAAATGCAATGTTCTTGAATTTTGTAGAAAACATGCGTATTTGACTACCTTCAACAAAGAATTAAAATATGAGCACAGCCCACGATCCAAAAATTAAAACATGTTTTGTGATCTTCAGACACAGATCTTTCATTATGTAATTGCATATTTTGGATCAGAGGTTGTGCTCTATATGAAATATTGAAAAAATGCCTCAACTTCTGGCCATTTTTAAGGGAATTTTCAGGATATGGGAAAAATGACGCATTTTATGACGTCATAATGCATTGACTAGAGAGAAAATTACGTCATGTTCAATGGATACACGGTCACCAAGGGTCCAAGTTATAAATACTGCATTTTCAACCAAAACTGAGCAGTTTCGATTTTTCAGAAATTCTCAGGGCCAAAAAAGGCCCTAAGTGGCTCTTGCTCTTTGCACGGGGATTTACCCTGGGGCAAAGGGCGTGGTCTCAAGGTCACTTCAAAGTTGACCAAAAATTACATTTTATTAAAATGTTGATATTTTGCTTACTATAAGGACTAGGATCATCAAATCTTGTCAGTTGGTGCATCTAAGGACCTCATATCATGTTGACTCAAAAGTAGGTCACGGTGACCTACTTTTTAAATTTTGCGGCCATTCTTTTTCAAAATGATTTAGAGGCATATTTTGAACAATTTAAGGCCTATGATCATCAAACTTTGTCAGTTGATGCATCTTGGGTCCTCAAAGTACGTCAACTAAAAAGTAGGTCACCTTGACCTACTTTTTGAATTTTATGGCTAATCTTTTTTAAAACAATTAAGGTCATTAATTCGAATACGGGGAGGCTTAGAATCATTAAATCTTGTAAGATGATGCATCTTGGGGCCATAAAACATATTTATTAAAAAGTAGGTCACAGTGACCTACTTTTTGAACTTTGCAGGCATTCGATTTCAAAGCGTTTTAGAGGCATAATTTGGACATTTTAAGTCCTATGTTCATAAAACTTTGTAAGTTGATGCATCTTGGGTCCTCAAAAAAGGTCAACTGAAAAGTAGGTCACTGTGACCTACTTTTGAAAATTTATGGCTTTAATCAAATATTTTGGGTACTAATTGGCCTAGAATCATTAAACTTTGTCAGTTGATGCGTCTTGGGTCCTCGGAGTACAACAACTGAAAAGTAGGTCACGGTGACCTACTTTTGAAATTTTATGGCTGTATTTAATATTTTCAGGAATTATTTGGCTTAGAATCGTCAAAATTTGTCAGTTGATGCATCTTTGGTCCTCGGAGTAGGTTGACTGAAAAGTAGGTCACCGTGACCTACTTTTGAAAATTTATGTCAGTAATTAAATATTTTGGGTACTTATTGGCTAGAATCATCAAACTTTGTCAGTCGATGTATCTTGGGTCCTTGGAGTAAAACAATTGAAAAGTAGGTCACTTTGACCTACTTATAAAATTTTATGGTTATAATTTTAAAAAATATTTTAGGTATTAATTGGCTTAGAATCATCAAACTTAGTTGATGGGTCCTCAGAGAATGACAAGTGATAAGTAGGTCACCATGACCAACTCTCAGGTACTAATTGGCTTAGAATCATCTTGGGTTCTCAGAGTGTGAATTGGAATTTCAAGGGTTTATCTAAATATACAGGATACTTTGAGGCTTCAAATAGAAGTGATAGGTTGTACAGTTTATCAGAAGAGCGATTCAAGGCCCATGGGCCTCTTGTTCATGTTCGTTGCTGAAAGCCCTTTGAGATGGCCACCATCTCAATGATATCTAATTGATGTATACTTTTACTACAGGTTTAATTATTGATGTATACTTTTACTACAGGTTTAATTATTGATGTATACTTTTACTACAGGTTTAATTATTGATGCCTTTGGAGAACTGAGAGATCAACTTGAACAAGTGAAAGAAGATATGGAGGTAAGACCATCTACAAAACAATATTTATATGTTGTGAGGGACGTCTGGCATTTTGTTCAAGATAAAACATTTTCCACATTTACAGGAGCCTTCTGGCATTTTGTACAACAAAAAAATTATTTTTCAGTCAAAATGTTTCATCTGTGGAATAGGAAAAGAATATTTTGATAAAGTCCCTCATGGTTTTGAAACCCATGTCATGAAAGAACATAATTTTGCCAATTACATGTAAGTAAAATTTCTCTGGTCAGTATTCCAGATTTTATTTACTTCTATTTTCTCAAATTCCTACTGATTCCTTTGCTAGTAGTTAATAAGTTAATATGAAACAACATCTTCAATGACAATGATAGCATTATGAATGTGAACAAAATCAACTTTTTAGTACAAGTAGATCTAGGTACAGTGTATATGCATTTTTGAAGTTCCATGTAATAAATGTATGTATTTTGTAATTACCAATATTTATGTTTGATATTTCTGTGTTAGGTTTTTCTTGATGCACCTGATTAACAAGCCTGACACTGAGTACACAGGCCAGGAATCGTACGTGTGGGAGCTGTATCAGCAGCGATCGTGGGACTTCTTCCCAGTCGGGGACTGTTTCAGAAAACAATACGAAGACGAGGGGGACAAGAGCTGAACAGCTCTCTCCTCTCGCTGACTCACAATTGACAAGACTTCAGATGCAAATCCCTGATCTTGCTTCTTTGATATCAATCTTGGGATGTACACACATGGAGATACAATATTTTGTGATCTTTTTTTTTTTGTATTCTGCACCTTTTTTTCTTTGTTTTCTGAAGTTTGCTATGAACTAGAAACAAAGCATCTGAATGTTTTTTAATTACTAAGTTCTGTTTAGGGGTACCCTAAAGCAGAAGTTAAATAATGAATAGAGTGAAAGAGATTCTGTATTAACATTATACTGATCAGCAATTGAATGCTGTGTATGTGTGTGTTGAAAAGACTGACAAACAAGAGAAAAAAGAGTGAATGTTGTCTTGGCTTTTTGTCACAGGAGGTACTTGAAGTTTGATGAAGAATTGAAAATACCCTTTGATATTTTTGTCTCATTGATTTTAAAATTTTAAAGCTTCTGACAATCTTCGTGTTGAATTGTATTAACCCGTTTGTGAGTTTATTGTGATGGAGTGCAATATTTTCCTCTGAATTCTTTTGAATTTCTGTAGTTTTTTGTCATTCATCTATTTACATGAGTATATCTACCATGATTTGTTTTCATGTGCAATATTTTATGCCCTAAAAAAGGTTTGTTATTTATTAGAAATTATGGTTTTTAACACCCACTTTTTATTTATCTATTTAATAATAAAGAACAGATAAGGAGTCGTTTTATTGTTTTCTTTTTATGTGACCATCCATTGACAGACATATTATAGTTTAGGCTTTCCATCCATCCTTCTTTCCATCTCTCCGATAGCTTTCACTGAAGGTGGGGGATATTAATTTGGGTCTCGCCGTCCATCTATCTGTCTGTCTGTATGTAATACTTTTGTTTATGAATGATACCTGGAAAAGCCTTTGAGGTTTTGCAATGAAATTTTATATCACTACTCCCTATGGCCTAAAGAAGACCCCTATTGATTTTAAGGTCAAAAGGTCAAGGTAAGAAATTCATACATTCTGTCTGTGTGGAACACTTGTTTCCAGATGATATTTCGGAATGTTTTTGCAATGAAAAAATTTATATCTCGACTCCCTATGGCATAAAGAGATTAATTTTAAGCTCATAGATCAAGGCCACAAATTTAAACATTGCAAATGTTATCTTGTTTTCTGTGAGCTTCTTCTTTTAATGAAATTTAATATCACAACTCCCTATGGTCTAAAAATGACCCCTTTTGATTTTGAGGTGAAAGGTCAAGATCAGAAATTCATATACTCCGTCTGTGTAACATAGCTTTCTCTGATAGCTTTCACTGAAGGTGGGGGATATTAATTTGGGTCTGTCTGTGTGTAATACTTTTTTTTCTGAATGATATCTGGAAAAACCTTTGAAATTTTATATCAAAACTCCCTATGGCCTAAAGAAGACCCCTATTGATTTTTAGGTCAAAAGGTCAAGGTAAGAAATTCATACATTCTGTCTGTGTGGAACACTTTTTTCCAGATGATATCTCAAAGAGCGTTTGCAATGAAATTTTATATCTCAACTTCCTATGGCCTAAAGATTAAATTTAAGGTCTGAGATCAAGGCCACAAATTTAAACATTGCAAATGTTATCAGTTTTCTTTTGAGCTTTTTTTTTTAATGAAATTTGTTATCAAAACTTCCTATGGCCTAAAAATGACCCCTTTTGATTTTGAGGTGAAAGGTCAAGGTCAAAAATTCATATATTCTGTCTGTGTAACACTCATTTCTGGACTATACACTTATCTTAAAAACCCTTTGAGATTTTGCAGTGAAATTTTATATCACAACTTCCTTGAAAAGACCCATATTGATTTTGAGGTCAAAATGTCAAGGTCCAAAATAAAGATATTGCAAAATATGGTTTCCTGATAACTTTAATTCTCTGAGAGATTTTTCAATAAAGTAATATATCATAGCTCCTAACAACTTAAAAAGCACCCCTATTTTTAGGTCAAAGGTCAAGGTTGGAAATTCATACAATGCAAAAAAAAAAAAAGGTTTCTGTATAACTATAGTTTTCCTTGTTTTTATTTCTATGAAATTTTATATCAAAACTCCAAATGATTTAAAGAAGACCCATTTTGCTTCTTCTTTTTTTTTTTAGGTCAAAAGGTCAAGGTGAAAAATCATATCTTGCAGTAAATGGTTTTCTTATGATTACTCCAGTTTTCTTTCAGGTTTTGAAATGATATTTCATGCAGTTTGTCAATATGACCAATTGATTTTTGAGGTCAAAAGGTCAAAGACCAAGATCTGGAATTAAATTAATATACAGTTTTCAGATGATAACTTTAGTTCTGTGTAAGCTTTTGCAATGAAACTTAAGGTCAAGAATTTCTTTAACTTAATTGACTAAAAAAGACCCCTACCAACTTTAAGGCCAAAAGTTGAAGGGTCAAGGTTGACCTTTTTTTTCTACATCTGCATATTTTTTTTCTGTCAGTTCTTTCACCCTGCTGTTTTTTTTTTCCCTTAAGTGGGCGTACACAAGTTCTCTGAATTAGCTTGTATTAAGAACAGACCTTGTCATTTAATGTAACATAAGAGAAGGTGTGTTTCAACCCAAAAGTAAACCACCTTAACCTCATTGTGGAATTTTATGACTATAAATCCAGCATCTAAAGGATAATTAACTATAGCAAAATTCTATACTCCCTCGTAGGTTTTGAAGTTTTTAGGTAATGTTAAGCGTAAAATTTAGGGATGTCAACGAATATTCAAATATTCATTCAATGAGTTAATATTCCAATATGAGATTCGAATATTCGGTGTTTTTCAGATTTCACAAAAAGGTAATAAATTTTAACAGTGCTGGAATTATCCCCGTTTTATTTACTAGCGATCCCCTGATTCCTTTCGCTACTTTGTTATATAATAGATCTTCCAAATTATTTCATTTTGAGTAAGGTATAAAAGAAATAAACAAGAACTATTAATGTAAAATACAAAAAGTTCTTTAAAGTAGTTTAATATGATCTGATCTAGAATCGAGGACAACGAAATGAAACCTTTCTTGAATGTCTAAGAGATGTGAAGGGTGTACTTATGAAAATAAATTTTATTGATCATTGAATTACATCTTTGATAGAATCGGCCTTTAATATTGTAAAGGGCTCAATTTCAGAATAATGCATCAATTACTTGATTATCTCGGATTAAATATTAATTTTAAAATTTTAAAATCATTATCGGGATATTAATGACCTAGGAAAATTGTCTATGGAAGTGTTTGTTTATATTATCAAAACATTGAATCAAAAATTATATTATATCTTTTATCAAGCAGATAACTGTAATTAATTATTTGCTTTTAAATATGAAGAGTAAACGACAATCTTGCCCCTGGTTAAACAACTGGTTCATCACTTTGAGCTTGTATAGATATCATTTGTTAAATTTATATTTCTGTTGAATACGCTTAAATCAATTATTCATTCTAAACATTGACAAATATCAAATGTAGAATTCCTTATTGTACACCTACAAAAGTCTATGTCCAATTTTACTTCAAAATACCGATGCAAAACCTGCCATAGTATAATGAAGTACATTTGAAATAAACCAAATTTTATTTACTTTACCGAATATTCGAATATATTCGAATACTTTCATTGAATATTCGAATATGAATTATTCACAAAATTGACATCCCTAGTAAAATTCCATCCTAAATAGGAGAACTAAGTGAAAGACCTTGCTATTTTCTACAAGCAACTGAAGCAAGGTCTTTGACTAAGTTTTGAGACCTTATAAGAGGTCTTGTATACATTAACATATTCATTTGTCAGGGAGGTCAACCTCTATATTGCGAAAAATTTCAACTCATTACTGCTGCATTTTCTCAAATTTTCGGGCGATCATTACCACTTCATTTTATCAAAAGGACTAATGCCGAAAACAACTATTTCCGCTACTTACCGAATAAGCCAGCAATGGCACGAGATATGAGTTCCATTCCATATAATTCACTCACCGTGTAGTGAAGTACAATTTGGATCTGAATTCTAATCAAAATGAGTATATATTAGTCTGTAGTCGAAATGTAATTATTTAGCGTCAGATGAATGTCATGGCTACTATTAAGAAGTTTGTGACAAATCGTGGCAATGCAGGATTAGTTATCAATGGATATAATTTTTTTTTATAAATAAGACTTTTAAACACTCCAAATTGTCTAAAGAATGTGTAAAGACTGTGGGTTTTATCTATGGACAGTGCTTGATTTTAAACTTTTTAAAATGTTTTATGAAATAAAGTAGTTTTTAAATAGGGGAAAAAGGTCTTATGCATGCATATGTTGTACTGTGTACATGCATAAGACGCTGGCTAACGAAAGAGATGATGTAGCAGTAATGTATACTTTTAAATGTAGCGGTAATGTATCCTTTTTTGTAGCGGTAATGAGCATGTAATGAAAATTTTGAAAATGTAGAGGTAATGCTATGCACCCATTTGTCAGATAGAGAAATGTGAGTCAGGTAACCATTGTGAAAGGTTGGTATCTTATAATAATTCCTAGATTCACAGATTTATTACACTTTGTGGGCAAACGCCATGTTCCTATTTTCCTTGCGCCACAGAAAAAAAGCAGTTTTTTTTTTACTGCACTGCACTTCACATAGAAATCCTCTGCAAATTTTAAATTGATATATTCATTTATCTTGCAGATATGGTGTGCTAGCTATCGGGAAATGTAATGTGTAAAAACTGCAGGCTTAGAGATGCACCCTCAAATTATAAAGGTAAAGTAAAATATTTTTTATATTCTTTTTTGGTCATCTTATGACATTATAATGATTTCTAAATTAACTAACATTTTGTTTCACAACATCTTTAAAAATCAAATTACAAAGTATTTTTCATTGTATTTCAGATAAAATAATAATCATAAGTCCACTTTCACTTTCCAAAATCTACCCAACTTCTTCAATAATGGACTGATTTCTTATGACATCAAAATTGCTAGTGTAAATTGTAGGTCTGAGATTCCAAGGGTTTTTCCGGTACACTCCAAGCAAAGTGAACACATCTGGTTTGTAATGAAGCTGACATTTGATTCCCAGGCTTCTTATAGTTCTTTCACTTTCATATACTTGGTCTTTGTCAAGAAAATCATCATTATAGATACACACCACATGTTCATTAGCATCGGGACCCTCTTTACCCATTTCAGAAGCACTGATTTTGGCCTGCTTAGCCAGAGTATTTCCACTTACGATACCTTTGGCAACTAAGGACCATAAGTAATCTCCCTTTCCTCCAGTTGACACCCAGAACATCCACTTACCAGCAGTTACTCTAAAATTGTTTGCTAGTTCAAAAATTTTGTCTTTACAAATCTCTCTTTCTGATGCTTCTAGGTTTTCCCATGCCTCTTGTAATCCTAAAACATCAATTTCATCCGAGTCATTTCTGTTTCTTCTATCCTCTGAACGGATAACATGAATCCATCCATATCCATCATCTCTGGAAAAATTTAGTAAACTGGATGATAGAAAAACCCAAATCCAAGATTTTCTGACATTATCAAATGCACAGGACCAAAATTTACTTGCCTCAATCTAATTAAAATTGGATGTTCCGAATCTGCTACCGAGAAGCGGTAGCGGATTCGGAACATCTAATTTTAATTAGATTGTACTTGCCTATGTTATAAACTTTCTAACAAAAAAGAATAATTATTTTTAAGAGCTTATAAATGCCAATAGTGGTTTTGCATAATTTGATCTTGGTAGTTTTGTGTACTTTGGTATGTGTATTTAAGGAATCACTGTCTAGTTAGTAGAGTATGCCAGGGCATCAATGATAGTTGGAAACGTGGGATAATTTGCATAACGGGCAAAGCCCGTTATGCATAAATTATCCCATGTTTCCAACTATCAATTGATGTCCCTGGCATACTCTACTAACTAGACAGTGATTCCTTATATTTCCATTTCATTTTGAAATAAAATTGTAAATTTAGATTTTAAAAATGTAGACTAATAGATTTAAATTACATGAGGCCTCACATGTCAATTTCAATAGTCCCTGCCCACTGACGTCAAACACAAAGACAGCCGCACGAGAATTACATGCATACTAGGCCTCCTTAGAGTCAGACACAACGACAGCCGCACGAGATTTACATGCATATTATTCCTTCTTAGCTACTGACCTTTCGCTTGGCAAAATTTGCATTCCGTTAGAATGATCAAGAAATCAACTCTCCTAACTTTCAAAGAGTTATCACAGAGAAAACAAGCAGAAATGGAAATATTGTGTAATACAGGTTTTCTTACTATTTGGCAAAGCATTATGTTCTTAAAATGTCAGCTATACCTTTCATTACCTGTGAATTATAGAGGGTTTAGTTTTCTCCAACCACTCTTCAATTGGTTCCTTGTTCCTCCCAGTGCTGTAAATCACAGGAATATCCATGTCACAGGCCAGTGCCTCTGCTGCGTAGTATTCAGAGTCATATATTGGCTTCTCTGCCTTCACTCTGTGTGGGTGAATCCCCGTGGTTTCACATTCCATGTCTTCCTCCATTTTTATTTCGTCAGCTCAATTGTTATGTAAACTCTTTACTACGGCTCATAGTAACCTACCAAAAATTAAACATACAAAGAGGATAATCAATCTTTTATAATTTGATATGGAATTTATTTCATGGATATTTTTTTATATTTTCAAGAGTGCAAAGCACGAGGGAAAATATAAAAAAAAAAATTGTATCCTGCCGAGTCAAATAAATCATATCCAATTAAAAAACATTGAATCTTCTGTTTATTACATTTTCTTTCATTTTCCTTTTGCTATCGTCTTTTTATAACAGTGTCGAAGGCTGATAAGGTCAATAAGCAGTTGGAACATCATAGCTAAGTGACTGTAAGATAGTTTACATGGATTTTAACAAAAATTTTGAGAAACTTTGGCAGGTCTCTCTCATAATTACTCTCGCCATCTTATAACAAGCTAGGGAGTATTTTTTACAACACTCTCCTTGAGGGGAAGGAAATTTAATATCAAGTTTTACCACACTATGAAAAATTATCACTTTTATTCAATAAATAAATTACTGTATTTCACTGTTGAAAATATAATAAAAGTACATACATGTATGTACTTAAAAAAAAAAAAAAAACTATTTCACTATCAACATGTAGACAGTAGCAAAACATTTCTTAACAGATATATTATAAACTAGACGTCTCTGTAGCTGTATATGTTTGAATTTGAAAATACTGTAAACCAACTTTTATTCGCGTGTGAGAAATTTTCGCGAGTTTCGCGAGAGCATCGTCATCGCGAATATTTCTCGCCGCGAACCGGTCCTTAAAGTCTTTCTTTCTATTAACAACAGATCCAAAAAAGGCTTGATCGCGAAAATTAATCGTCGCGAACTAGTTTACTCCCGGTAAATCGCGAAATAAAGTCGTCGCGAATAAAAGTTGGTTTACAGTAATCCAGAAGCAAAGATATATAGACTTCGTTGATTTGTCTTCATTTTATCAAATCAATGTAAAAGGAGCAGTATTACAAAAATGTTCTTTTTAGTAATAAATATGATAACACTGTTCTTTTAATCTTTTTTTTAATAACTGAATAATGGGTATCTAACCTGATTTCTAAACCTTTTAAGTTTTAATCAGATCAAACTGAAACTTGAGAAGGAGAATACATTGTACATGATCACAAATTATTAATCTTGATTTGGTAACCATGTCAGACAGATTTTTTCATCCTTTAGGAGAAGAATTTGTATCAGACATTCTCTGCTTGTAACTTTTATCCTCAAAGGTCCATTAGTTGTAACCCTAATTTGAGTCATATTTGTTTTGTACATTAATTTGAAAAAATATTTTATTTCTTTATATATATTTTTTTCTTTCAAGTGAACTTACCGTTTAAAACAATCATGCCTTTATTAATTATTTACATCTCATTCAAGAAACCGCACAAATGTTTTCTTGCCACCATTTAGATGGATTGAATGCTCTAATGATAATGTTCTATGGACCCCCTTTGTGAGGGCCTGTCCCGAGACACAGAGTATTCTAAGTAGCACCAATATACTTGAGATAGGTACAGAAAGTAGGAAAAAACAAATTAGGTTTTGAAATGAGAATTGTTTTAAGGACATTTTTTTTTTTACCTGTTTTAATTTTATTATCAGGGATGAGTATATTGATAAACAAAAAAAGTATTATGATATATCAATATTTTTTAATTGTGTATCATGATACATATTGATATGTATTGATCACTTTTCATTTTTCTTCTATTATAACATGTATAAGTTATAAAAAAAAAATCTCACAAGATATCATTTTTGGGAATATATGTAAATTTCAATCTTTAAATGCAACCTTTATTACATATCATTTATATAAATACAAAATCCTATTTCTCGAAAACATTTATTAAAGCAGTTTAATAATGTGAATTCTAATTTTTAAACCTCAAAAAAAAAAAATGTCAGATTGCTGTACTGGTTACAGTTACATTTTTACGTCCTACTTATTATCATCGGCAATTGTAAAATATGATGAAAGCAATCATAGTAAATAACATTTCACAGTATATGGTGCAGCTGCAGACAAATGAAAATGTTTTGAAGAAATCAAAAGGGGCACAACTCTAGAACTGTAACTGTTACTGGGACTGTTTTATTTGAATAGATCAATGCTAAGGAGAGGGATTTTTATTATTATTATAGAACTGAACATATTTCTCTTTTAAATTATCATGGTAAAACAACTATATATAACTAAATCATTTTTTTTAATAAATAGCATTTTGAAAATGTATTGATAGACAATTAACAAGCTTGTTTACGGAAGATCGTCATATAATCACTGCATGTGCATTGATTTTTCAATAAACGGTCCATCAAATACAATATTCACTTGTTTCACCAAGTTCAAAGTCCAAATGGCATACATACAGGCCTATATACAAATTTATGCATTTGACACAAATTTTATGACCCAGATTCCGTGAGAAATAAAATTCTTAAATGTTTTAAATAAATACGTTCTCATGTTCCCAACAAATTCGTTTCTATACCATTACCCGTGTGAAAATTTTCCGTTTGCCAAATATAGTCAGCCAAACGACACACAATCGGTTAAAGCGAAAGTAGATTGTAAACGTTGGAATACGCATTGATCTCGATTCCGGATTATGATTATGCGGGAAAAGTTGAAAAGTTAAACACAGTTGAAAATAGTCTTGAGTCTACTCAAAGCGTACTCAATGACAACAAAGCACGAGGAGGTGAGTTCTGAAATAACTGACATATATGTTCTCTTATTTAGCACTCATCTATAACGCATGAAATGGTACACGTATACACTGTCTCAGTTTTAATGCAGTTTTGAATTTCCTCGGATGTGATCACACTATGATTTTTTTATTTACTAAAATATATATTTAAACTATTTCTTCCTCATTGACATTCCTATCTGAAATCATCTGCCTCATGTAAGTACCACTGTAAACACATTCCTAAATCATTTTCACAGGTGCTTGAGGACAGGACCCCCAACCCCTAAACATAGACCCAGGCCGTTTCAACTTTTTTCTCATAAATTATCTTTCAGTGGCTCTTTATATGTGCTATAATCCATACTATCATTTCGAAAAATTATCTATCTATTTATGCTACATTTATATAGGCAGAAGTGTTACAATGTAATTGTATTTTTTTTTTTCCTGTTATCATGGCCTTTTTATGGCACGCCAAATTCACAAAAATTAGATAAACAAAGAAGTTTAACAGTTGATAAACTAGGTTTGTCAATTGTAAACAATAATTTATGAACTGTAAACTATAGATAACGATTCGTTAACTATAGTTTTCATCTGTAAACTATATTTAACGGTTGTAAAGTACATGTAGTTTACGAATGCTAATGTAAGTTTATTTGTCTGTAAATATATAAACATTAACGATAGAATTTACTGATAGATATAGATTTTCATTTGTAAACTATAATTTACATTCGTTAACCATAGTTAAGAGTTGTTAATCATAGTTTCACAAATCGTGAAACTATATTTATCAGATAAACTATGTTTTACATTTTATAATTATAGATTTCGGTCGTAAACCATAGTTAACTGTCATTAATACTCATAAACTGTATTTAACAGACGAAAACTATACTATATATATAGTTTATGAATCTAAACACCTGTTAACTGTTAACGATAGTTGTCAATTCAAAATCTCGCGGCACCAATCGCTACATCGTCGCAAGCCACGGTCCGGAGTCCGCATATAGCTCTCTCCAGAATGGGAGGGGACTGTTAACTATAGTTTTGATCATAAACTATACTTAAGAGTCGTGAAATATAGTTTTACAGAAAATTGTTTATCTCCAATACAAAATCAGAGATTCTGGCGTTAAACTGTGTTTCTCTACTGTAAAACTATATTTATCACAATTTTGTGAATTTGGCGCCTTAAATATCTGTAAACTATAGTTTACAACCGTAAATTATAAGTAACATACGTTTAGAGTTGTAAACCACAGTTTACAAATCGTGAAACTGTATTTATCAGATAAACTATGTTTTGCAATCGCAAATGATTGTTTTCAGTGTTATAAGTATAGTTTACACTTGTGAAACATGGATTAGGCGTTAACTATGGTTTAAAGATGTGAAATATAGATTAACGTAGTTAACTATGGTTTACGGACCGTAAACTATAGTTTACAGTCGATAAACCTAGTTTATCAACTGTGAAACTTAATGTTTAGCTCATTTTTGTGAATTAGGCGTGCCATACCTTTTGTTTAACAGTTAATGTATCAACTATGAAAAATATAAATTTTATAGTATGTGTTCAGATGTATTTTGAATTAATAATCATACACATCTACATTTTAAGTATGCAAATATAACATCAATGTACCTCAGCTGAATTACTCTTCACTATGCACTTTCTGCAATAATATGTGTTGTATGAATTATGTCCATTTGGGCCCTGATTTGGCAATAAATTCTATTCTTTTCTGTTACAAAAAAATCAATGTATATTTTATGCCATATCTAACTTCCAATTTATCAAGCTATAGACCTACTGGGTCACTAAATGGAAAGCACCATCTGGAAGCCTTGTCCAATGGACTTCCATTAAAAATTAGAACACTACCAATGAAAAAAAAAACAATTCATTGAATTCAACATTCAGAGCTTCCAGGGTTTGTGTGTGGCCATTATCATGGATGAACTGTGAACACATAGCAAACACGCATATATTTTGGGGATACTAATATTTTTATACTGGCATGTGTTTGGTTGAAAAGTTTTCTATTATGTTCATAAGTAAAGAATGTGTTGCATGATGCTTTTTCTGGTAAAATTAAGAACTGCAAGTGTTTTTTGGTCTTCAAAGGTGCAAACATGGCTTGAAAATGTTTTTGCTGGAGATGACATTCCAGAGTTTGAAATAAATGCCACTAGTTTATCCCTTCTGTACAGTCTGATGAAATGTAATGAGCATGCCGACAGAGATACACGACTCCTGGTGGATGACTATCGGCAAAAGGCAGAGGAATATAACATAGAAGGTATATGATGTACTGTCCTTACATTGATTTAAAAAAAAGGGGGGGGGGGGGGGGGGTAATTATTCAAGTGTTGTTATGAGGAATACAATACTTTAATAGAATCATTGTCTGGAATAATTCAGAATTATTACACAAATGAAATTGTGCTCATCCTAACAGTTTTACCATCCAACATATTAGTAAATACATGTTGAAATGTGTAACTGTCTATAAAAATATTTCTTTATACAGCCAGAAGATGTGAAGGAGTTCTAAAGAGGATGAATTTGTCCATTGCCAGTTTATCCCAAGCTGGGGTTATCTCCTTTCGTGTTATAGCTAATCTTGCACTTATTTTACAAATAAAAGACACATCTGATACAAGGTGGGCTTTAATGAAAATTTTTGTGTGTGTCGTAAAGATAATTTTACAAGGAGACTTTTTCATTTTGGAGTTTTTTTCCTTAATTTAAAAAACCTCTTTATACACCATTTATTTACGTTTACTGATTTTTTAAAAACAAATAATACAAAAACCATTATCAGCTGAGAGTGTATAAATATACATGTACATTTAAACTTCAGTATCTCAAACACTGATATCTCAAATACCATAGATATGTCAAAGTAATTTGGAAGTCAATACCACTTATTTTTTAAGTATTTTACCCTTGATATCTTGAATCCTTGGATATCTTGGAAGTTTTTTTCTCTGTCTCATCAAGTTTGAGATAACAAGGTTTAAATGTATATATTTTGTTAGCATATGGAGTTTTCTCTATGCATCTTATGTATTTAGCCTGATATTTTCAGTTTCCTTCTGGCAATGCAACATTTAGATGATGAAATATACAAGGCTGAGGAAGCTAAAAGAAAGGAGGAGAGACATTTACAGATTATAACTGAGAAAATCAAAACTGCCATGGTCAAACAGAGCCACCTAAAAAAGTAAGGAAAACATTTAATTTGTTTGTATCACAAGGCTGCAGTGAGCAAAATCAGTGTAGCATTTGTAAGGGCTGGGATGATACAACTTTTTCTATATCGATACGTATCATCGATTTCTCGATATATTATCCCAACCCTAGCATTTGTCTGCCAGCCTATCTCGGGCACAGATTGCTGGAAATTTCAATAACTCCTGTGAAAAAGATAAAGCTGTTAAAGTCAGTACTTATTTATTAGAATTATTTTTCATCTAGTCATAATGAAAGTAAATATGTACACATCAAAAAAACACCATGAAACAAATAAGGATTCCGAAGGAAAACAAAAAAATTTGTTATACCTTTAAAAATTTGTTCCTATATAAATCAATACTAATGAAAGTCTAACATTTCCAATGTTTTACTGAGCGTGCATAAAAAAAATGTATGTACATGTATGTCAAAAAATAATAATAAAATAAATAAATAAAAGGTATAACAAAACATTTATTGACTGTGTTCTCGGGCAAAATGCGTTTTGTTGACCCCTCGAACCAAACTGGTTGGTTCTTGGATCTGACAAAATGTTGCCGGAGAACACAGTCAATAAATGTATAATGTTGTAGAGAAAAAGCATGGATTTTGTATATGTTTCTTGAGTATTTGGTAACTGCAAATCATTTGGGCATTCACTTCATAGAAACTGACTACCTCTAATTACAGAGCCATGGATGTGCTTGAGCAGAAAGCAGCATGTCAACAACCAGAAACCGAGAAACGAATGAAAGATGTTCACTTCATTCGCAGCAAGACCAAAGAATATCAGGATAAGATTAGACAGATGCAGGTAAAGCATGCAGAAATTTTAAAGTTTCCTAAGGATTATGAGAACAAAAAAAGAAAGGATAGAATAGAACAAACACAAAATTTGCACATCTACAGTAATAATTAAATGACTTTCTGTGGTGATTTACAGATGTTTATACTGTCTAAAAAGCTGTTTAAGGCAGATGTTGAACCAAGAAAAAAACATTTTTAGTAATTTTCTGTTCTTGTATATTTACATTTTACTTTATCAATATATTACGTGTATTTATCTGGACATTTTGCAGAAGTCTCTTCAAAAACTGAATGTGGATCCCTCCATTTATCACTATAGCCTTGTCAAAAGTTCAAAGGTAAGCGGCAATGCTTGTATATCGCTAGTATATCAATGACAATTAAGAAATCTGATGAGGTTTAATTTAGGCCATTCCAAGTTTTGTCTATGTTTAGCGACCATGTGCGCTTTAGTTTTAGACACCCAATATCAGAAAAAACAAACAAAATAAGGAGTCCTGAAATTTTTGGTCAAATCTTTGACTTCTGACAATTTCTCTACATGTTTGTGCATAATATGTAGTATTAGGTGTATTTTAAGGATTTTAAAATACCTTGAGTTTGCTAAAGAATAGACGTACGTACCTTTATCCAGAAAAATAGATTCATGAAATCAAAGCATTAAAATGACATCATTTTTATGGCTTTTAAGCCTGTGTTTATTTTTGGGCTTGTGTGTTTTTTGCAAATAGGTAGGTAGGTTTTTGAAAGATGGGTGGACGCTAAACAGAGAAAAAACTTGGAATGGCCTTATGTACTTATATTGGTAAAAGTAAATTATTAATGATTTGTGCTGTATTCATTCTTACAGATCTTACCATAACACAACTCTTAAGATTAAGATTATTAATAGATGTAGCTATTTAGAGGAGATTATGAAGTTTGTATATCTAGGTCATAAATTGATGATTGACATAAAGAAGAATTTTATTAGAAATCATTTGAATTCTTTCCAGTCCTTGAATATTCTTTTTAAAATATAAGGGAAGGGGGGGGGGTATTTGGGAATTGCCATATTTGCTATATTTTATATACATTTTATTGTTTTCTCAAGGAGTTACAAAAGGTTCAGGAGGAGTTGTCTCCCCTACAGTCCAAGTTACAGGCATACAGTAGCCTGCCTCCGGTAAGTAAATAAAACCTACCTCTTTTACAAAGTTTGGTATTTGTTATGCATTGGTGATTTTGGTATACATTACAAGTTCGTGTTAAATATTTTAGGATTTATCATCTATCAAAGTGAAAATAGAAGAATTGAAAGTAAAATTGGTAAGTACAATGAACTGAAATTTTATCTTCTTTTTTTTCTTTTTTTGTGTCATAGGTTCAAATATTAGAGGGTCTTATAGCCTGTATATATGCTTTTTCTTCTATTCAGTCCTTTGTAACATGTATGCAATCATAATTTTTTTTTTACAAAAGGTAATGTTGAATTAAAATTTTTTTATATAATTATGCTTTAATATATAACCTTTTCTGATTGTTTCTCATTTCAGGCTGATTTAGAAAATGAGTTCAGCAAGAGAATAGATCTGATGCATATGTAAAAGTGATGACCTTAAATGATAATTAACTAAAAGAAGTCACTAGCATAAGAGAAGACTAGTTATGAAATGCATTTTATATATTCTTGAACAATGCTGTAAAATAATTTTGAATAAAATATACTGAAATTAGAGAAGTGACATTCAAAAGTCTTTAAGTCTAACATTATCTGCGGTTAAGGTGAGCTTTCCAGATCAATGGGTCTTTTTGCCATTTATCATTTGTTTATAATATTTACCATACAACTGAACCAGTCATATTAAAACTTAGAAGAAAGTGTCTTGGTGAAGGATGCAGATTAAAGAAAAAAAGGGGGGATCACTGGAAATTTTTTCCAAGATGCAAGCAAGAAAAGCTTTTGCATCACAAATTTTTGTACCTCATTTGCCATAGGTACATGTATGCAACATTTAGAGAAAATGTAGCCCAATAAATAGCTTAAACTAATAGGCTTTCATACATTGCTGTTTATCTGAAGCAATAAACAAAATTTACTTCAAACTAGTTAGATCTGGTGTTGTAGAGCAAAACTCTCCCAATAGCAAAGTCCCGTGGATGAATTGCTCTATAACAGGGGAGGAAGTTCTGCTATATAGAAAAGATTCCGCAGATCCTCCTATATTTACTGTTTACGTTATCGGTTCTAATTCAAATGGCATAGCCACAGACTGGTTTACCTCTAAATCTGATGCATTTTTAATTTCCATTCTCATTGTTCACGAAGCATTGTATTGGGCATTTCAACAGCCCGAAATCTGAATGATGATTTTCAATTGATTTACCCAAAACCCGTTTACACAGAAGTGGCGACCGTTGAGAGATTGCTTGAGCGATGAAAAACTGGTTAAATCTACCAACGATCTTTCAATGGTAGCCCAGACATCGCCATGATCTCTTGGTGATCTCACACAGGTCTCTAAAGTCTCCGTGATCTCAAAGTTTTGACTCTACCCAAAAGGGTTTCTCAAAGATAATTCTGACATGACCCGGCGAGTTTTCCTTTGAAGTCAGCCGTACAATAACTGCGATACAGAACACTTTTAATGGGCGTTTCTTATGCAAATGAGCAGAAACTGTACTGTATCTGAAAAATATCAACGATACAGTACGGTTTATTTTTAGCGATGACGGAAAACTGAATCCGTATCTTAAATAATATAGACATAAGAATCAATCAAATCGCAAGATAGCGCTGTTAGTATTTATTCAAAATTTGAGATGAATTAAGAATAGAATTTTACAACATAAAGTTACCAGTGGCGGATTCAAAAATTTTAGAAAGGTGGGAGTGGGGGCAGTACACAAATGGTTTTCATCGAAAAAAAAATGTCCAAACTGGAAAATCGGGAGTTTCGTGGGGGGGGGGGGGGGGTAGATTCATAATCAGGCCTGACACTATATGTGCGTGATCGTTTCGTGTTGATAAATTAAAAGTGTATACACGTTTAGCAAACATAATTTTCGAAAGCCAAAAAAGAAAAAAAAAATCGAAAGGGGGGGGGGTACCGACGCGCGCGAGTGAGCTGGATCTGCCTTGGTTTCTCTACATTTTGTTTCAAACATGAAGGTAATATGTCCCCTTTCTTACATCTGTTTATTTCAATTTGGAGCCAAGAATTTTGTATACACATGTATGACGACCGGTCGATGACATTGTCGGACATTTCTCTCAGAATACAACCTCCCCCAAACATTTTTGCTTCAAATACATTCTCATATATGATTATTATGTATCAAAATGTTTTGCACTAAATTCGCAGCTTAGATTTTTTTTTAAAAAGTCAGCAAGAGCTAAATAGATAGGAAAAAACCTACGCAATCAAAATAAATTAAATTTTGGGAAAACACATTATATAATGCATCTCATAATTATAATTATTTAAATTGATAGATACCTGCACGTCCACCTCACTCGGCATTTCAGTTGCGACTGATAAAAATGGGGTACTAAATCAACTTTCTGCAAAATCATCTGATTGGTTGAGAGATATATACCCAAATACACATGTAAATTAGCGAGGTCATAAGAAAGGTCATGTCACAAGTCATTTAGAATACTCGTTTCCTACTGTATCGGAGATACAGGGCGGGGCCCGGCTCGAGCTATCGCTCTCGCCTTAAACCCCGCCCTGTATCTCCGATACAGTAGGAAACTCGTACTCTAAATATAACTAACGACATAGGTAATCAGTCTCTCAAAACGCCCAAAGAGCACTGAATGATCATTCAACGCCCTCTTGAATCTCCTAATAATCTCTGAGTAGTCATAGTAGTCTTACAGTGATCTCCTTTGATCACACATTATCTTTCAGCTCTATTTCCGTAGACCTCTAAATGATCTCGGTTGGTCACAAAGCAATCGCTCAGCCAGGGACCTATGTACTAAGTAGTTATCCCCCTCTTTCTCTCCACGAACATCGTTTGCAAACAAAGAACAAGATGTGCCAAGGTTAAAGTCTTTCAAAAGTAAGTTAAACTCCACGGTTAACGTCATGTAGCCCAGAATGCTGAGACTCAAAGAAAGGTCTTGTCACAAGGAATATACGTGTGAATTATGTAGCACCGACTGTTCTTAAGTTATGGACAAAGTTAAGGTCTGTTGAAGTTTTTCAAAAGTAGGTCTTTCAGGGTCAATTAAGACGTTAAAATTGATGATACCCAAAGAAAGGTCTTGTCACAGAAAACACACACGTGAGATATGAAAGCCCTAGCACAAATCATTCGAAAAGTATGGTCAAGGTTCAAGTTTTTGGCACAAACAGTCAAACAGAAAGGTTCCCGAATTTCCGATTACGGAGTTCAGGGGCATAAAAATTTATTTAGTTTTCTGTTTTTATATTTTTTCACTACGTAGATTTTTGATAGAGCTTTGATTATTGTATGCACTTAATTCTGAATTGCAATTAAACTTCCTAATATTATAAAAAAAAAATTCTACAGATGATTTTGAGTTTACAATGAAGCAAGTTGTTCGTAAGTTTCTATGTATATTGTTATATTGTTATAAGTGATTAAAAGGACAACGTTAAATAAGAATTTATGTAGTCATTCAATGTCGTGGGTATATATCATTCTCCTCATTGGATAACCACTGATCAATAGGTGTCGTACCGCCACATCCTCGGAGGTACACCTGGCCAACGTCTCCTGAATCAGTGTCTTTGTCGCTGTCGGGAAGAAGATGGAGAGTCGAACTACAGCATATGTGTATTCCAGACGCTCGTGGCCATGTTTTATTTTCCCAATCTTCTTGTCAAATAAAGCCGCCATCACAGACATTTTCTTTTCTTGTTTTTCTTTTTCTATCCTTGCTTGTGCCATCACCTGCTCAAATCGTCCTTGTCGATATGCACGACCTTGAACGTTTTCTTGTTTCTTTCTGCAACCGATGAATAGAATAATCAGCATAGTCAAACTCAGAAATCCAAAGAAAACATAGTACCAGCTGTTCTTCATCCACACTCCAATGTCGTGCCTAACTTGTGAGCTGAACGCATTCTTTAACCTTTCAATGACATCATTGGGATCTTCAGATATGCACATGCGTTGTGAGTTGCAGAACCCTCTGAAATTATTACAGGGTGTTCCGGATGCCAATAATATGGTTTTCCCTGTGGTTGAAAGGATTCCTAATTCGTTGGCCGGTCTACAAACGGTAGCATTCAGAGATTTGCAACATAGTTTACAAGCATCCTGAAAGTTATTTGTACATTGGCATTCTACAAGGTTTTTTCTTTCACATGCACTCTTTGTGCACGTCCCATTATAACAAAATTTCCTGTCCGATTCACATGAAGTATTGTCCGGTTTAAGTGTAGGGGATGGACACTTGGGATTACTTCCATCGCAGACGGCAGTTTGGCGACACTCGGATGAGAAACCACACTGCTTGCTCGCACTTACTGGCGTAATGGTACAGTCCTGTTCACAACAGATTCCAGTTTTCGGTGAGCACACTTTGCCTTCCGATCTCCTGAAGGTACACGGCGGATCCAAAGAGTTTGTGACGTCGGATGGTGTACAACATTTATCGGTGTACACACAGGAGAAAGACGTACCGCAGTCACATTCTTCACCTTGCTCAATAATACCATTTCCACAAGACGGAATGGTTCTATCAGCAAGGCAAGATCCTTTGTTTACGATAACAGGATACATTACATTTGTGCTACATGGCGAAAATTTCTTTTCATTTGGTTTCGATCCAGTACTAGCGAATGGATACATGATGAAATTGCCGTAGGTGGTCGACGTACAAGAAGGATCACTGTCAGGATCGTGTGGGCTTCCAAAATTATGACCAAATTCATGCGTCAATACGAGTGAAGATTTGTAACTTGTCAGACGTTTGCCATAATTGAGCATAGTAACTAGAGCAGAGTTGAAGCTGTACATCTTGCCATTGTACATAGTCCGCCCTTGACAAAGCCCACCAACAGCCCCGTATATACTGGAACTAGCTGTCCAAGCGAGACCTACAACACCATTGTCGAACTCACGATAAGTAAAAGCTACTCCTAAGCAGTATGGATCCAAGTCATATTCTGAAAATGCATAGAGGTAGTCGTAGACACTTAAATTTGGATCAGCCATGTGGTATTCACTGTAGCTGGAATCAGTAATAACAGTTATGTTAGATATTTCAAAGCCTATATTGTCACCATAGCCATTTCCATCAAAGTCAGTACTTCGGAAAATCATGTCTGCTTGGGCAACCTGGTATCGCATCTCGGATATTGTTTTTGATAAAGAAGAACCACCTATGTTTTTATAAAAGTCAGGATCGGCTACAACATGCAAAGAACATGATCTCGCAGAAGGCTGCGAAGATCGCTTAGTTATAAAATGTGAGCTCTGTCTATGGAAAACATTTGCACCGTTTGTTTTTATGCTGGTTTTCAGATGTCGCGTCGTCTGTCCTTCAGCATAAGGGGGGTCAAGGAAATCAATACGGGAGGGATAATCCTCTTTGACATCAGATTTTCTGTAAACGATGGATTTGTCAACCACATGCAGGTATTTTTCCAATGGTTCGACAAAAAGTACATCATGTTTATAGGAAACATATCCGTCATATTTGTCATTCTGAATTTTTCCAAATGCGAACGAAACTTGTGGAGCATTTGCATCATATCCTTTCACTAGCGTTGCTCCTTTCATTATTATATCAGATTGTACTTTTGGTAATACATTTCCATTTACTATTACATGTGCTGAAGACATTTCAACTGAAGTATCTTCTCTTAATTTTAGACATATATTTTGACCAAATGCTGAAAAATTAGTCTCCATGAAATTGTTTGAATATTTGAGATACGGTGACCTGATCACAGTATAATTCCGTAAAATTGGAAATGACCTCCTAATTTCCATTTTCAGATTAATCTCTCGTGTTACAACTAAAACTGTTCTAAATACAAATGTTAAAATGGCAAATCTCTTCATAGCTTTCATATTTGAAGGGCATCTGTTTCACAAATCAACACAACGAGGAAACAGCTTTAGGACGGTAATTTTAGACTGTGAAATAGTAGACTACGAATTTCCGATAAAATGTGAAAGGATGTGCTTATTCGTGAACAATCAAAATGTTGATGAAGTGCTTATAACTTTTTTGTTTAATACATATTTTAAAGTGGAAAGAGGGACGTTTGTATTAATTTTAGATTTTGGAGGCACTTTTTGATTAATGAAGTCTACATTGAACTGTATACCACCTTTAATGCATAACTGTAAGTTGTACGGTAATATTGCGATTGTATGGTTTTGAAAAACCATATGCATATACATGTAATTACAACAACTGTTTAACGAAATCAAAAACCGGCATATAGATTGAATTACATGTGTACACTTGCATCTTGATATAGTTTACTTATCTATTCAGTTTCATTGAAATAGGACCAAAAACTGCAGGTCAAGGAAGAAATTTAGTTATTTATATTTAATTCCATGACAACACCATTCGTTGAAATACGAATTTTCTTCTAAGATGAGAAAACATGCAAATCAGTGCACATCCTACGTAACAATAATATTTGTAAATGCAAATGGTGGCACAAACCATATACATGTAGGTATAAAACAATCAAAAACAGACCAAGAAAAGAGAAGACTGGTGATTTTGATGAAGATGAACAAAATCAAAAAGAGAACGAAGAATTAAATAGAATGCGCACTTGAATTTAAAGGAGATATGGATACGAATAAAAAGAAAAGCTTGAACAGCTTTTGAATTTTTTTATTATGATATATGTATTTTCTTGAATATGTCTTAATTTACTTTTATCAGGTTTATATACCAAAAGCAATAGGTCCATGTTATATCATCACAGACCTACCGTCTAGCTATGTAAAAAGTAAAGACTACATGTTTATAATTTTGTTTTACAAAACCAGTACATAGTTGAATAAATTCCATATTCAACAGTGAACTACAAAACATTGAATATCCTCTATATACTACATGAGGCATCAACTAGGATATATGGAAAAGTAGTACTGGTAAATATTTTCATACACAAAAGGACTGAAGAATTAATGTGCAATGCTAAAGAAAATGAGGAAAGGAGAAATTCCAGAGAAAGAACTTTTTTGGTAAAATTGTGGACATGTAGATAGGTAGACAAATCGACAGGTTAACTGGTCGACGGGTTGACACATCGACAGGTTGACACATTAATTGTTTGCTTGACAGGTCTACATGTATTAAGGAAGAAAGGTCGACAGGTTGACAGAAAGTTTGCTTGACAGGTCTACATGTATTCAGGAAGGAAGGTCGACGGGATGACAGGTTGACGAGCCGACAGGTCGATAGATGGATGAGTCGACGGGTTGACATGTTGACGGATTATTATCTCCGGTGGGTTCGAGCACTAACCCTAATCTCTCAGATGGGATAGAGGACTAACCCTAATCTTTCCGATGGGTTCGAGGACTAAACAACTCTCGGGAGGGTTCGAGAATTAACCGGCCCTAATCTCTCAGGTGTGTTCGAGGACTATAACCCTAATCTCGGGTGGGATCGATTAATCGAGTGGTTTTATACGAATAATGTCTTGTGTTTGTTCGCGCAAATTAAAGCTTATTAATTCAGGAGGATGTTATGAGATTATAAATAGGAATACCGAAAGGTAGTCAACTTTCGACCTGTCAACTTTTGTGTAGATATAAAGGAAACCAAACGGGTATCAACTGCATGTTGACCTGTCGACCTTTGTTTTAAGTGAGAATAATACCAAATGGGTGTCAACTGTCGACCTGTCCACCTTTGTTGTGATGGATAAGATTTAGCAATTTGATAGTCGACCTGTCGACCTTTATTTTGAGAGATAAGAGTTTAACAATTAGGTTTCAACTGTCGACCTTTGTGATGACAATACAGGTTAAGTGACAAATTGTCAACCATTTAGGGGAAAACCCTTCTTGTGGACTTTTTTTTCTTGTGGACTATTTGACGTATTTATGGCAAAACACTCACTTTTTTGTTTTATAAAGGGAACTATTTATTTCTTTGTTTTAAACTTGAAAGATTTTTACAATCGGTTAAATTACGGATCTGCTTTTCCGTATACCCTATTTGAACCGCTATATCTTATGAAAGGTCAGAAATTATTTTTTACCTACTAAATAATATCCTTTCACATTGTGAGAGAATATCACTTTGGTATCCTTACATACTATGAGAGAATATCACTTTTCAATAAATAAATCACAGTATTTCACTGTTGAAAATGTAATAAACACGAATATTCACATAAATTCCAAATTATGGTTTCCAGGTCCACCGTGCCTAACCATTTCTTTTTGGGGTTGCAAAAAAGAACGGGTGATTTGGTTAAAAAACTGGGGGAAGGGGGGGGGGGGGGTCAGAATAACTTAACGTACAATTTGTTTTTGACAATATTTAACAGGAAGTAACGTGGACCAATCAACATTCGACAGCACACACCGGCACTTACACGACTCCGAGGTTGTGACTGCACATATCGGTCAACGTGGAAAATGAAGGCCGTGGTAGCTGTACTAGCGTTTGTCAGTGCTACTTTAGCAAGTGATGTATTAGAGTTTACAGACTCAGACTTTGCATCAAGAGTTGCTGGACATGATCTTATTTTAATTGAATTTTTTGCACCTTGGTAAGTTTTTTTTGCCAAAAGTCGACTTGTAGACCCGGTAGCGTTTTCTTTTGCCAACTCTACTAGGCAAACATGTCACGAAGTTTATGATTCTGTTCTTTGTTGATAACATGAGTACATGTGTCTGGTATCTTCAGAATGTAATGTTCAACATACAGTCAGATCAAGATAATCCGCCTGCACAGTGGACTGAGGTTTATATACAAGAAAGACGTCTAATACAGTAGTCGTTAGTTTAACATTTTACACAGAAGCATATTACAAAATATAATTATGTAAAGGAGTTCCCAATGTAACTTGTCATCTTAATTATTTAAATTGCTCTCAGCTGTAGTAGTGTAAACACTGCAAGGCCATCCAATGATCCTTATACAGTCAAACCTCGTTATCGCGAACTCGATGGTACTGAGAAAATACTGTCTGAGGGTTTGAGATATTGAGGGTAAATTACTTAAGAAATACATGGTTAGGACTTCCCAATCACTTTGACATATCCATGGTATTTGAGATGTAATATTATGCATGTTCAAGATAGTGAAGTTCAACTGTTATATATACGGCATCATCCAAGTTAATTCAGATTGAAGTGTGGCTTCTCAGATGTCAATTATAAGATGAATCAATCACAGGTCATCAGTTATAAGTTGAGGGATTTTCATAAGGGAAATTAAAATGTAGATTTTATTTGCTCAAGTTTACCCTGGTGCTATATATGATGATATTATGTTCATCAAATTCATCTAATATTTAGTACATGTATAAAAAATTATATTCATTAAGAAACTCTCTTCTGAAGCCTGAACTTCAAGAATAAGCATTGATTTCCTATAAAAGATAATATCTTTCCTATAAAAGATAATCTGACATCAAAAACTTGTCCAGACAGCATAATACTAACATTACATGATTAATAATGGATAAATGAATATCCCATCAATATATCTGTAATAAAAAAAAATATATTGTATTTTTGATAGGTGTGGTCACTGTAAGAGACTAGCTCCAGAGTATGAAAGAGCTGCAACAACCCTTAAAGACAACGATCCACCTGTGCCTCTTGCAAAGGTAGACCACTTAAAAATTGATTTCCAAGATGTTCAAGTATTTATAATTAGAGGGTAAAAGGGATGCTTAAAATGAATGCTATATGGTCAAAAACTTGGTAAAAAGCTGGGAGTGGGGGGGGGGGGGGGTTTAAGAGTAAAAAGTAGCATTTGGGATCAGCATCCACTAAAGGGCAACAAGATGGCAACTTCAGAGTGTTAGAGGAATTCACTGGTTGGGGGAAGGGGAGGGAGTATTTTCCCTCCTGTAATCTATTACCTAGCATTATTTTTAACAAAAATTATCTGGACATACAAAATCAAGTTTTAGTTATCCATAAAGAATAACTTAAATTTCATATTTAAGAAAAAAAAAAAAGAAAAGAAAACGGTAAAACATGTTTATAATGAAGTTCTAGGGGTGGCAATTTTTTTTTCTTTCTTTTTTTAATATAAATGTAATTTGTTGTATCCTTTATATTCAAAATATATTTTAAAGCCATGGGGAATGAAAATCAATCCACTATATACGTCAATTCATTATAAGCATGTTTTACTGTATAAGGTTCTGTGATTGTAAATGTGATAATCAGAGAAAACTTGTTTGATAGGTTGATTGTACAGCCAATGAAGAAGTATGTAAGAAATATGGAGTTAGTGGATACCCTACACTAAAAATCTTCAGGGCAGGAGAATTTTCAGAAGAGTATGGAGGACCAAGAGAAGCAGGTATTTGAAGATTATTTTAAAGTAGATTAATTTCAGTATCGTAATTATTTGCTATAATAAGTTGGATTTTTGGGAGTTAGGTTTTGGTCCAGAACCCTATGTATGACTTATAAATGAGTCATAGAAATGTTTCTTGATGACCAAATGTGTTTTTGTAACAGTTCCAACAATTATCAATTTATCATTGATAATAGTTAGGACATTCGTCATATTTTTCCACCCAGGAAAGGAACATCTAAGGTTATCATATGCATAAGTATAAATGCTTACAAATTTTAATGTTAAAATAAACTTTTATATTTGTTCGAAATGTATATTGTTACTAATTTTCATAAAAGATAAAACAATAAAAAAAAAATCAGTCATACCTCAAAAATAGAATATTGATTTAAAATGCATATTTTTTCTTTGATTTCAGATGGCATTATCAAATACATGCAGACGAGAGCTGGGCCAACATCTAAAGAGCTTACTGATATTGCTACTGCTGAAAAATTTCTGTCCAAGGGCGAATATGGAGTTATAGGTAAAACGGTGTATAAGTTCAGAAATGAAGTCCATAATATATTTTTAAGTAAGGGAACATAAAACTTTATAGAAAGAAATAGCCAGTCTATGTTCTGGCATTTTTGGTTGGTTGGTATGTCATGAAATTTTATGTATGTTGGCATTGATTTCGACACTATATTGATAACCATCTTTCTATTCCAAAGAATAAAAATCAGCATATTAATTTTTTATTTGTTTCTTTGATTGTAGGATTCTTTGAAGATGGAGAAAGTGAGTTGGCTAAGACATTCCAAAAGACAGCTGATGCAATGAGCACAGATTTACGCTTTGCCCATACCACCAACAAAGAAGTTCTGGATAAATACGGATACAAAAAGTAGGTGCATTTACTTGAGACAAAAACCAAAGCAGTAGATATTGTGGAAGTCTGAATTTTCATATATGATAGAAATCATTATTTCATTTTCTCTATATTTTAGTGATATTGTGTTGTTCCAACCAAAGAGACTCAATAACAAGTTCGAGGAATCTGTCATGAAATATACTGATGATGCAGCAGTGCATAAAATCAAAGACTGGATTAACAATAACCTGTAAGTGACATGTTCTAATCTATCATCTAGTCTTAATTTCCTCAACCAATTATAGGCATGTTTGTAATTCTTTAATTCCATCTTTGTCGCATTTAAAATTTTGGTAAGATAAATCTTTGCTGTAACTAAAGAAGAATTTTGAAATTAACGAGGTGTTTGTTTATAGACTTGGACTGTGTGGACACAGGACTCAGGGCAATGCAGAGAAATTCAAGAAACCCCTGGTTGTAGCTTACTATGATGTAGATTACGTGAAGAATGAAAAGGGAACTAATTACTGGAGAAACAGGTTAGATGTCATTGTTAGTCTTTGTTCTCAAAGAAAGGAAAAGATACAACATGCTCATTATCATGTATGTATTGATTCCTTAATATAGGGTGATGAAAGTTGGCAAGAAGCTGAAAGACGAGGGAAAGAAAGTTAACTTTGCTGCAAGCAATCACAAGGACTTCAGTTACGAGCTTGGAGAGTTTGGAATGGGAGACGTTAGCGGTGACAAGCCTGTGGTAGCTGCCAGAGACGAGAGTGACAAGAAATATGTCATGACAGAAGAGTTCTCGTAAGTTCAATACTGTGACTGTTGTTGAGATCTTAATACAAAACTAAGACATGTCATAATCAAAAATGTCTTATAAATAAACTATTAGACAGAGAGTTGAGCATTATTCTGTGCATATGAATTAAATGATGCATATTAGAAAGCTGTGAAAATGTGTCTACACACCTTGACACTTATATGATATGGAAAATTTATTATTTGATACCTAAATTTAAAATAATTTACTGTATTATTTACTGTATTTACAAATTTTACTTCACTGTTCTTAAATTAGATCTTAAATTTTACTGCCCATTGGTACATTTACATATATAGGAGCAGTCTCTCCTGTGTTTGCTCTAAGCAGTTGCTGAAGGATTTGCTATATATAAAAACTTATGATGAGAGAAAAATAAACAACATTTATAATCAGTCTAATTTCATCTTCATGTGTAGAATGGACAACCTTGAGAAGTTTGTTCGGGACTTTTTGGATGGTAAAGTAGAACCTTACTTAAAGTCTGAAGCAGTGCCAGACAATACAGATGCAGCTGTAAAAGTAAGCATAGCAAGTTCTAGCTTGACTTGGATAAGGCTTTTATAATCATTTTGATGTAAATTGCTGTAATTCCAAAGATTGAAATTGTACTAATTCTTCTTTATTCTTTTAGACTGTAGTTGCCAAAAACTTTGATGAGATAGTGAATGACCCTGAAAGGGATGTTCTCATTGAATTTTATGCCCCATGGTGTGGACATTGTAAACAGCTAGAACCTAAATACACTGAACTAGGAGAAAAGGTCGGCATAATAGAGTAAAGCAAATCAATTGTAGAATTAAAGATTCTCTCAGTCTGCAATATGTTCTATTATTTAGAAATCACCAGAAGTCAAAACAAAAAATTAAGCATTTCTTGAACATTTCAGTTAGCAGATGAGCCTGGAATAACCATAGCTAAAATGGATGCTACTGCCAATGATGTAGCTAAGCCATACGAAGTCTCAGGGTAAGCTGTGGGGCAGAGCCAGCATCTTTGAACAGACTATTTTGTTTGCACATTAAAGTCAATTCCTTGTGTAGTAAAAATAAAAAAAAATTGTATACAAAGTAATAAGCATGAAATGCAAATTTTACGTGCTACTTCTATTTTTGTAGGTTTCCTACAATCTATTTTGCACCAAAAGGATCCAAAAATAATCCTAGAAAATATTCAGTAAGTATATCTCCTTTATTGGAACAAAGAGATGTACTAAACATTATAGCTTATAAGTTCTTTTTTTTTCTTTGGTTTTACAGTGTATAAGTGCATAAAGTTAATCATGATTTTGGGGCTAAAACTTTTATTTTTAATGTACATAAACTTACATATATTGGGATGGGATGTCTACGGTGAGTGTACACTATATTAATAGCCCTTTTACACTGTGTAAACTCTGCTTTTTGTAGGGTGGAAGAGAAGTGGACGATTTCCTTAAATATTTAGCTAAAGAGTCTACAGATGAATTGAAGGGATATAAACGTGACGGCAAAAAGAAGAAGAAGAAGATAGAATTATAAGAGAGGGGAGAATTGAGAGATGTTGTGTCGAGTGTTTGATCACATAACGAGCAAATGTGTTGAGAGAATGGGTGTGTCTGTTGCTGCGTTATGGATAGTTTCATTATCATGTATATCAGAATCTTAGTGAAGGACATTTTGGGGTTTTTGTTAGACACAGGTTAATTATTTTTCTTCCTTGAAATTTTTCACTTAAATTTGGTTTAATTGTTATGTAGGTCACAAAGCTTTATATGAAATCAAAACTTAAAGTTCATGAATGTCATATTGATGTTTGTGTGAAGGTATTTGTTGATTTGTAGATTATTTATTTGACTACAAAGACCAATTATTATGGCCACTAATGAGTGATTGTTGCATCATGTTACACAATTCCATGTTTATACTACACAATTCACATATTTGTACGTGTATTTCATGTAAAGCGGTGCCTAGTTTCCCAGTAAAAAGTGCTCCAAGGGTAACTCTTGCATGCTATTTGATTTTGTGTCTAACCAAATAAATTTTATTTGTTCTTGAACTTTTTCTTTAAATTTAGAATATTTTTGTTTCAAAATGTGGGAGACAACAATGGGAAATAAAGTTCTTTTTGTATTTTCCAGTTTTATCTTTGTTTCTTTTAGCTCACCCAGCCTAGATCGAGGGCTAGTAGGCTTATGCCATCACTTGGCATGTATTGTCAGCATTTTAAGTTGGACTTTTTTTTCCTCAAGTTTCCTCTGAAACTATGTGGCTGATTTTTATTTAGATTTTGTAGTTTGATTTGGGGATGTCTGCTACAAATGATTCACTTACAATTTTAATCTAATGAAAAACAAGGACACTGTTGCTATAAATGTTTCACTTTTAATTTTGATCTGATGAAAATCAAGGCTGTTGTTACTATAAATACATGTAGAACAAATGGGTGATATGCTGTTCTTACATGTATGTAAGTAGAGCAGAAGATTAGTACAGTTTTGTGCTAATAATTCAGAAGAGAGTTGAGTCTAAATCATGGCAAAATAAAACATAGGTAATCAAAGAAAAGTAAAGCAAATCTCACATCATATTTTCTTTATAGTTAGTGTGCATCCTGAAAACAATATTCATGCAAGTTCTGTGTAAGTAGGTCTTATAGTTCATTGGGAATTGACCTGTTCCAAAAACTTTAATCAAGAAACTAATCAAGAAAATGTCTTTCATTTCCTACATCCGAAGCAAGTCTGAAATGCACCATCTATGTAAGTTAAATCATAACAGGCTATATAATTATAGAGCTACTCAAAACACATTGTCATGGTTACTCATTTGAAAAATGTAGGTCAGATCCAGAATCCGAATCAAGTCTGGTAGTGGCCATACCTAGATACGTCATCCATGCAAGTTTGGTCCAGGTAGGGCTTATAGTTACTTGGGAATGGACTTACACCAAAAACTTTAACATAGTCACTCATCTGGAAAATGAAGGTCAGATCCAGCATCCATAGCAAGTTTAATAGGGTCCATCCCTAGATGCATCATCCATGCAAGTTTGGTCCTGGTAGGGCTTATCGTTACTTGGGAATGGACTTGCTCCAAAAACTTTAACCTGATCACTCATCTGGAAAATGTAGGTCAGATCCAGCATCCAAAGCAAGTCTGGTAGTTTCTATCCCTAGATGCATCATCCATGCAAGTTTGGTCCAGGTAGGGCTTATAGTTACTTGGGAATAGACTTGCTCCTAAAACTTAAACCAGGACGCCAACGCCGGGGATGTAGCATAAGCTCATCTCGACTTCATCGAGGTGAGCTAAAAATGGGAAGGTGAGATCTAGTGGTTAGGTACCCAGAGTAGAAAAAAATCAGGATGACGAGATCTTGCAACTAGGTACTATCCAGGATTGAACAAAATTCAGGATAGCAAGATCTAACAACTTACCCAGGGTTGCACCCATTCCCCCCCCCTTTCACTGAAAGTGGGGGATGCAATGTATTAATTTGAGTCTGTCTGTCTGTTACACTGTCTGTGTGTAACTCTATCTCCTAAAGCCTTCAAGTTTTTGCAATGAAATCACAACTCCCTGTGGCCTAATGAAGACCCCTATTGATTTTGAGGTCAAAAAGGTCTTTCTTAGCTTTTGCAATGAAACTAAAGGTCAAGAATTTCTTAAACTGGGTAGAACTTTATTGACCTTAAGGCCAAAAGTTAAAAGGTCATTTGGTGTAATGACTGGCTTGGAATAACACTTCTTTCCATCCCAAGTTAAGATCATGACCAAAATCATCAGAAGAAGGATATCCATAGCTGTAGATGTCAAGCTGCATAAAGAACAAGCAGGGCGATGATGTATTGAACAATTTTTTTACATTGAGAAGCATCATAGAACAGTGAACAGAATGACAACAGCAATTATATATTAATTTTATTAATTTTAAAAAGGCCTCCGACAGCATTTATAAGGACAGTCTGGAACAAATGTGTGGTCATTTGGAACCCCACAACATCCCATAAATATCATCAAAAGTTTTTATGTCAACTTCAGTTGCATGGTTGGAAACACCAGCATCGACTTGGATGTTAATAATTAAAGGAGTCCGTCAGGGCTTTGTAATGTCATCAACACTCTTCATAATAACCATTGACTAAGTCATGAATATCTGACATTCCAAGAGGCATCAGATGAGGTACACTCAAAGACTGGACTTTGCTGATGATATTGCGCCTTATTCTCTCACTCCCACTGGCAAATTCAAGACAAGTCCAGCAGGCTCCACAAATATGCTGGTAGCATTCGATTGAAAAAAAACACAAAAACAGAGGTCATGACCCTAAATGTAAACAAGTCAAAGTGGAAAATCACATCCTCCCATGTACCAACACCTTTACATACTTGGGTAGTAAAGTCACAACAGATGGTGGAGCAGAGACTGATATCAAACAGAGACTATCCAAGGCGAGGGCAGCATTTAAAAATCTACAAACTGATTGGAGACCAAGTCAAAATACCATCAGGACAATACTAAAACCAGAAGTCTCTGATGAGACTGTAGCTCTACTGGTTGTACTCAAAGTAGCACTTGGACTTGAAACTTTGCAACAGCAATAAATAGAATAATGATCTTGGATTAGTCTCTTTTTGGGGCAAGATTTATTGCAATCAGACTAAAACTGTAGGAGGAGTAGCCTTTCAAAACAATTTTACAGAAATTTTGATTTAAGTAATCATATCAACATCATTCAACAAAATCAAAAAACAATAAAATCTATTATGTATCTCAGTGTAGTCTACTTGTACGCAACGTTATACTGAAATCAGACAAAAAGTGTAGGCGGAGTAGCGTTTTGAAAGTATTTCAAGAAAATTTCCAATTTTAGTAACCATGCCAGCACTGTTCATCGAAATCCAAAACTGGTAAAGAGAATTATGTATCTTAGTGTAGTTTACTTGTGTGCTAAGTTATGCTAAAATCAGACCAAAACTGTAGGAGGAGTAGCATTTTGAAGGTATTTCAAGGAAATTTCTGTTTTTAGTAACCATGGCAACACCGTTCATCGAAATCAAAAATCGATATAAAGAATTATGTATTTTAGTGTAAACTACTTGTTTGCCAAGTTATACTGAAATCGGACCAAAACTGTAGGAGGAGTAGCGTTTTGAAAGTATTTCACAGAAATTTCTATTTCTAGTAACCATGGCAACTCCGTTCATTGAAATCAAAAATCGATACACAGATTTATGTATCTTAGTGTAGTCTACTTATGTGCCAAGTTGTATTGAAATCAGACCAAAACTGTAGGAGGAGTAGCGTTTTGAAAAATTGTATACAGACGGATGGACGACGGACACCTTACTACCGCATAAGCTCTTCTGGTCTCTGACCAGCAGAGCTAATTAAGAATACTAAGAATATTTTGGTCCAATACCATCTCAAATCAGGACCTTCTCAACCAGTGTCAGCAAGAGGACATGGCATGACCACAGTCATCATCATATCAGATGTTGGAATTGGCTTGGCCATGTACTTAGAAGGGACTCAGGCAGCATTACAAAGACAGATCTCTTCTCGACAACAGAGGGAAAATGGACAAGAGGAAGGCCCAGAGTCACTTGGCATATTATGTTTTCCATATTTAAAAAGCACAAACATTTGTACAAATTGCAATTTATAAAATAAAAATGGTAAATACGCAAGTTATCAAAAGAAATATTTGTGAGTAATAAGTGACTAATTATCAAACGCTCCAAGTCCATTTAAAATCAGGTATCAGGTACATACTTTGTAAGCTGTCAGTTTCTTATATTTTCTAAATAAGTATGTTACATTAAAAGTTTAAAATTTATCAATTTAAACTTATCTATAACGATTGTTATAAATAAGTTTAAATTGATAAATTTTAAACCCTTAATGTAGCACATCTCCTGTGGTGTAGGCATTAATTATAACAAACATTACATTATAGATCCTCAACTGGTTGTGTTAGAGCTTGACAAATGCCCATCTGCAGCCCCCCCCCCCCCCCCCCCCCAGCTTTCAGATTTGTGAGACATGATGCTCTGAATTAGTTGATATTTAAAGAAAAAAATAAATAAAAATATCATATTAAACGATATCAATTTAACTTTAACAACTTAATCTATATCAAATTAATATTAAAAACAAAACGACATATGCTGACAAGCATGCAGTTCTGTCTAATTCCCAAAGGATACAGATAAGAGCTGCGAGATCAGAGATCCTCTACAAGAAATGATTGAGACAGCTAGCCTTCCTACACTGAACTCATTAACTAATTTTTAACTGGATGCATGTCCACTTATTACTCCCAACGGATGAATGGATCTATACGTACTATCTGCTTTGTAGTGCAATAAAAATGCCTATTTATGTCTAATTTATGTCATTCTGAAATTAAATTTGAAAACAAATTTTTTTTTCTTTGTTGCAAAGATTTATAAAAAGAAAAAAAATCTTTGTTATCTTGATTCAACATTTTTAATAAGGTTCCTGCATTACTCTTAGATTTGTAGGGACTATCTAGTACCATAATTAAAACATTTTTTTTTAACTTGATTTTTTTAGATTTAATGTCAGACTGGTTTTAAGCTGCAATTCATTCCAATATCACTCCCCCCCCCCCCCCCCCAGTATAATTAGTTTTAATTATACATGTATTATACAATATCAAATTAGTTTATTATACAATATCAAATTAATTTATTATACAATATCAAATAAGTTTTAATTACTCTTCACCAAATTCGTTTTAAAAGTTAGGCTAGCAAACTATTTAATCCAACACGGCTGATTCTTTTTGCCCAGTTCCCAAGAGATATAGATAACACCTGCTTGACCAGAAATGCTCTACCAGTGTAGCTCCTCACACTAAACTCATTAATTTCTCTCTAATTTGACATGCAATTTTCTGTTACCAAATCCTCCTTGACCAGTGCTTGATAATTACACCCTGGCAGAGGTGGAATTTCTCTTGTAACATTACATTTGTTATAGATTGCTGTAAAGTATATAATGAAAAAATAAGTATTTTCATGATTTAACATTTTTTTGATAAGCATACTGCAACACTCTTGCATTTTTTGGGGGGATTGTGTAATCTAATAGTAAAAAGACAGGGTTTTTTTAAATTTCACTTAAATTAGAGGTCACAGTGACCTTGAAATAGGTCGCGACACACCTTCTACCTAAGATGCATAAATTGGCCAAGTTTGATGATTGTAAGTCCAATCGTTTTCTAGTTATGAACCGGACAGGATTTTCCCATATTTTGCCATAGCATCTTAATTAAAGGTCAGAGCGAGCGACCTAATTTTAGTGCGCGACACACCTTCTACCCAAGAAGTATCAGCTGACAAAGTTTGATAATCCTAGGCCTAATAGTATTAAAGTTATGAGCCGGACACGAGAATAGCTAACAGACAGACAGACAGACGGACATGAACGCCATAACATAATACGTCCCGTCTAGAGACAGGCGTATAAAAACTTAACCTTGGCCATCTCTTGAGTGGTTGGTGCTAGGGATTTCATACTTCACATGTGTAATCCTTGTGACAAGGCCTTCTTTGCATACCAACAACTTTGACCCTTTGACCTTGGAGTTAGACATTCTTTTGAAAAACTTTAACCTTGGTCATAACTGTTGAACAGTTGGTTCTAGGGCTTTCATACTTCATATGTGTAATCCTTGTGACAAGGCCTTCCTCTGGATACCTTTGACCTTGATCTTGGAGTTTGACCTACATTCAAAAAATTTTAACCTTGTCTATAACTTTTAAACATTTGAATGCTAGGGCTTTCATATTTCACGTGTATTTCTTGTGAAAAGGCCTTTCCTTGGGCACCATTAATTTTGTCCTTGACTTTGATGTTTGACTTACTTTTGAAAAACTTTAACCTTTTTCAAAGGTTGCTGCTAAGGCGTTTATATTTCACAGGTATATTTCTGGAGACAAGACCTTACTTTGGGTACCAACATATTTGATTTGCATATGATAAAGTTTAACCTTCACTATAAGTTGCCATACAGGGGCATCAATGTTTCACAAACACATCTTGTTTTTTTTTATGCCCCCGGATCGAAAGATCCCGGGGGTATATTGTTTTTGTCTTGTCTGTCTGTTGTCAACTTTAACCTTGCCCATAACTTTTGATTGGTTGGAGCTATGACTTTCATATTTCACATGTGTATTCCTTGTGACAAGACCTTTCTTTGGGTACCATCATATTTGACCTTGGAGTTTGACCCACTTTTGCAAAATTTTATGAGACTTTAACCTTGGCCATAACTTCTGAACAGTTGGTGCTTGGGGTTTCAAACTTCACATGTGTATTCTTTGTGACAAGGCCTTCCTTAGGATATCAACAACTTTGACCTTGACCTACTTTTGAAAAACTTTATCCTTGGCCATAACTTTTGAATGGTTGGAGCTAGGGCTTTCAAACTTCACATATGTAATCCTTGTGACAAGACCTTTTTTTGGAAACCAACCACTTTGACCTTTTGACCTTGACCTAGGAGTTTGACCTACTTTTGTAAAACTTTAACCTTGGCCATAACTTTTGAATGGTTGGAGCTAGGGCTTTCATACTTCACATATGTAATTCTTGTGACATCACCTTCCTTTGAATACCAACCACTTTGACCCTTTGACCTTGTCATAGGAGTTTGATCTACTTTTGAAAACTTTAACCTTGGCCATAACTTTTGAATGGTTGGTGCTAGGGCTTTCATACTTCACATATGTAATCCTTGTGACAAGACCTTTTTTTTGGAAACCAACCACTTTGATCTTTTGACCTTGACCTAGGAGTTTGACCTACTTTTGTAAAACTTTAACCTTGGCCATAACTTTTGAATGGTTGGAGCTAGGGCTTTCATACTTCACATATGTAATTCTTGTGACATCACCTTCCTTTGAATACCAACCACTTTGACCCTTTGACCTTGTCATAGGAGTTTGATCTACTTTTGAAAACTTTAACCTTGGCCATAACTTTTGAATGGTTGGTGCTAGGGCTTTCATACTTCACATATGTAATTCTTGCGACATCACCCTCCTTTGGATACCAACCACTTTGACCCTTTGACCTTGACATAGGAGTTTGACCTACTTTCAAAAAACTTTAACCTTGGCCATAACTTTTGAATGGTTGGTGCTAGGGCTTTCATACTTCACATATGTAATCCTTGTGACAAGACCTTCCTTTGGATACCAACCACTTTGACCTTGACGTTTTACTTACTTTTAAAAAACTTTAACCTTCGCCATAACTTTTGAACAGTTGCAGTTAGTTCTTTCAAATTTCACAGGTATATTCCTTGAGACAAGACCTTTCTTTGGGTGCCAACATTTTGTATCTTTTGGCCTGGATTTTGACTTGCATTTGAGAAACTTTAACCTTCGCCATAAGCTGCCATATGGGGGCATCAGTGTTTCACAAACACATTTTGTTTTTTGTTAAGATCAGTGTTTAATTAAAATTTTTTGATATGAATCAATACTAGTAATTATTACTATCCAATCCTAGAAGAAGTATGCTATGTATATTGTTTCAGATGTACAGAATACAGTGATCAAAATCGATAGCAGATCCATGCTAAAATAACTATTAATTCCCCTGGACCACACCTGCACCAGTAATTAGAAATGGCTATAAATTACAGTCACTGATTGCATTTTTATTCAATAAATATGACAAATGATCTTTGAAGTCATCCTAACAAGCACAGGAACAATGAAAATCTGACAATTTTATGGTAAAAGCAACATGAGTACACATACAATGTTTGAGGACTACATATAGTTAGGGGTACAGCCCTCACTAGTAACAAACACACATCATCTCAGATCTACTGGGTTTTGACATGATAATATAAATAGTTCCTAGATAGGGATCACTACATTAGTCCTTTAATGGCATCCTGCAGCTTCTTTCTGGCTTCGATCACCTTCAGTTCTTGTCTGCGGATGTCTTCTTCTGACACAATCACTTGCTGTAATGGAGAAGGTTTAACTTGTATTAACGATCATAAAGAATCACTGTTGTGTAACAGAAAATATGTTATGTAGGAAAATTATCAAATCAATTCTGATAACAAAGAATGCTGCAAAAAAATAATCTGGAGAGTGCGTCTGACTCTGAAAGTTTGCCATCATTGAATTTGATCTCTTTTGTTTTCCGACTGAAATAAGGAAGAAAATCAAAAGCCTGAAAGGCTTCAATGACGTCGAACAAGAAAAATGATTTCAAAAGAATCTGAAGATAGCAATAGGTCGAGTGAGTGACTCAGGTGACATAATAATAATAATAAAAAAATAGTTTTAAACAAAATGTCACAATTACAGTCTGGGGCCTTATGTCATGGTCCGAATGGAGCAGGGTTCGAATTGACCAGACACCGTCGAACATGTTCATGCTAAATATCAAACTAATATCTTTTCAGTCAATTGAAGAACTATGAAGGACTTCATGAATTTATATATTATTCTTTCTAATTGCCAATGTCAAAGCGTTGTTTTGGTGATTGCATCTAAACTACAACCATGACTCTGCTCTGTTACAAGTACGATCGAGTTACGATAGGGGGTGGTATATTGGAGGAAATGGAGAAATACAGTAATACTGGTCAACATCATCGGTTTTTAGGATAAAGTTGGTCAGAAGATTGTAAAAGTAAAGCTAAGATTTACAAATTCAATCTTTTCAGTCTTATAGTATTCGTGTTTATGTAATTTAATTTGTAAATTATTTTACCGCCTGTTGGGTTGTTTGTGTTCCACGGTTATCGTTCCAAAATGTTATTCATGTCATTCGACGCACCTTTCTGTAGAAATTCATCCGCAACAACCATCACGTTTTTATTGTGTGAAAATAAAACATAATATCGTTGTTTTGTAAAAGAATTAATTGTAGATACAATTGATGCAATTTCATTTTCAAGCTATAATTATTCATTGTGAGCGTTTTAAAAGAAATTGGTTTATAGCTATTGCTATTTTCTATTGCGGATGCATCCACTGACACATTCGGTCGCGTACATCCCTTGGCGATTTCACTTGGCCGATCGCTAGATGACGTTCGAGCTCCAAGAGCTCGACGTCATAAAAATGCGATATGTCAATGTTGACACATAAGACTATGATTCTGTATGATCCTTACTTGTATGTGTGGTGGATACATGTCATGATCCTACATTGTCCTTACCAGTATGTGTGGTTGTTGACACCTAAGCTTATGATCCTGTATTGTTCTTACCTGTATGAATGATTGATACATATTGATGTTGATACCTTAGTCTATAATTCTACATGGTCCTTACCTGTATGTGTGGTTGACACATGTTGATGTTGATACCTAAGCATATGATTTTGTAAAGCACTTACCTGTATGTGTGGTTGATGCATGCAATAATAGTATGGTCCTTACCTGTATGTGTGGTTGATACACATCGATGTTGACACCTGGGTTTTTGGCCACTGTTGCTCTGTTATTACCTTGACCTACAACTGGACTATTGCTGATATGGAGAGCTGCTGATATACTCTGTAAAATGTTTTCTGTTGTCAGCTCTGGGCCTACACCTGCAAAATAAGTCACATGAATTACTGAAGGTGCCAAATTAGCATAATACAGTGTGCAATGATTTATACATTCACAAAACAACTATCACTTTATCTATAGAAACTACCCATTACAAACAGTACCAACAAGCTAGAATAACCTGAGATTTATACAAACCTTGATATTATGAAAATTTTTGTGCCCCTTTATTGGAATGCACCATACTTTCTACTAGAACTCACACTTTTTTTGCTGAATTATATACTGTAGATCACTAAATTTTCTCGACACCTTACTTTTCACGAGACTGTTGTCTAGTATTTATAAGCAAACAAAATTTTCACAAATTTTGGTTATTGTTCTGTGTTTAACAATAGAGTAATATGAGAGAATGAAATTTTCGTGAGCAGACAGTCTTGTGTAATTATGCTAAAAATAAAATTCTCACAAATAAAAAGTGATTTACTGTACATGTACTCATGTATATCTTCAATTTTCAGAAAATTTTAACATCTATTTAACTCTGAGAGTTAATATTTTCAGTCCATAAATGGTACTGACATTGGTGCCAAGATAGGTGAGAGAGCACAAAAATATTCTGGAGAAACACTGATAAATGGGCTATCCTTTTCCCTTCACACCCATTTCTTCCTCCCTTATTTCTGCTTGAAGACTTCCTTTCCACAATCCTTCAATTCCAACTTCTTTTCTCCACCTCTCTGCACTACTCTAAGAATTACTGACTCACTATGTTTGCTTACCTTGTACATTTCTTGGCAGATCTAGGGCCTTGATGACTTCTTCTTGACTATCACAGGCTTGTATGCCCTGTAGACGTTTCTCCCAGAACAACTGAAATCAGGCAGTTTTGTGTTACTCATCAATAGAAACTGTTTCCTGAATGATGGGCATTGTTGATCTTTGTTGGCAAAGCTTATTATCAGTCAGATATATATATATTACTTATCAGCAGAGATTTTGGAGGACCAACCTCTTACATCATGTCACTCTTTCCTGTCATTACAAAGA